GAGTGTGGTCATATTGAAATGTAAACCTGACCGTACAATATTTTGGAAGTGGGATGATGACATGCAAGGGAATTTGCCCTCAACTGTAATTGTGATAGTTTGGATCCACGTATAAATAGCCTAAGCAGTCATTGCACCAATTTATTGAATAACAAACCTGCAGGCTACTTGGCGAAGAGGTTTACAGTTATTTCTCAGTACTGAGCTAAATATGGCTTATTTAAAGATGATTTTTGGATCACTGGTACTTGCCGTACTAGGTGACATGATCGCATTGAAGTATTACCCACAGAATGGCTCCGCACTCACCTGGAGCCTCGCCCAAGCTAAAGGAAGTTTTTCCAGGCTCCGCAACACCACCCATAGATTCGCAGAAGTGTTCTGCAATAAGCCAGACGAATGCAAACTTGCCATAGACCAGTTGCTTGAGGTAGTTTCTGACATTCCTCACGACCTTGTGGAGGCATTTGTAAAGTTCTTAGAAAAGTACTCTAACGGACAGGAAAGCAACCGCGCTCAAGATGGTGGTACTGTGCAGAAGAACCCAGATGTAGCTAAAAAAGGTGCTGTTGATTTTACTAAAGAGACGACAGAAGTGAAAGGAAACGTATCGAAAGTAGAAAGCATAATTAACTCATTGACGCTTTCGAGTTACGATGAGAATAACCTGTGTGACCTCAAAGAGGGCATTCCTGAAAATGAGTACGATGTGACTGTCGACGAAATTGCTGATTTGACCGGCATGCCGGAAAAACTTAAGAAGACAATCAAGCGAGCGAGAAATTTTACCGGTGGGAATATTCTTGCCGTCAATAAGCTGGGGTTCAAGGCCGACGATGGTAGCCTAGTCTTTGGTCGAGTAGCCGTCATCCGTCGAGGGAAAGTTCTAGACATGGCATACTCACTTCACTCGGTGGAATATGAGCTCATCTCAAAACATGACAACGCAGAAAATTTAAAGCAATTCTCGGAAAGCCTTGACAACGAGAATGATGATGAAGCGAAAGGAAACCCCAAGAAGGGAATTTCCATGGACCTGAGGAGCGACTTCATGGCGTTCTTCCATAAGCAGGCCATCGACGGATTTGTGAAGCATTGCGATTATGTTTTGAAAACCATGAACCACGGAGAAGACGTGGTACGTGCCCTTGGTGTCGACAAGAATGGCGGGACAACCGGAGAGGAAAAGAAAAACGAATGATTTCCAAAGACTTTTTACGGCCGTGGAAAAGACGCTCGAATGAAAGGCAAGAAAGACGGAAATTACACCACAACAACGAACTTTTTCGACATGTTTTGTCCTTTAGCATTTAGAACTGAAATAGGTATTAACATATTATATCCTGCCATTAATCTTTTTCATTAGTCAGGTACGAAAATTTTGTCAGTACTTGCTTAGGAAAGCTTGAAGTCATTAGAACATATTTTGGTTTTGTGTCTATCTCAACATGTCATATTGAAGTCTAAGACATGCCTAAGGTAGAGTTTGTGTGATAAAATATCATCATTTTCATGGAGTTATGTGCATTTCGCCGTATTTTGCAATTGGAGAAATTTTGAAGAACTTCAACCTCTGGCCCGAAATAGCACAATTTCACCTGTCTAAGCTTGTTGCCATATTTCTACCGTCATTAGATGTTTATCCTAATGAGCAATAGAGCTGCAAGCTGACGCATCATTCAAAATTTTCTTTTCAGCATTTTTTTTTTTTTACTGAACGATAAATAAAACTCTCCGATGTGATCCCGTAGCACTTTCAAATTCCTTCCAGACAACTGCGTGTGAACAATTTTTAGTTGGTTTGCGAAGAGTCCTGCATTGTTTAAAATTATTTTTCTTAGAAATACTCCTGCTGTGGCAATCGAGTAATGTAGTAATCGAATACTGTTATATTGAAAACAAAACAAAAAGCTGTTTTGAAATGAAGGGGTTTTTTCCCCCAGGGTCAAAACATCCCAATGCTACTTGAGAGGCAAACGGTGAGCTTTATGCTCTCTAGTTATCGTTTTTGTAAACTAAGGTAAAAAGGACTGCATTTTCTGTAAAAATGAACTGACAAGAATTTTTTTTGTCTTCTACTTTGCCATAAGGCAGAGCTTTGTGTCATAAAATCTCAATATAATTATGCAGTTATGTCTTTCGCAGTATTTTGCGATTTTAGTTATTTTGAAGAAGTTCACCCTCTGGCCCAAAATAGGAGAGGTTCATGTATGAAACAAGACTTCTTAAATTCAAAACATATTGTAGCGTATAAATATTTTGAAGGCATGGTTTTCTTGCTGAATCATATCTTTAAAATGTGTATTACAGTTGTAAGTTTTTTTTTATAACCTTTACACTCGTAAATGATGAACCAATAAAACGAGGGTTCAAACTCAAACGTCTTGAAATTCATTGATATTTTGAAGGCGCATTTTTCTTACAAAATCATTGCTATAAAACGTATTTTACACTTGGTTTTGTCCTACAGAGTTTTTTTTTCCAATCTTATTTTACACTTCTGACAATTTCCACAAAACGAACGTTTCTCTTACAACTCTTCCGTTAGACCGTCTCCAGAACTGATGCAATCTCCCTCATTTGACTGGCAAATTTCTGGCAGGAAAAAAAGAAAGAAGAATTGTTGCTTGTTTATAAGTCGGACCACTGTTTTTAGAAAAACCGTCCGTGATATGACTGCCACCAAAATTGCTGTAGGAGTTGCACACATCAAGACATTTGAGACTTCTCACTTTTGCAGAAACTCACCTTAAATTCGCCAATGGTCATTTCAAAGGACTTTGAAGTGATTGCCCCAGAGGGATCTGTCACTGTTACCAAAGCTGTGATGTAGGGAGAATTCAGACTGCGACAAGAGCTAGAACTCACTCCAACAGAAAGCTTTCATTTCATGTCAAGTAACTAGAGAGATCAATTATATTGTATCATTAATTACATTCAACATTAAGAGAACAAAAAAAAAGCAAACGCTTAGTATCTTATGCATATTGGTTGAATCAATAATTGCATACAACGTTCAGAGTCTCAAGAAACACAACAATTGGCATTCTGTGACACCAAACAGTTATCTTTTTCATCACTAAAGTAATGTTTCAGCACTATCATTAATTGTGTCAAAAGGAAATTGTGAGCATTAGGTTTCAAAAAAAGGAAGAAGAGGCATTGCCAGGTTTTGATGAGAAGACATGCAACTTCCTGAACAAATATTTCCTACGTTTCTGACCTTATTTCCCCCTTCCCTCTATGGCATCCAAACTAAAAATCACTGATTACACCTTGAACCTAAAATTACTGCCAGTAGCTTTCTTGGAAAGAAAGAAATTGAGCAGTCCTGGCATTGTACTGTGCCGACCTCTCAAAATAGCTTTCAAGTGCATTTATCTAAATCAATTATTTTGACGCCATTTTTCAATACCTGCCCAACATTCAGGGTTTGTGTTAAGTCTGAGCTGCTTAAAATCTTTCCCTGAAAGAGAGATTGCAGACAGGAGTTTGAACACATGTAAACTGTGATACAAAATTAAAAACAAACTCAAATTAATCATTATTTTCAATTTCCAGACTCAAGAGTATTAAATCATTTAGCTGTAATGGAAAAGCAGTTGCCAAGGGTGGGCTCTAAAATCAAAAATTCACCATAGATAATGTTAAAAAAATGTTTTGGCCAAAATAATTTGTCTAAATTCAGCAACCTTAGAAAGATCTCAATTGGCAACAAAACACTTATTGCATTTCAGAAGAAACTAATGACGTCTTCCATTTTTTGCGACAGTTCACCTTGAACTTTACATTACTGACAATAATATTCTTACCTTAACATGACTAACTGACTCAAAAACAAACACTTACAAAAGTCTGCACAAACTTTAAAACAATCCAAAAATATTAATATTCCACTGAACTAGATAACTAAAGAGAGACTCGGAGAAAATTAAAAAAAGCAGCACATTACCTGTTCATTCCAAATGTGTTTAAGAACTGAAAGAGTATTCTCCTTCCAGCATAAAGATGATTTCAGTTCTGCAATTAGTTTCTCAGAAGGTAACTCAGCCTTAGCAGCAGACCTGTTGAAAAATAATAACAGATTGAATATTATCTGCAATTTATACAGTGGTAAATTATGGGGGACTCAACTGCCTAACAGTTAGTGCACTGACTACAGGATGACAAGTCCTGGTTCAAGCCCTGAACAGGTCACAGAGTTTCCATACCCAGAGGTTCTCGCTCCGTATCAACCTCTAGCGATAAAATTAAGTGTGTTAAGCTTGGTAAATGTTATCAAAGAAATAAATAAATGAATCAATTGAAAGGACGGACGAAAAAATCTTCGGAGCGAAGAGGAGGTACGGTCGACTGTCTTGCTTGTGCTTCGAGCGCCCTCGTCCATTCTCTCAAAAGAAAAATGTTCCTTGATAACTTCAGACCAAAAGCTGCAAAAAAAAATAATTGAGTCGTATTCTTCCGCAAGAACACACATTAAATTTCAGTTTGAATTATTATGAATGAAGTTTTGGTACTTGAAATATCTTGGATGAGTGACCACTCAAGGACGTCTTGGATTTCTCGAGTTCTATTTTTATATATTATAATTTCTTCCTAATTGTTATTAGAGTTAAATTCCTGTTAGAGTAATTTTTCACCCTTGTATGGAATCAGGCCTGGTATGGAATATAGATAGTAGATGGCGTGTTCGGGCGCTGCCATCTACGATACTACTTACGTCTAAATAGACTAAAGTAGCCATGGCGCCAATCTAGTGAATAACAACCCTGCAGGCTACTGGAAGAGGTTTACAGTTATTTCTCAGTATTGAGCTAAATATGGCCTATTTAAAGATGATTTTTTGATCACTGGCACTTGCCGTAATAAGTGACATGATCGCAATGAAGTATTACCCTCAGAATGGCTCCGCACTCGCCTGGAGCCTCGCTCAAATTAATGGAAGTTTGTTCAAGCTCCGTAACACCACCCATAGATTTGCGGAAGTGTTCTGCAATGAGCCAGACGAATGTAAAGTTGCCATAGACCAGTTTTTCGAGGTAGTTTCTGACATTCCCTACGACCTCGTGGAGGCAATTGTGAAGTTCTTAGAAAAGCACTCAAACGGACAGGAAAGCGACTGTACTCCAGATTGTGGTACTGTGCAGAAGAACCTTGATTTCGCTAAAAAAAAGTGCTGTTGATTTTACTAAAGAGACGGCAGAAGTGAAAGAAAACGTAGCGAAAGCAGAAAACATAATTAACTCATTGAAGTTTGCGAGTTACGTTGAGAATAACTTGTGTGACCTCAAAGAGGGCATTCCTGACCATGAATACGATGCGACTGTTGACGAAATTGCTGATTTGACCGGCATGCCAGAAAAACTCAAAAAGATAATCAAGCGAGCGAGAAATTTGACCGGTGGAAATATTCTCGCTGTCAATAAGCTGGGGTTCAAGGCCGACGATGGTAGCCTAGTCTTTGGTCGAGTAGCCGTCATCCGTCGAGGGAAAGTTCTAGACATGGCATACTCACTTCACTCGGTGGAATATGAGCTCATCTCAAAACATGACAACGCAGAAAATTTTCAGCAATTCTCGGAAAGCCTTAACAACGAGAATGATGACGAAGCGAAAGGAAACTCCAAGAAGGGAATTTCCATGGACCTGAGAAACGACTTCACGGCGTTCTTCCATAAGCAGGCCATCGACGGATTTGTGAAGCATTGCGATTATGTTTTGAAAACCATGAACCACGGAGAAGACGTGGTACGCGCCCTTGGTGTCTACAAAAATGGCGGTACTACCAGAGAGGAAAAGAAAATCGAATGATTTCTAACGACTTTTTATGGCCGTAGAAAAGACGCTCGAATGAAGGGCAAGAAAGACGGAAATTACACCACAACAACTCGCTTTTCCGAAATGTTCTGTCCTTTAGCATTTAGAACTGAAATGGGTATGAACATATTATATTCTACCATCAAACTTTTTCATGAGTCAGGTAAGGAACTTTCGTCAGTACTTGCTTAGGAAAGCTTTAAGTCATTAAAACATATTTTGGTTTTGTGTCTATCTCAACATGTCCAATTGAAGTCCAGGACATGCCTAGGGCAGAGTTTGTGTGATAAAATCTCATCATATTTATGGAGTTATGTGCATTTCGCCGTATTTTGTAATTGGGTAAATTTTGAAAATGTTCAACCTCTGGCCCGAAAAAGGACAATTTCACCTGTCTAAGCTTGTTGCCATATTTCTACCGTCGTCAGATGTATATACCGATGATCACTAGAGCTGCAAGCTGACGCGTCATTCAAAATTTTCTTTTCAGGAATTTTTTTTGCTAAACGTTAAATAAGTCTCCTATGTGATCCCGTAGCACTTTCAAAATCCTTCCTGACAATAGCGTGTGAATAGTTTTTAGATGGTTTGCAAAGAGTCCTGCATTGTTTAAAATTATTTTTCTTAGAAATATTCCCGCTGTGGTAATCGAGTGCTGTAGTAATCGAATGCTGTTATATTGAAAACAAAACAAACAGCTGTTTTGAAATGGAAGGGGTTTTTTTTCCCCTGGGTCAAAATTTCCCACTACTACTTGAGAGGCAAACGGTGAGCTTTATGCTCTCTAGTTATCGCTATTTGTAAACTAAGGTAAAAAAGGACTGCATATACTGTAAAAAGGTATAATATGATTTTTTGTCCTTCTACTTCGCCATATCATAAGGCAGAGCTTTGTGTCATAAAATCTTAATATAATTATGGAGTAGTGTCTTTCGCCGCATTTTGCGATTTTAGTTATTTTGAAGAAGTTCACCCTCTGGCCCAAAATAGGAGAGGTTCATGTATAAAACCAGACTTCAAGAACTCAAAACATATTGTAGTGTATAAATATTTTAAAGGCATGGTTTCCTTACTGAATCATATCTTTAAAATGTGTATTACAGTTGTAAGTTTTTATAACCTTTACACTCGTAAACGATGAACCAATAAAACGAGGGTTCAAACTCAAACGTCCTGAACTTCATTGATATTTTGAAGGCGCATTTTTCTTACAAAATCATTGCTATAAAACGTATTTTACACTTGTTCAGTTGGTTTTGTCCTACAGAGTTTTTTTTTTCCAATCGCATTTTACACATCTGACAATTTCCACAGAACGAATGTTTCTCTTACAACTCCTCCGTTAGACCGTCTCCAGAACTGATGCAATCTCCCTCATTTGACTGGCAAATTTCTGGCAGGAAAAAAAAAGAAGAATTGTTGCTTGTTTATAAATCAGACCACTGTTTTTAGAAAAACCGTCCGTGATACGACTGATACCAAAATTGCTGTAGGAGTTGCATACATTGTATTTTCATCAAGTTAAGCTCAGGGAAGGGGACATTTGAGACTTCTCACTTTTGCAGAAACTCACCTTAAATTCGCCAATGGTCATTTCAAAGGACTTTGAAGTGATCGTCCCAGAGGGGTCTGTCACTGTTACTAAAGCTGTGATGTAGGGAGAATTCAGACTGCGACAAGAGCTAGAACTCACTCCAACAGAAAGTTTCCATTTCATTTCAAGTAACTAGAGAGATCAATTATATTGTATCATTAATTACATTCAACATTGAGAGAACCAAAAAAAAAAAGCAAACACTAAGTATCATATGTATATTGGTTGAATCAATAATTGCATACAACTTTCAAAGTCTTAAGAAACCCAACGATTGGCATTCTGTGACACCAAACAGTTATCTTTTTCATCACTAAAGTAATGTTTCATGAATTGTGTCAAAAGAAAATTGTGAGCATTAGGTTTCAAAAAAAGGAAGGAGAGGCATTGCCAGGTTTTGATGAGAAGACATGCAACTTCCTGAACAAATATTTCCTACATTTCTGACCTTATTTCCCCCGTCTCTCTATGGCACCCAACTAAAAATCACTGATTACACCTTGAACCTAAAATTACTGTCAGTAGCATTCTTGAAAAGAAAGAAATTTAGCAGTACTTGCATTGTACTGTGCTGATCTCTCAAAATAGCTTTCAAGTGTATTTATCTAAATCAATTACTTTGACACCATTTTTTTGATACCTGCCCAACATTCAGGGTTTGTGTTAAGTCTGAGCTGCTTAAAATCTTTCCCTGAAAGAGAGATTGCAGACAGGAGTTTGAACACATGTAAACTGAGATTCAAAATTAAAATCAAATTCAAATGAATCATTATTTTCAGTTTCCAGACTCAAGACTATTAAATCATTTAGCTGTAATGGAAAAGCAGTTGCCAAGGGTGGGCTCTAAAATCAAAAATTCACCATAGATAATGTTAAAGAAATGTTTTGGCCAAAATAATTTATCGAAATTCAGCAACCTTAGAAAGATCTCAACTGGCAACAAAACGCCTATTGCATTTCATAAGAAACTAATGATGTCTTCCAGTTTTTGTGACAGTTCACCTTGAACTTTACATGACAATAATATTCTTACATTAACATGACTAACTGACTCAAAAACAAACACTTACAAAAGTCTGCACAAACTTTAAAACAATCCAAAAATATTAATATTCCACTGAACTAGATAACTAAAGAAATGCTCAGAGAAACTTAAGAAAAGCAGCATATTACCTGTTCATTCCAAACATGTTTAAGAACTGAAAGAGTATTCTCCTTCCAGCATAAAGATGATTTCAGTTCTGCAATTAGTTTCTCAGAAGGTAACTTGGCCTTAGCAGCTGACCTGTTGAAAAATAACAACAGATTGAATCTTATCTGCAATTTGTAAAGTGGTAAATTATGGGGGACTCAACTGCCTAGCAGTTAACGCCCCAACTACAGGTTGACAAGTCCTGGTTCAAGCCCTGAACAGGTCACTGTGTTGTGTGTTCTTGGGCAAGATTCCAATTTCACAATGCTTCTCTCCACCAAGGAGATACACAGATACTAGCAAACTATCAGGGAAGCCTGATGAAATCCTGGGGTTTAACTTGCAATAGACTGGTATCCTATCCAGGGGGGAGGGGTAACACTCCTAGCTACTTCATGCAGTGGAAACTGTGATAAGTAAATAGACCACCTGGCTTAAGTGCAGAATAATATTTTACTTACAGCTAGAATATTTTAGAAAGTGTGCTAACTATTAGAAATAAGCATTTACCTGAATATGTAGCTAATGGCATTGAGTAACAGCTTGGCATCATATGATATTCCAGCATCCTTAAGACACTTCAAGAACAAAATCCATAACAGGTACAAGTAAATTTCTTGGACATTGATCACTCTTTTTAAATAAAAAAAAACAACAACATTGCTGTGATAAGGTGAAAATCAACAAAACTAAAATTCCTTTGGAGGCCCTGAAAATTTGTCATCAGTGGAAAAAAGATAAATGACATATCCTCAAAGAATGATGACAAAAAAAACAAAACAAAAAGAAGTGGTTCAGTTCAACCATTAGTAAGAATTGTGTGCTGTATATTCAGGATCCTAAGCAAGATCTTGTTGCACATGCATGTTTACATTTATGTAACCTTTCATTACAATAAGAGCCTGTCCTTGCGAAAGAGAATTACCCATAGTGCTTGTGTCCCTATTGAGGACATTCTGCTGAGAAAGACTGAGAAAGAAAGGTGTCCTGGAAATCAGTTACCATAGACAACTAGGAACAACCAGTAAGAAGCTAAGAACAAAAAATGACCATAGGATCCGATCTAAACATTGGAGAGAGTAGTAATGAAAAGCTGACTATCTGTTGTGCAGTATGTTTCACTGGTAACCTGTCAATTGGTTTCGGGTGGTTTAACTAATTAATGACCAATTTCCACGCGTTTGGTCTGTGTTTAGTCCTTTTCTTACGTCATTTGACAAATGCATTATGTCTCTCGCAAAGATTCTTATTTAATGGGGTCCTGGCTATTACACAGCACTGAAAGATCTGCTTCACTTGATAAATGTTACAAGTAATCTATCCTTTGATTCATGATAAACTTAAGTTGTGCAAAAATCTTCAGTACCTTTTGATAATGTTCCTCAGGAAGAAGTGCAACTCTGTACTGAAGAAATGCTGCTACATCCTGGCACTACAACACAAAAGAGCACATAAAAATAAATCACAGTGGAGCTCAAACATGTGATACTGGCATCGTTCTGCAATATTTGCAAGTAATTATAAGGTTACGATTCATATACCATTTCAACAAGGATGTCTTGTGGTACAGAATTAAGTGCCTCCACCGCAGAGTTAAAACCTAGCGATCAACCAACAAAAAGAAAGAGGTTAAAATTCAATACGAGTTGAAAATACTCCTCAACAATCGAGAGAAAGACATGAAACAACCTTGAGGTAAATCCACGAACACTTGAGACATCTTCATTTCCTCTGGCCTTAGCGGCGCAGAATTCTTCCTTCATATGAACAGCAGTTGCTCCTGCAGAGATATTTGGTTGTTTATGCGACATGAATTTTATCTGGAAAAGGTGAACTATAGCGATGAGTATTTTTTTGGAGGACTGGGTATTTGTCCAGCGGTTAACTCTAATAATTCAAAATGGCGGCTCAATCAGGACTAGGATGAACTTAGGAATCTTTTGGGAAAATAAAAATAAACTATGAAGCTGGTAAGGATAGGGAGGCGTTTCTGATTCATTTTATTACAATTATTTTTTCTTCTTAATTTTGGGGTTGTTTCGTTCTCTTTTACAGTATTCCCTAGGAAGAACCAGCTCGGCGCCATGTCTCGTACTTCAATTCAAAGGAGCAAGTATAATGTTGGACTGTTCTTTAGATGTGTCAACTCTGCAGCACTTTATGCCTCTTTCATTAGTGAACAAGTGAGTTTATCGATTTTGAGGTACTTACAATTACAACCACAATTTCAATTAAGAATTCACGGTTTTCAGTAAACCTGAAGGTGTGCGAGTAACATTTTTTCCTTGTAATATTTATGTAAATAGTGAAAGAACAAGTCAGCTAAAACCATGGACAACCAGGGAACTCCAGGATATTGAGGGATTTTCTGCCCAGAATGTAAGTTGTTTATGATATGACTTCATTCCCAGAGATGGAGATCTCCAAATCTGGAGATTTTTTTTCAGACCAGCACCCCCCCCCCGACCGAATTCGTCAATGCGCCCCCCGAAAATGTCTCTTTTGATTTAGACCCCCTAATCCCCCCCCTCCAGGTGATTTTGCAGGAAGAATGTGGATCTATCTGTCAGTGACTTCAATTGGTTGAATCAGACTCTCCCCTATATAGGAGTAACAAACAAGAAACTTTCTTCTTTTTGTTTGGAATGAACAACATGCATCACACAAGAAAATGAAGCCAGAAACGAAATACAAGCATAAGAAGCTGGATGATTTTGAAATTTTGGAATATATGGAGCTTAGTTTTTTGTGGGCAACTGATCCAAACTTCCTTTTATCCAGGAATTTTGGTCATCTGTACAGGAGGGCCAGAGATTGGCTCTGTATCCAGGAGACTTTGGAATAATCCGCGAGAGTTGGCATATATGATCCCATATTTTCCATAATTCCTTATATCATTCCATACTGTCTGTTATGCTGTTGTTTAGCCCTTTGGCCTGAAAGAGGGATAAGCATTTGATTTTATCCTACAATATCACCCCTGAATCACACATGAAGGTTATGTGAATAAGGGAAATGATCACCAAATAAAGAAGCTCTCAATTGTTAAACAAGTTCTCCATGTAAGCAACTTAGAAAAAGTATTGAGAAAATGCATACTGATGGTAGAATGTAAAGGAATTAACATGTCTATGTATCTGACACTGCTCAATTCAATACTCCTCAGAACTTAAAGGAAATTGGTGGGAAAGTATTCATAGATGAGGAACCAGAAATTTGCCCTCCAGAGGTAATTCAGATGATATTGAAATGCAACACTTTGCTTTTTAAACTCTCATGAAGTGCTCAGTAATTATGGTAAAAATATAACATTCTTGAATTGGAGAAAGAAAACCACTTATTTTAAACTCCTGTAACCTCTAAGAGTGATTGGCATCTAACATTTTTTTACAGTGTTCTTGCTGAATCAAACATTAAGGTTATGAGAATGGAGGAAATTATGGCTTACTAGAGAAACTTGTGATAGGTGAATTAATTCTCCATGTCAGCGCCATATGAAATGTATATAAAACAGTGTGGAGAATATGGATACCCATGTTAGGGTGCAAAGGGTTCATTGAAGGAGTTAACCCAAAGAAGAAGAGGAAGCAATTTGTTGTCAAAGCTAGTAATGCACCTTTTGAAAAACAGAAGGAAAGATTGCCATGGAGATATCTCAAGCTTGACAGTCTTTGTTAACTTTAATTTTTGTTTGGCCTAATTAGGATATTAACTTTAGTTGGTGATTATTTCCTTTAATTTGATAGGATTGTCTGCTGGATATTTCCACCATTGACATCATTCTTATATCTAATTACCATTTCATGTTGGCATTACCTTTCATAACAGAGGTAAGTTGTAATTGATAATGTCGCCGGTCAGTCCATGGATAATTTGGATCATTCCTAATAAAACTTTTCAGCAAATTAAAAATTAAAAGGAACTTCTAGGAGTGTTCCAAATAGGAGTCTAACATACAACCTTCTGATTAGTACCTTGGATACTTCACCACTAAACTGTACAAGTCTGGTGGCAGGCTGGCTGTTTAATTAGGCTCTTGATGATGAACTTCTCATATACTTCTAGGAAAGGGAGGTTGATATGATGTCAATATGTAATGCTTCTGCGCAGTGACAATGTGAGTGGAGATGCATGGTAGATGTTTTTGTTGTGACTTTTCTTTCACTTTTCCTTAGCATTCAGGATTCAAAGGAAAAATCTATGCCACTGAACCAACAGTTCAGATTGGAAGGTAAGAATTGTGCTGATCTGTGTGGTGTACAAAGAGGGTAAGTTTCTAAAGAAACTGTGGTGTTGCATTGGTGGGAAAGTATAACAGGGTAACCAAGTACTATAAATTGCTCTGTTGAAAGGCTAATGCTTGAAGCATTACATTATCAGCTCAGTTGACAATAATTAATTACCCTGTGTGATGTACTGACAGGTAATTTATTAAGTGTCCTTTAAAAGTCTGAGACCTTGTTTCTTGCTTATGTCCTTGATTGTGAGAATCTAAGTTAAAATGTGTAAGCATGTTATTTTATTGAGGAATTTTATCTGCAGAGAACTAATGTTAGAGATGGTGGTGTATGCAGAGCGAGTTCCAAAAGTGAGCAAAGGAAACATGTGGAAGGACAATGAAGTTTTAAGGTTTGTTTTGTTATTTTTATGTTCCCAGGTTCCTAAAACAACGCAATGAGTCAACACAACACAATGACTTAGTCAGGTCTTAAAATGGACCTTTTGAGCGGGATTTTCAGCACATTTCTGTTAGGCTACCACATCTTCTTTAAGATCCGGTAATGGTCTACCAAAGTAAGTGAAGACTGAGTTAACAAGGTCACAATACTTTTGGGGCTGGCACTTTAGCAGTTCCTTTAATTTTTTTTTCTTTTTCTTTTTTTTTTTTTTTCATTTAATATTTTGTTGTTTCAGATGTCTTCCTCCTCCTCTGTGTGACTTAAAGGGGACAAAGTCATGGAAAGTACTTTACAGGTGAATCTTGAAATTACAACAACTGAAGTTATTCAAAGGTGATTTATAAATGATATTCTAGTTGACAGCTTCTGTTTTAGTGTATTGTATTCTAACTTGATAAAAAAAATTTAAAAATTGATCAATCCCTTCAGGTAAGATTTACATGTAGATCATATCAGCTCCAAAAGCATTGAGAGCCACCAAATTCTTGGTATATCCTCAATTGAGGCTTGCAAAAAGATGAAATTTAGTTTGTTGCATGGACGAGTTTTTGAACCAAATATGAAATTCTGAGAATGTGCCTCAGAAACACCCATTTCAGAACAGTTTGTGATCCAGGCTCATGAAAAATCCTAAGGAATGCAGGGAGGCCTATATGTATGAATTTGAAACAAAATCACTGCTCAAAATCATCTTTGTAACTTTTGTCATTTGAAATAACTGTTGTCTCATGCAAAATGATTTCTTTCCTTTGGCACATTCCTTATGACAGCAAAAAAGATGTAAAGGCTTCAGTATCAAAGATTCAGAATGTTGGATATTCAGAGAGAATTGTAAGTATTGTCAGAAAAGGCTGAAATGTATTATATTTCACAATTTTAACTCCCTGTTACTTCCATCCAAAGAGAGCAGGATCAGATTGCTAATACCAAAATGTTGTGCTTACAATTTCTCTTGTTTTGGTTTTCAATCTTAAACCAGTTTGAATTTCACTTTTCATTGTTTCTGTTGATGACAATGAATTCCTAACAAACAAATGTCTAATCAAACTGATTTGAATAGTTTTAAACCAAGGAAAAATTTTGTTTGACTGCTTTCAAATCTCAACTCTTTTCAATGTAGGATCTGTTTGGTATTCTAAAGCTCACTCCCCTCAGTTCTGGATATTGTTTAGGAAGCTGTAACTGGGTCATAGAATCTGACTATGAAAAGGTATGTTAAATGAAATTAGTTTTGATTTGTTATTGTAACACAATATTGGGAAGCTTAGTATTACTAATACTTTTTTTATAACTTGAATTGAAGCACTGGTGTACAAAACCAACTTACCTTTACAGTGTGTATCAAATTTAAGCTGGTGTTTAAAGTTTATTATAGTTTATAATGTTTGTACCTTTTTCATTCTTTTGGTTGGTTTTCCCTTTTATTAAAGAAGTAATATTATTGTACAGAAAAAAAAATTGAAAAACAAAACAAAACAAACTATTTTTATGACATTATGTATATGTTTAACTCATTTTCCCTCCTATAACACATGTGCAGTACTGAATGAAAAAAACTTAACTTTTAATAAACACAAGATGTTTGTTTATAACAGGTCATTTATATTTCTTGTTCATCGACATTCACCACTCATCCTCTTCCAATGGACCAGTCCATGCTGAAGAACAGTGATGCCTTAATTATGACTGGCATCACACAAGCTCCCACTGCAAACCCTGATGCCATGCTGGGGGAATTCTGCACTCACCTAGGTAAATACAACAAATACAACAACATGGGAATGTACAGTTAAGGTGTTTCAAAGTCAAATATCTTATGCAATCTAGGCTGTATTACCCTTGGACCCCTAAGAGTGACCAACATTTAATTTCTCCCTACAATTTCTCCCCTGAATCAAACATTAAGGTCATGAGAATAAAGTAAATGATCACCAACTTAAGAAGCTCTTGATTGTTTGACAAATTCTCTTTGTCAGCACCTTAGGAAATGTATAGAGAACAGTATGGAGAATATGCATACTGATGTTAGGGTGTAAAGGGTTTAGAGAAGCATGGTGTAGTGATATGATTTATAATTGTTTGTTTTCTTCTTATTCTACAGCTACCACTTTACGAAATGGAGGAAATGTTCTTGTGCCTTGCTGCCCCTCTGTAAGTTGTTTGATAAGGCTAGTATGTTGTTTGACATATCGACCAACAGTCATTAATTACACCTGCAGAATATCAAAATGGTGTTAAATTCAATGAGTACAGGCAAGAATGTGAAATGATATAGAAATGTACAAAAATGCTTGTGGAGAAATAATTGTTTCCTTGAACTATGAGTTTGTAAAGTATTTGAAATCAGAGAATGGATAAAAAGGCAACGCTTTAATTGTCTTCCTTACCCAGCCTCTTTATCTTCCATTCCAAACTTCCTCCTCCATCAGAGGTTTAAATAAAAGCAATCTTTCACTTATAAGATCTTTCACCACCTTAGCTTGTTTAGCTTGTCAGCAAAGTCTCATGTTTGAGTTTCACCTTATGGCATAGCCACCTATTGCAGCAGCAACTGCAGCTTATGGGAAAATTTATTGGAACACCACTTTCCATGTCTTCATGGCACATTCTCCAGCTTCCTTTCAATTACCTCATGCCAACTAATTCTTTTTTTTTTTAAATCACAGGGTGTTCTGTATGATCTTTTTGAGTGTTTGTACTCATATATGGACGGTGCCAATCTTTCAGCCATTCCAATCTACTTCATCTCTCCCATTGCAGATAGTTCTTTAGCTTACTCTAATATTTTTGCAGAGTGGTAAGTGAAAAGAATTGACTCAACTTTGCATTCGTTTTCTCCCTTTGGAAAAATTAGTTGTATTGTTTCCCTGAGGTGATCAGCATTGAAAGAGGCCCCAAGAAAGGAAGGAGCTCTGAAATATTGTTGACAGTAATAAGATACAACCAAACAAGCATTTCTTATTGTATATATCCTTTTATCCCTTCGAGTGACCGGCATCTAAATTGATCTGTACAGAAATAGTGCAAAATCATTCATTAAGATCGCGAGAATTAGGGAAATGATCTCCAACATGAAGAACCTTGTTAAACAAATTCTCCTTGTCAGTACCAAAGGAAATGTATAGAGAAAACTTGGGAGAATATGGATACTGATGTTAGGGTGTAAAAATTAAGGAGGGATTTTGTAAAGAAATTGTGTTGCTGCATCGGTGAAAGGTATTACAAAATAATTTGGTTTTATCAATTGAGTTGTTAATTTGAATCGGCCTACGGGGGAGAGGTCTTAAGTAGACATTTAAAGCATCACCCCTTCGTCAGAGAGAAAATGAAGTCCTCCTATCTCTGTGGAAGGCATTGACCAATTTCTTCTCTTTTTTAAGGCTTTGTCAGAGTAAGCAAAGCAAAGTTTATCTACCAGAGCCACCATTTCCACATGCTGAGGTACATGTACAGAGCCTTGCTCTTGTTTTACAAATTTTAACCCTTTTAATCCTCCAGATATACCAGCTATCTACAAAAGACTTCCCTTTTGGATCGTCATGAGGGTTTGGTGTCACGCCATCCTCGGAGATCCAGGGGCTGTGAGTCGATTTCAAGTCGGGCTCTCCCGCCCTGAATTGAAATCGACTAACAATTCCTGGGTCTCCGAGGATGGTGTGACACCCTAACCACATCGCCTTGCTGATTGAGCGCTTTTCGAGCGTCGAAAAAACAAATCTTACGATATCACAGCAGCCAATCAGGTGTACGAAAAATATCACGAGGAGCCAGTGAGAATCCAGAGTAAAGAAACGCAAAAAGCTTCAAGCGCGGGAAAACGTAAGAGATTGGTTTTAGTTCTGGGTTTGATTGGTTTAAAAAGTGGCGCGAATCTTTTTGGACCAGTCAAAATGGAAGTAAAAAAAAACCGAAATATTTGCGGATTACCTTCGATATCCAGTTGAAAACGTATTTGTGTCAATTGAACAAATAAATTCCGATTTTCTATGCGTCCGTCCGGAAAAGATAACAGATGACGTAAAAAATGGGGAAGAACGAAAGTCGAAAAAGTGGTACAGGAGGCACAGCTACGTGTGGCACTGATATTCTTACCACCTTTTAAGCCATTTTCTATTTTTTTTTTAACAGCTTGTGAAAGCAAACCGTCTGAAACACTTTCCCAGCATCCATGGTAAGATAGCTTACATTTTGACTTCTCCAGTTTTCTTATCATCTTTGAGTGAAGTGCTGTAAACTGAGTATTGTTCCCAATAATGACCTCGAACTCGAGCAGACCATTTTAAACCAGTGAGCAGCCGATACAATTGCTACTGTTTTAATTAATCCTTGAAAGTTTTAGAGTTCTTCCTTTCTCACCAGAGCCTAGTTACATTGGTATGATTATTACATTGCATTCGGCTGCCCCACCCAATATTGAATGATTCTTTGTGCGATCACCGAATGTTGTAGAATTTTGCAAAGTCACGTATTAGTTTTTGGTGTTGCTTTTGGGTTTTTCGCTTCTATACATCATTCCTCTACGATGTAAAATTGTCTTTCTAAGCCATTCGAAAGCAGACTCCTTACCTTTAAAATCATATATTCCCCGCCGCCCGTGGGTGACCGGGGGGGCGGGAGGGGGCGTGTCAAAGCTTCGAATTGATCGATGCATAAGCCATTCGTTGCACGTAAACGTGTCATTATATTGGGGTGACTATGCCTGTGAACATCGCCAGTTTCATAAAGAGTGATTTTTGCAGATGGATTGAGCAGTTGTTTCAAGACGCCCTGTGTCGTATTTACTGGACATCCATCGTTAAGATATGGAGATGTAGTGCACTTCATGGAACTTTGGGGAAAATCAAATGGAAACACTGTTATATTCACTGGTAAGAAAAGTTTCCTTGATTATGACACTCCCTTTAGAAACCGCTTTGTTTAGAAAACCATATGCCGTTTTCTATATAATTTTGTTTCAGTTTGACGAGTCAAATTAAATGTCTTCCTTTTAGAGCCAGAGTTTCCATACCTCGAGGCTCTTGCTCCATATCAACCTCTAGCAATGAAGGTAGGTGTGTTAACCCTTTAACCCCTAAGAATGACTAACATCTAACTTCTCCTTACAATATCACCCCTGAATCAAACATTAAGGTCATGAGAATAAAGGAAATGATCACCAACTAAAGAAGCTCTTGATTGTTGAACAAATTCTCCTTGTCAGAACCCTTGGAAATGTCTAGGGAGTAGTATGGAGAATATGCATACTGATGTGAGGGAGTAAAGGGTTAATCGTGTTAAATGTAATTAAACAAATAAATTAACGAATCAATTGAGAGGACGGGCGAAAAAATCTTCGGAAGGGAGAGGAGGTAAGGTCGACCTTCTTGCTTGTGCTTCGAGCGCCCTCGCCGGTCCACTCTTTCAGGAGCTAGGGAATTGTTCTATGTACCTCGATAACTTCAGACTAAAAGCTGCAAACAAAAGTAATTAAGTTGTATTTTTCCGCACAAACACACATTAAATTTCAATTTGGGTTATTGTTCATGTTTCCTTTTGTAGGCTTGTTACTGTCCGATTGATCCAAGACTTAATTTTACACAAGCTAACAAACTTATTCGTGAACTTCAGGTCAGTACTTATACATCGATGACAGTTATAGAGAGGTTTGAGTGGAACAGTGAAACTTTTTCCTTCGCGGAAGATTGCTCTCTTGTACTTAAAGTCACGTAGCTTAGGCGGCGAATTGAAAATTTCTCCGGTTACTTGCATCCTCCACAAATCCCACCTCTCGCTAAAACGGTTATGTTTTTGTTACCTTTTCGGGTTATTTCCTTCTTTTATTTTTCTGAACTCCTCATTTCTTAAACCTCGTTTTTATTAGCTCCCGTACAGCTTTTTAAAGGTTGTATTGGGGTCAATTGTGATAATTATCTCTTTACTTTTACTCTTCAGTCCTAACTATTTTAAATTTTCGAATGTGATATTTAGAGAAAGATACGGTATCATTATTACTTTTTGTTCGTTTTTATTTCAGCCTGGTCAGCTTGCTATACCGGACACATACACCAGAGCACCGGATTTATTGCCGCACAGAACAGACTTAACCATTCAAGATACGGTAAACGATTTTGCTCTAACAGATGTTCATCGCGGGCAATGATCAGAAGACGTCCTTGCACGAGTAATCACTTGTGAACAAGAGAGGAGCGATTTTCTAGACTGAACCACCCGAAAGGCCTTACTCCTATGTTAACTACTTTTAGTATGCTTAGCAAGCGGTTTTTCGACGCAGGTTGAAAATCGATCTATGAAAATGTTGGACAGTTTCCTTCCCAGACCATCGCAGCCTACGATTCCTAGCGCGAGTAAAACTGCCAGCAACGCAAGCTAAGCTGCTCTCAAGTTTTATTTAGACTTCAGGTGTCTGGCGTTGCGGCAATAATGTTATATGAACCTCGCGTGTTGCATGTGTCACTGGAGAACGATTGTCCCTTGGAATGCCTTTAGAGCAAATTTGATTTACGATTTTTTATTTTGCCTTTTTTAGGAGTGCAAGATCTCGACGTTTAGCCATTTGGATGTTCTATCGCTGTCGGTGAAAAGAGAGTTTGAGAAAGTTGTCTTATCGAACGAGGTTAGTTTGCATCTTTAAGGTAGAGACAATCTACGCAAAGAATTCTTCGCCGGCGTTTGATGTCAAGTGCTGCTTTTCATAGTTAAGAATTTACGAAGCTTTCGCGAGGCCAGAGAATAGGTGTGCAAAGTAAGGTTGGCCTTCGAAGCGCAGTCTTTTTGCGCTCACCCGAAGCCAAGCGGGGTTCGCTTGTACTGATCGCATTAAACACTCGATGAAACAACACAATGGCGCCATCCTTACTTAATTTCTAACTTGAATGGTCACCAGAGCCTAGACCAGTGTCTGATTTTGGACGCTAGTGTCTGATTTTAGCATTATTTCCAGTTTTAGACACTTAAGTCTGTGTTTAGACATTAGTGTCCGATTTTGGACGCTATAGTGTTCGATTTTACACCGAAGTGCCCAATTTTAGACACAATCGGCCGATTTTGGATATTAGTGTCCGGTTAAGACACTAGTGTCTGCTTTAAGACATTAGTGTCCGATTTTAGGCACTAGTGTCCAATTTTGAACACTAGTGTCCTATTTTAGACACAAGTGTCTGATTTCGGATTCTAGTTTCTGATTGTAGACAGTATGGCCTGATTTTAGACAGTATGGCCTGAGTTTAGACAGTAGGGCCTGATTTTAGACAGTAGGGCCTGATTTTAGACAGTAGGGTCTGATTTTAGACAGTAGGGCCTGATTTTAGACAGTAGGGTCTGATTTTAGACACTAGTCTTCGATTGTAAGTAAATAGTAACCGTTGTAACATAAATCGACCAGAAGTGTTGCAACTTTCCTACGATAGGATGCCAGCGCATTACTTTTTTTCTTCCACGCCCTCTTAAACACACAAACACCAGTGGACTGTTAGGTTTCCTTGGCTCTCAGTTGGCTGATTTCTCGGTGAAGAGAGGCGTCTTTAAAGCTATGTTTATTGATGATATTTACCAAACAAGTCAGTCAAAACATGTGGATACATTCTGATATGCTTTCCTTTTTCAGTTGGCCAGCAGGCTCCACCCTCAGGAAGTGAGACATGGTATCGCAGTAACCACTGTTACGGGAACCTTGGTATCGAAAGACAACAGATACACTCTTGAACCGTTAGATCTCACGGGCGACGGATTTAACAAGACAAAGTAAGTCGCTTAAACCTCTACACCCTAACATCAGTATTCAAATTCTCCTTACTGTTCTTCATACATTTCTTGAGAAACCGACAAGGAGAATTTGTTTAACAATCAAGAGCTTCTGTAGCTGGTGATCATTTCCTTTATTCTCAGGATATAATGTGTGATGCAGAGGTGATATTGTAAGGAGAAATTAGATGCTGGTCACTTCTAGAGGTCAAAGGGTTAAGTTTATAGTTAGGACCAATTTTAAGTGTCTTTAAAAATAGAGTGTATGTTGCTCTGACGAATATTTCTCTCGCAATACTTTTTTTTCTGGAATTTAAGTCTTTTTTGTCTTAATGTGAAATTCTTTTTTCTTCATACAGGGATTCAAAGGCGGAATCTAAAACAGGCCAGAAGTCCTGTCATTTATGGGGGAGCGTACTCGTGGAAGATCTCGTAAAGTCTTTAGCGAAGGTGAAGTGTCATTACAAGGCTGCATCGCATAGCTGCCGAAACTCATCAATACGGAGAAATATTTTTATTAGAGATGTTTTATTACTACTTTCTCAGCGCCCAAATCTTGCTCACTTTTTGCCGTTTTTGTCTTCTCAGCGTGGTATTGAGGACGTTAACGTGGATTCTGATCACGGGGGACACACTCTCCACTTGGTGAGTGAAAGCTAACTCAATAAAGGACATTTCCAGTGTTTAAGTTGGCGTTCTTGATACTATTAAGATTATATGTAATGAGCTCTCGCATATTAGGCAATGAATCGAGTATATTATTTGGGCGCATGTGGATATGGAATTTCTCTTCAAGTGTTCAATTTGATACTTCAGGAGTGAGCGCAGCGTGCGGTTGAGATATTAGGTTGAAGACGAGAAGAAAAAATTCTGTATCTACATGCAACCATGTACTAGACTCTATTTATGAGTATACATTGATTTAAACACCTCAGGCCTTTACTTGTAAGAAAAGTCCCAGGGTGAGTGATGTGTCAGTAGCTGGTTGGTGAAATCAACACACGTAAAACATTATCGTTATTTTACACGTGTGCGATTACTGCTTCACTCAGGGCTGGAAATCTTGAAAAAACACCGTAGTATTTAACTTAAAGCTTTTCTGTGTTCTACGCTTAAGCCACACACCAACCCCTCCATTCAAAAGTTGAAAAACAATCATGAGCACACGATTTGCTCATAATTAATATCGATGTCAAACCTTTCATCCCCAGTTGCTTCGCCTACAATGGGTGAGAAATTTATAAAGTATTTAAGTATTTCAGTTTACCTTTTTGGACTTCCCTACATGTAACTATTGAGTTAAGGCCGGTTTTTTAATTTTTGTAGACCCAGCATGATGCTATGATTCAACTGGATCGTAGTGGGACGCATATTATCACGCACGGAAACGAGGCTCTTAGAATCGACATCCGGGATTCGCTCCTTGAGTGCGTGTCACAGTTTTAAACGCGTACCAATGTCCAGGAAGTTTGGTGGTTACCTCTAGGGAAAAAACTTTTGTGTTCAACACCGGACATGCCGTCATCTAATGAACTGCAAAAGCGCAAACGTCACATCAGTTTCCGTTGCCAAATTTTTGAGTTCAAATTTATTGTGAGGACGAACTGGGTTGAAGAAGCGTGCGCAAAGAACGAAGTCTTCAAGTCGTTTTATCAATTTTTTTAAAGTAGAGAGAGAAAAGTGTATATAAGTTATCAATTCGTTTACAAACATTAGAGGTTAGATAACCGTAGAGTCAACTAAGATTATGATGTGCGTCTTGTCACGAACGTGGTACAAAGAAATAAAATCTGCTGACTGTCCGATGCAAAATGAACCTCAGACCTTCGCATTTCGTTCTCTGATGCTTACCGCTGGGCTTCGTAGATCTAGGAGACGAACCAGAAGTTAATTTTTTGGGTTTATTAAACAATTTTCTGTATACTGCAATGTCTAGACCATTTTGTGTGCAAACAGAGTAATGTAAAAGGTCTAACAAAAACAAAATAACCAAACAGTACCAAGAGATTATGAACTAAAAATAAACTGTTTAATCGTTTGACTCACGATGTAATCACTTGAGATGTAGATCGCGACGCTTCGACTGCTTACTGCTCGTCTTCATTGGGCAATGGGGTCGACGGCTTACGCGTTACCATTGGTATTACGGCGATCTAATACGATTGGCGGATTTCGATCCCTATTGTTCCGGTGAGTTCTGGATTTCCGAGAGGTCTGACTTCAAGTTGTTCCCTTGGCAGTTTGCTGTCGTGCCGGTCTTCCGTTGTGTTTCTTAATCGTTGGTATCCGTGCTTCAAGAATTTTGATTCCGTTATCCCTGTTGATCAGTTACTGAGGGGAATAACTTTCGCCGAGTTATCTGTTGATTTTTTTCTTATGAAAATGTATAACCGATGTCAATACAATACAAAACAATACTTTATTTACCCACTCTACATCTAGGAGTGATAAAAACTCGTTAAAACATGTGCGTGAAACGAAAAACGTTAAAAAGAAAAGAAATAATTTAAAGTTACCATTCTTAAATGTATCCTAAAACTTGCTTCTTTAAAAGACATTTAAAAGTAGAAATATCCTTGGCGTTTCTAACATACGTTGGTAACGAATTCCAAAGTTTTTCTTCCAAGAATGAGAATGACTAATGGCGCCATTCTAGATTGAAATTGGGTAACGTTAAAAGTGTCCCTAACCCTCTTAAATTACAATTGCAGATTTTAATCTTAAAAAATTCTTCCATATACCCTGGGGCTTCTTTATGAATACATTTATATACCAAAACTAGGGCCTGGAATTTTCTCCTTTCTTCTGGCGTTCTTTTACCAGCCATATTTAATAAATGATTGTATGATATGTACGTTTTCCATACCCTAAAATAGATCTAAGAATATAATTATTGGTGTCTTCTAGTTTTTTAACTTTACCTCTTCCAACTCCAAGTAATAGCGGACAACAATATTCTAAATGAGACGAAATATATGCGATGTCTAGTTTCTCTCTAAAACTATGTCATAGGTTTAATAACAGGGAACAGGATTTCAAGTTGTCCAATTCTGCTAGTTACGATACTCGTGTTTTACAAATCAGGCTACCGCTTCGCGGTCGTCCGATTTTTTTCAATCACTCGAATGATTACAGACCGAATTGGATTCCACTCGAATGATTACAGACCGAATTGGATTCCACTCGAATCTATTACCATTATTAATCATAACCATTACGATTTCCTCAAGTGTGATTGGTGCATTAGTTTCTTTATTTTCACTGATCATCCTCGATTGTGATTGTTTTAAAACTCCTCTCTCCACTAATTCCACTTGCCAAGTTGTTATCGGACAGTTTTTTATCGGACAGTTTTTTATCTGACAGTTCAGTAAGCCAATCACATTCAAAGTTGTAATTTAAATCAACCAATCACATTCAAAGTTGTAGTTTAAATCAGTCTTTTAATGCAAAGTTTCCCTTTCTTTCATAACTCGAATAATTCTACAATTCTTACTAATTTTCATTATTTGACTCCACTCGGTCGTATTACCAATACAAGACGCCTAAAGGCGTTACCGTGGGATGCGTTGGCTACTGTGCGTAGCATTGAAAGGAACTGTGCAGTTACTGTAAACTACCATGATAAGTCAGGTTGATTAGCCGAAGAAATCACTGTAGAAAATCTTAGTGTTGAAAAAACCGTGACTGTTTTTGTAGCTGAAAATAGCGGAGAGTGGCAGCTAAAAAACCTTTGGACTGTCTGAAACAAACTGTAACACCACCTACTGATCTCTATCAAATTTCCGTTTGCAAAATTAGTCAAATTTAGCCGCTAGAATCAAAATCTTACTTCGCCTGCACGAGCCAAATTCCACTATTTTCCAATTCTGTCACCTTTCGCCTCACAATGGCTCAATATACATTTGCATTCTAATACAAGGATCTTTGTTTACACGGTGTTCTCAAGCTTTTATCTGACAAGTTTTCTACCTTGGAACGAAAATACATCAGAACGCACTCAATGTGACCGCTGTTTTTTTCTTTTGACTGGATGAAATATAAGATACGCAGAAATGAATGTCACAGGTTTTCTTTTTTCAGAAAAGCACACGATTCATTTCGTCCGCTTCTAATCAATCCAGCCGCCAATGTTTACCTTACATAAAAATCGATAAAGATTTTACGCATTCCTATTTGGCTAGCTTTTCAATTTGTCCATGCAATGAAAAAGAAACCCAGCCGAATTTTTGCCGTGGTATGCCACAGGCATCTAATGCAATAAAATGTCGTCGGAATAATCATTCAATAATCATCAGTTATGCCTCGCCTTGTGATTGGCGGTATCTAAGTATGCCGATTTAAATAACCCATGTGATCAATATGCTTTTCTGACCAGAGAACTCGACACAACTTCTCCGGATAAGAGCTGGCGGAAAGGTACATGTACGTGGGATGTAAACACAGTTTTAGCCAAAATGTCGCTGATCGTTCACGACACGATATCGCTGACAACTTCAAGCGGAGTAAGCAGTATTCAGTTGTGTATCGGAGACATCACGAAGCTGTCGAAAGAAGAACAAGTCGATGTTTTGGTTGTTTCCGCGTTCCCAGGTGAGGTGCGATGTAAATAGAGAAGGTCAACAAGACCACAAGAGGAGTTTTAGGCGATTTCGAGCTCCAAATGCTCGATGTCAGTACATATGCTCTTTACTCGATTATTTGTAAGTTGATAATGTAATAACGAGTCGATGAAGACCTTTGTCATGTTGATGTTTGTCACGTCGCCCACATATCAAATATCCAGATAAGCTTTTATCAAAAACAGCTTAGATTCTTTCGTGGAAAAAAAACATCACATATTTACCAGCTCTAATCGCCTCAGTAACGCCACGGTGGTTTTTGAATCTTGAAAATTATTTTGAAGACTTAAGATCTACAAAATTAATATTGGTTTAATGAGCAAGCAGTTATTTGATATCGCTCGATACAAAGCGAAGTAGAATTTTAGTTTAGGATGGCAGAATTCAAAAGTTTTAGAATTATAGAGTAATATAGAAATATAGAGTTATGATTATAGAAGTAAAGAACTATAGAATCATTACAACATCAAACAGTTTTAACTTATGAGTGAGCAAGATAGAACTTCTCCTTACAATATCAATACAATCACCAGCACACAAGAGATAAAAATTTTAAAAAATGTAATTTTGGGGATTAGTTATTGATCCAATACCAAACTCGCCAAACTAACATCTAAAGAACTGCATGACAGACAACAAGGAGAATTATTGTACAAGCGTTCAAACTGAGCTAGGGCTGGATATGTAGCCAGTGCTTCAATAGATTCATTGTAAATTCACTGTTCAAACGGCATTTGGAAGCTGAATGGTCTGCCTGTGGTTGTTTGAGACAAGGGAAGGAGCTACTACTTGTCTCTTAAATGTTTCAAGTAACCACTGGGAGGAGGGGGAGGGGTGAATGGGGGGATGTTAAATCTTCAAATTGATTGGGGCATAATGCCCAGTCCCATACCTGGCAAAATGGATTTAATGAACAAGCATCAAAAGTTTTGTCCTCTGTCCATCAATTTGCTTTATTTGAACATACAATCAGCAACATGGAATCTATTTGTCAATTTAACCCCCAAAGCGATTAACATGAAACTTCTTCCTAGAATATCCATACATTATTCCACAAACAGGTACTGAATATTCAAACTTATCATGTAGAAGCTGCGATCTTGATCTAGTACTGAGTTCTTATGACTAATTTACAAGGGAATTTATAGCAGATAGAGAGGAGAATTAAATAGAACCCACTTTTTCTTGCAGGTGACTATTCGCCCACACCTAGTTCTCTAATAGGAGCTCTTTCCATCAATCTTGGCATCAGTGTGCGTAATCTCTCGCAGGACAAGGAAGAAGACCTTCGTAAACAGTATTTCTGTTGGTGGTCCAAACCACTTCATGAACGGCACAGTTTCAGAAGGATCCTCTGTTTTGAGGGGGGATTTGGCAGCCGTGGAAGCTCGCCACCAAAAGTAGTGGGGGCTGTGTTTAGATGTCTCATACCAATTCTTAGTGGGAAGGATTCCAAGGGTGGGTCAGTGATAATGCCTCTCCTTGCATCTGGGGATCAGGTATTTTAACTCAGCTCCTTCTGGAGTAGTTTTGATTTGTAGAGGAAAGATTTTTGACCCACAGTGTATCAAGCTAATATTCCAGATTCCTTGTATGAAAGTAGGAAATCGTTACCTGTTATTGTGCTTCCTGCTCTTCTCTCTATCTCTCTTAACTTTAACATCAGTATGTATATTCTCTATACTGTTCTCCATACATTTCTCATCATGGTACTGACAAGGAGTATTTTTTAACAATGAAGTCTAGAAGTATATAGCAGTTGAAGCATCGTAATCAATATCCAATTGATTAGCCTAACTCTTACATCCTGAGACAAACTATTAACCCTTTAATAAAGGGTAAGTTTCTAAAGAAACTGTGGTGCTGCATCAGTGGGAGAGTATAGCAGGTAATTTAGTGTTAAGGGTAAAAAAACTGACGTTTTGAGCATTAGCCCTTCATCAGAGCGATAGGGCTAACGCTCAAAACATCAGCTTTTTTATCCTTTACGGTGGCTAATTTATGTTTTCAACCCAGTTGTTAACACTAAATTACCTATTAACCTTTTAACTCCCATGAGTGACCAACACAGAATTTCTCCTTACCATATCAATACAATATCAACCAGATAACTAATGAGAATAAAGAAAAATATCAATTTGGGGATAATTAATTGATCCAATGCTAAATTCTCTCAACTAACATTCTAAGAATTGTATGGTTAACAGTACGAAGAATTACAAATTTAATCTGGGAGTTAAAAGGTTAAACATTTTTTTTTAGTCCCATTTGTTCCCCTTATATTAAACATACAATACATAGGGTAGAGAATGTGATCCTCCTTCTCTCCTAATGTCAGGCTGTCTTCTTCGCCTCAAAGGGTGCAAATTGCTCAGATTGAGAATTAAGAAGTAGTTATTAATAATAATTGTGATATTGTTTCAGGATGTACACACAACTAAAACTTACAAGTGTTTTTTTATTATCTTCATAAAGGGCTACTCTAAGGCACTGATGTTAAGACTCATAATTAACTCTGCAATACAATGGATCAAGACTGGCCTAGAATTGAAGACCCTGAAAGTTGTTTTGTTTTCAAGAAATCCTACAAAGCCTGACAAGTCACATGAGCCACTCTTTGAAAGCTTTCAAAAGCTGAAAGACACTTATGGAGACAAAGAATTAACATCTGTACAGGTTAGTAAAACTTAGTGTAAAAGATATTTTTAACAACAACTATAAATTATGGGTAACTTTCAGTTTATTGCTAAATGATACTCTCGTTTTCTTGATATGTTTCCACTCCCTGCTTATCTGCACAGAATAGACCTTTGACCCTTTAACTCCTAGAAGTGATCACCATATAACTTCTCCTTATAATTTTCATATATCATCCAGCAAACAGGTAATGAGAATACTCTAACTTATCAGGTAGAAGTTGTTATCTTAAACTAACACCAAATTCCTGTAACTTTGTTACTTATGGACATATAAATGTATAGCAACTGGAGGGGAGAATAAACAAACAGATCTTGGGAGTTAAAGGGTTAAGGAGGTAGGCTGATTTACCCCCGTCTGTCATCCTAGCTGAGTTTTCTTTCCAATTGTACATTAATTCTTAATGAAAATATCTTCAAATGATATTTACTTGTCTTGGAGGGGTTATGAGTTACCGCTCACCTCAACACAGACTACGAAATAATTAAGCTAAATTTCCTAAGTGATCAGCAATGCTAAAATTTATTAGTTGTAATATATTTATTATTAATGATTATAACAAAAAGCCATCATCCTCTTCACAGGAGGTAACTTTGGTTCCAAACAACTTGGCTCTTTTGGAACCAACACAAGACTGGATCATTTGTCTTTTTCCTTCAGTATTCATTTCCTTGACTCATTATTTGCAATCATTATGATAACTTGGATCTTCCTTGATGTTCCGTAGGAGATCATCTACGATGTTTATATGTCCCATTGTCCCAAAGACCACCAAACTGCCCTGAACATTGCAAAGTTTTTACGAACTGAGAGAAAAATCAAAGTGTTTCATGATTTCCAAGAGCTAAATGATGATGATTCTTGGCAAGAGGAGATATTTAACATCATGGGCAAGTGTGCTCGTGTCATTGCTCTGTTAAGTCCAGGTTACTTGGAGACAGAGAGTTGTATAGAACAATACAACATGGCCTTGTGTATAAACAGACGATCGCAAGAAACAGTTCTGGCTCCGTTTTACATCACCTCAATGGACTATATGCCAACATATATGAGTCTTATACAGTATGAAGACTGTAGGTATGTTACTGATTACTGCTTGTAGTAGGAGTACATAAGCACAGACTTAAAATATCATCTCATTTAATTTACAACTTTTCTATGTATACAATCATGCTGAAAAATGCACACTTAAACAGTACTTAAGTTTGCTCTCTTGTCTTTGCACTTTTATTTTAGGCAAAAGGACACAGAAAAGATCAAAGCAGCCAGTCATCATGTGGCAAATTCGTTGAAGAGGCCGCAAGAAGATGTTCTAACTGGTGTGACGGAGACAAAGACCATTGAAACCTTAAATTATGATGTGTTCATTTCATACTCACATCAGAACAAAGCTCACGCAGAGAAGGTGCTACAAACCCTTACGTCTCTTGATCCAGAGTTAAAGATCTTTATTGATACATCTGGTCTGAATACTGGAACATCTTGGCAGCAAAAGCTGTACAACTCACTGGGTAAGAAAGCAACTTTTAATTGAATTTGTAAATAGAATAATTACGAGGCACTGAAATCGAAGAGGCCGTCAACGAAAAGCTGCTTGGTGTGAAGATAGACATGTATCTTTATTGGAATAGCCATATAGATTACATGATCACTAAATTAAATTCTAGGGTAAATCTTCTTAAAAGAGCCAGAAAGTACCTGAATTTATCACTTAGGAATTTGCTATACAACGCTTTAATTAAACCAATCTTCAAATATTATTGTTCAGCGTGGGGAAACATTAAGATTGATAATTTACAAAGGCTCCTCATAGTTCAATTACGTTGTGCCAGAGTAATTTTAAATGCAGGCACTGAAAGATCATTTGGCTTTTTTAAGAGATTAGGTTGGATTCCCATTACTGACATAATAGAGCAAAGGAAATTGTGTATTATGCATAACATTATCCATGGGAAATGTCCTGATTACTTTAATCATTAAATTCGTTATGTTAAAAATAGACATCGGTACACAACTCGGGCGTCAACTGATGTGGACTTATCCACACCTTTCTTTAGCACTACGACCGGCAAACGTTCATTTCCTGCAAGTGGCACTAGATCATGGAACAACCAAGATAGTGCCACTAGGGGTCTCACTTCCCTTTGTAAATTTAAAAATCAACTATACAAGAAATATATAGATCGGAACTCCAGAGTTGATAATTTTACTACAAGCAGAAATTTTTAATTAATTCTTAATTTTTAATTTTTAACTGTATTTTTACTTCGTATTTTTGCTATTTGAATTTGAAGTTTTAGTGGACCACAATGAGAACTACTGGTTCTACCAGTAATTGTGTTATCCAATAAAGTCATTATTATTATTATTATTATTATTATTATTATTATTATTATTACTATTATTATTATTATTATCATTATTACGAGAGATAGTAAGTTTTGAGAAAGATGTTTTTCGTCTTGTCTCGAGCGTGGGACAAAGAAAAAATTCTGAGTTCCCTTTTGGAATCAAACCTCAGACCTTCGGATTCCGCGCTCTGATGCTCTACCACTGAACCACAGAGACTCCACGTGAGCGCGGTAAGAGCGCAAATATGACGCTATCGACATTGCTGATCCTAGCAATATGCAGGACGTGTGTCATATGAACTTCGTAATAGACCTCGCTCGCCGTAGAGTCTCTGTGCTTAGTGGTAAAGCATCGGAGCGAGGTGACTATAGCGAGATATGAGGCAATTCTCGACCAATCAGAGCGCGCGCATCTCTTTAATTACCTAAGTTGATATACGAACTTGAGATACATCTTCAACGTTGTAGTAATACTCGACCGTTACCTTAGTTCTACTAGAACACTTTTTCCCTCTCTTTTATTCCTAGATGCGTCCAGAAGTACCATTGCTCTGTTGTCGCCTGACTACATCAAATCTAGAGTCTGTTATGAGGAATTCTGCCTTTCACACGCTTTGTTTATGGATAAAGATAGTATGATGGATCTGGTGAGTGTGTTGGTGGAACCCGTTGAGAAACTTCCTTTGTGGTGTGAACAGCCCCTCCCTGTAGACTGCACCCCTCCGGAAGTGGACGCGGACCAAGTTCTCTCTTCGGTGTGTACTGACTTGGTCAACAGACTGAAAGGTGAGTGAATTTACAATTGCCGTCGAAATTTTTTTGAATTGTAGCAGGAAATGTACGCTTCATGGAAGAGAAAGTCTTCCATTTTGCTACTGTTTCAGTAGCTTGTGTAGAGGGTGCCAGATCTACACCGTCCCAAGCAAGGATTGACTCATGATGAGTATTGGTCTCTTCTCTCCCTTTCGTGTACGTTTTTCTTGCCTTCTTTCGAGCGCCCGGTATGTAGACCATCGCTCGAGGTTAAGGGACCTCTATGCGAAGTTACTAATAATTAGGTCTATCTATTAACTTACTTTCTACCTTTTCCAGTAATTTTATGTTCATTGTCATGATTAACCCTGTACTCGAGCCAATGGGCCCATTCACCCCAAGCTTATTTCGGTTTTCATGGCATGAAGTGACTAGAGTATTACTGTTGCCCCTTGCCCCCTCCCCCCCCCATGGGATGCCAGTCCCTCTCAAGGTTCCCCCAGCATTATTTCATCAGGCTTCCCTGACAACTTGCAAGTACTCATTTAAACTCCCGAGTAGAGAGAGGCACTGTGAGAGTGAAGTGTTTTGCCCAAGTACACAACACCAATTGATCTGGCCAGGTGTGCAACCCAGACCTCTCGACCAGGAGTCCAGCGCACTGAACATTAGGTCACTAAACATCTGTGGGTTTGGTGTTTGTAAACAAAGTTTTAGCTTATATTTCCTGTTTTCCATTTCGCAAACCTTGTTTCCATGCAGCTTGGTAACCGCTTTATTTTCATAGGTGCCAATAACGCCCAACGGGTGCAAGACCTGAAAAAAGGAAGTCTCACGCTGGAATCGTCCATGGAGCACCACAGGAAATCAGTGTTTGTGCTTCGTTCAGGTGTTCTTACTAAGCCTGTAAATCTCACGGCCTCCAACGACGAGGATTCCTTAAGGGTGAATCATACCAGTGATGCAGCCACGTCTGCTGATGGACAGCAGACTGGTGTAGATCCGTCAACGCACAACACGTCAACAGAAGTGACATCATCAAGTTCTACATCATCACAATTGAAATCTTCGAGTTCAGCTACTTGTGATGTGGCACTGAGTTTCGCACCAGGAGATTCAAAATCAGCGATGGTATTGAAGCAGTTACTTCTCGAGAAAATTCCCTCGTTAAAAATCAGTGAACCTAAAGCAGAAGACTTCTCAAGAGTGCAGTCTTTGGACGTGGCCCGCGTGATTGTGCCGCTCTTGTCGTCGGCTTTCTTGACATCGAACGAACTTGTTCAAGAACTTAATATTGCCATTTGTCGAAACCGTGGTTCCTCGCGACGAGTGCTGTTCCCTGTCCCGGTAGGTGTAGTTCCTCCGAAGCCCTCTTACGTCCATCTCATCCCAAGTGAATTTTCATGCAACGATTACAGATGGGCGTGCAAAGTTTTAGATCAGGCCATGCAAAATGAGGTCCATAGGCTGGCACACGGAAACGACATAGATGTAGATCTCGCGTTTTGTCTGAGGTGCGCCGCCTTTTCAATTTCTGAGAGGCTCTTAGGAGAAGAGAGCAAGGACTTGGATCTTGATAATCGAGTTTTATTGAATGTTCACGAGGTGGAAGAAAAATGGAGGCGGGTACAGATGGCACTTCAACAAGAGGACGGTTTAGCGGTGTCGTGGAAAGTAGCTTTTGGAATTAAGATAGAGACCAATATGGACGATTTAAAACCAGCCGGAAATACTGAAGAACTTGAAGTGAAGCCAGAAGTTAACACTGAAGATACCATGGCTGAAGAAATTGAATCAAATGGAGTAGAACTTCATCGAAATGACACCAGCAACGAAAGTGAAAATACTTGTGATCAGCCTGGCCCTAGTGAACACGGAGTGGAGGCTGGAAGCAACGAGCCAGTGTCTCCAAAAGAGCACAAGACTGTCCATTTTAATGTGGATGGAGGTGAAGTGGACGGTTCAAATAGCTCCACACGAGCAGAATCCAAAGCTTGTTTACTTATCTAAACAGCGGTACTATTCCTTCTAGGAAGCACCTGTCGTGCCAGTATACTTAATATATGACACTGTATTTAGTCAATCGAGCGTTCTGCGCGCCTGTTACACGTTAGGGCCTTGCGAGTGGGCGCTCATTCGAAGTTGGCGTTTTTTTTGAGTTTGTGCGCTTATTCACACTTCACCATTTTCAGCAAGTAGCAAGTTTATTTTGTTACCAAAAGATGAATGGTGACTTAACGTGAAGAAGTCTCACAAACAGGGAATTTAGAGCTCGTACGCCAGTAAAGAAGTAATAATATACAATCCTCCTCTGCATTTAATTTTGTTTCCTATTCGTGTCATTCCCTATTCATGTCGTGCCGTTACATTACGTTACATTACATTACGTTACGTTTCCCTAAGGATTACCCAGTTTACACCTCAGGGCCTTCAATGAGAAACATCTAGAGCATAAATAACCTGTCTATAAACTTGACTTTATAACAAATACATAAAAAGTTATGTAAGACTAGTGCGTTGATCAATTCGAAGCTCCAACACCTATCCCTTGGGCATTTGAACTTTTGTGTTGAGATGTCCCACCCAAGGGCCAGATTTGAACGTCATTTCTTTTGTAAAAGGCAAGATTAGCGACCGTGACTTTCTTGTATGCCCTTTCTTCCGAGCCATCTGATCGCTAGAGTGAAAAATTTTACCTTTTAACACTTCACAGTAGAGATAAACACGTTTATCCGCAGGAAAGATTTGGAAGTTCTGACTCAAAATCCCCACCGAGGCAAGGTTGGAATTTTTAAATGAAGCGAGCACCTATCAGATGAAAAGTTTGTACATTTTAAACAACTGGTCTTTGGCTAATGTGCTGACTTTGGCGTTGCAGCACAAGCGTTTGACACAAGCGAGCAGACGGTCGGACGTCTACAAGGGATCTGGCATTCATTAGTGCTCAATTCCAGACGGTGGCTTGAGCGCCTTAAGGCCTTAAACTTATTCGCAGACAAAGAAGCGCCCTTACTGAATCTAGCACCAATAACGAGAGGCTCCGCGCAGGTTAAAATACAACTAAATCTCGATGCCCTGTTGCTAAAAAGAAGCTTATTATCATTCCTTTTACCTTCAAAGGGAATTGCTTATTTACAATAGCAGTTTAATACAAAAGAAGAACGAATAAAGTAGAAACGCAAGTGCTCTCAAAAATGTGCACTTGATCCTTGATTACTTCCGAAATAGGCCAAAACCTCTGAATGATCAAATCATGCTTGCGAAGGAAGTGCAAAGTATTGTTCGAATATTCATCTCAAAACTGTTTAACATTTCAAAGTTAATCAGGTATTCATGCTATTTACATCCGGCCTTTTAGTATGATCCAATTAGCCAATCATGTTTGCGAGGTCATTTCAGTCAGAAGGTGAATTCAAACGACTATCAACTGCCTTTTATCACCTCACTTAAAAGTCAGAAAAAAATGTGTTGATAAGGGTTAACGCCACCGGCTTAAGACATGCAACAACTGTTTGAGAGAGCAACTCTTACTGGAGTCCAAAGTCTTTTTGTGTAAACTTTGGGAGCCTGGACAGCAGATCTTTAGTAGGTGTGGCCTATAGAGAACAATTGCGAACCAATTAAAACACATGTTTATGTACTAATCTAGTATGCAGCGTAGGAAGTTATGTCATCGCTCGTGAATCAAAGTTTCGGCCTTTTTCATTCAAAAGGCCAGCAGTACCATTCAACTTTGAACTCATCGCAGGTATCATGGAAGCTGAGGAAGAAATGAAGAAAGGAAACTTCCGCAAAGCTCACGAATTGTTCGACGACTTGCTCAGGAAAGACAAAAGCAAAGTTCATTACCTGCTGGGGAAGGCTGATTGTTTTGTTCTAGAAGGACGTTTGATGGATTCGTTGCCCATCTACAGCGAGGCTTTCAAAAGCGGAAAAGTTCAGCCCAATCGTCTGCTTCAGTTCGTCGACGCTTTGACACTTATCATAAAAAGCAAACTGGACAAATATGAGGCAAACGACGATTATGACACGATTTTGCAATGCACGATTTGTACGGGTATTTTGTGCGATCCTGTTACTCTTCCCTGTGGAGATTCCTTCTGTAAACTGTGCTTGGAGAAACAAGAGGCGAAGAAATGCGAACATTGTGACAGTTCGTTTGCAAACATGTCTTTAAAGGCAAATGTTATCTTGCAAGACATCCTTGAGAAGTCGTTCGAAAAGGAATTGGGAGCAACTCGGTTGCGTCTAGAGGGGAACAATTTGCACAGAAAAAGGCAAAGCCTTGCCGCGATCGAGAAATACCTCGAGGCAGAGAAACTAAGTAAGTATTCAAGTATCTCTCTCTATAATTTTAAATTGGATTTCTTCAACCTGTAGAATCGAGCTCGTGTTGCCGCGAACAGCTACCATATGACAACAAGAATGTCGAGCAAATGAATTACGTAACGATAATAATAGCGCGAAGTAAAAACATCAGTTGTCGATAATTTCCCTCATCCTGAAAATTTCATTAATAGCCATTTTATAGCTGTTGTGATATGAAATGTGATCGTCTACCCTTGAAATGGCGTTAAGACACAACGTGCTAATTTTAGAGTTTCAATTGAATTGTACATTTTTACTGCAACATTTTAAAGTTCCTCTTTCAAAAAAAATTAAACCATCCATATCGTCGCCAATAAAAGCCATTTGAAAGAAAAACTGGATTGATGAGTAAGATCCCGACGTCAACTGTTTCTCCAAAAAAAAATGTTATTTTGCCATTCGAGAACAAGAAACGAAACTACAACTGTTACGTTACTGAATGTTAATTGTATTAAGATGCGTTTTGCATAATCTTCGTTTTTTGTCCGTGGAATTGAGAAAGGAAAGAAGCCATTTTGAAAAGGATGTCTTCATCATGCAATCGTTGAACAATTCCCTCTTTCTATGAAAACAGACTGTTTTCTAGATTTGCACTGTGATCAGCATACATAATTTGTATTGTTCTTGTTTGCTTTCCCTTCAATATATTTTTTAAATCCTATCATCGATTGGTATGGATATTCTCCTCGATGTTTCCAACACTTTTCTCACGGTGGTCACAGGGATAGTATGTTTGACAACGAAACTATCTTTGATTGGCCTTCATTTCCTCTGTTTTAATAGCATTAATGTTTGGCTAAGCCGTAATACTGCAGGAAGAAATTAGCTGTTGTTCACTTCTAGGGGCTAAAGGGCTAACTTTACATATTTGCTTAGCTGTTGAATGCCACAGAAACTTTGATGACTGTTTGTAAGATGAGCCACTTGGTAAGGATGGGCCGATACAGTTTTTTGAAATCAATACGATATCAAGAAGATACTGATGTTTTTTCTTTGATATCGAAATCCATAGCGATACTGTGATGTCATTGAGTTAAATGGTAAGTCAAGTGATTTGATTGAAGAAATTAAGGGTTATCTTGCACTGTTCAAGTTGTGCAGTGTTTAGAACTCTACAAAATCATCAATGAGATAGTAAAAAATTAAAAGCACATTATGGAGGTAATAAAGTCGAAACTCCTTGTCATCAATGAGTTCACTCTTGCAGCGCTCACATGCTGCTACTTAGACTTGAACACTGCGGTGCTCATTTCCTGATCTTGAGGCCAGGGTTTTTTTTGGCCCTCTGTCAGGGGTTGGACACTGGCGTAAGACAAAGGACAGACAGGTCACTTGCAGAATTGAAAACACCAATACTTTTCGCTAGTATTGATGTTTTTCCAATCAGACCTCTGTATCATTGGTACTGAATATTTGTTCTCAGTATAGGTCCATCCTTACCAATATCCTATTATATGAGCATGTTACGCCGTTGCTTATTCAACTTCATTGGCTACCAATTGAACAAAGAATAACTTTCAAAATTGCAGTAATTACATTTAAGGCGCTTCATGGTGCTGCACCTAGCTATATTACTGATCTCATCAAGCCTTATACACCTGGTAGACTTCTTAGATCCTCCAATCAATTTTTACTTTCTACATCTAAATTTAATCTTAAAACTTATGGTGGCCAGTCTTTTACTATTGCTGCACCTTCTGTTTGGAATGCACTTCCATTCGAACTTAGATCTTGTAATTCCCTTTCTTCTTTTAAATCTAAGCTCAAGACGTGGCTTTTTAAAATTGGTTATGATGTTGTATAGAATGATGATGTTTTTATAGGATGACAATGTAGTTTTGTAGTTTTGTAGGTTTAGGATTTTGTTCTTATTTTTATTATGTAAAGCGCTTTTGGACCATTGGGAATTTTTATAGAATGACAATGTAGTTTTGTAGGTTTAGGATTTTGTTATTTTTATTATGTAAAGCGCTTTTGGACCATTGGGAATTAGCGCTCTATAAATACTGTATATTATTATCATTATTATATTATTATTATGATCAGACTTGATGACATGCCTATTGTGAATTAATTCTCATTACAGACAAGTCTGACCACTTGATTCAGAGTAACCTTGCCTGTATTCTTATCTCACTGGGTCGTTTTGAGGAGGGTTTTCTCAGAGCTAACAAGACTTGTCAACTTCAGCCAACATGGCCAAAGGTAAGTGCTCTATTAACCTTGAGATGTGCTCATTCTCTAACTCTTAGGGATCAAAGGTTTATAACTGTTACAACTACTAGAGCAACTTGTCATGAAGACTTCCAGGTTCAAACCATGAACTGTTGTGGTGTTGCAACTTTTTTTGCTTTTTCAGCGGATATCTGGCTTTATGATTGTTGAATTGGAGAAATTTGATAAAAAATAATAGATGAAAGAGGAGAGAACTTCTTGTGTCCTGCAAACAATCTCATGTTCATTTTTGCAGTGAGCAGAAGGCAAAGGGAGGCCTTAGTTAATTAATGTAATTCTAAAAAGCTGTATCTCTTTCCTTTTTTTTTTTTTTTTTTTTTTTTTTTTTAACTTGTAGGGGTACTACAGGAAAGGCTGTGCTCTGCTTGGCCTCAATAGAAAGGCTGAAGCAGTCGTGGCTTTTATGCACTGCCTTGCAAGGGACACAGAAAAACCAGCTGTTAGAAAATCAATAGCAAAGGTGCAGCAGAAGGAAATTGAGCAATAATGTTGTTAACTTAGCTGTGGATTAAAATGTTAAATCTGTGAAATTGTTATATGTTATTGATCCCTTTCCATTTTCATCATTGGAGAGAATTCTAAAATACAAACATCAAACTGGTTTGAACATTTTAAACTTAATTCTAGTTTAAATCGTGGCATCTGATGGGCATATCTTGCCTCAATTCTCAGGAGTACCTACTTTGATCCTTCAGGAAATAAAAATGCTTGCAGTTAGTTTACATTTTGTTATTTCCATGCAATTCGTTTTGTTCCCAGAGAAGTTGGACTGCATTTAAGATTCAGAAAGTGTTTTCAGCCACCAAAAGGACACATAGTCTCTTAAAGATTTGAGGAAAGACTTATGCCCAAATCTACTCTTTCTTAGCAACCAACTTCTGGCAGTGATAAGCATAATTTCATTCATCAAAGAAAATTACCTCACTAGCTACATTTTGTATTCATTTTACAGCTTCTACATGAGATGATTACAGAAGGAATTTCTTGCTCCAGCCGAGGCCAAAAGCGGGCTAGAACTGCAAACAGTGACAGTACCTCCCCAGATGAAGACAACAATAACATTATTCTTCACAGATTGACAAGCCTTGTGGAACTAGTGGAACAAAGTAAAGAAGAAAATGGCACAGGTAAGTGACTGCATGGTATAGATCATCAGGAAGTGGTGATGTTGAGTGTTTGTGTTAGAAAAATTTTCAATTGAATGTGAAAAGTTAAACACAGGATTGTTTTGGTTTGGCCTTTGCTATGTGATTGGTGTAGAAAACTCATTGTGCCATTTTCTCAACAAATCAGACTCAAAACTAAAATCAGTGGCAACTTGGACACTTGTATTTTCCTGTGCATTGGGCAATTTGCTTTTTTTGTGTTGAGTTTTTCACTAAAAACCTGCTTGTAATATTTTCCTTCATCTTTTCTTTCGGATTAGCTAGTGTGCAGGTTTTATTATTAACCCTTTACACATGGACATCAGTATGCATATTCTCCATACTGTTCTCTATACATTTCCAGAGGTGCTGACAAGGAGAATTAGCTTAACAATCCAGAGCTTCTGTAGTTGCAGATCATTTCCATTATTCTCATGAACCTAGTGAGTGATTCATGGGTGATATTGTAAGGAGAAATTAGATTCTAGTCACTCTTAGGGGTTAAAGGGTTGACAGTATCCTCTCTTCAAATAACTGAAGCCAGAAGCTTAAAGCTATCAAAACTGTCTGTTAATATTATTTAGAGGTAAACCAGTCTAGCTTACTAGGTATTTTTCCTCATTTGTATTCTGAAATCATTCTGTTTTTTTTCCAGATGAAATGGAAGGTGAGCCTGACCTGAAAAAGTTACGACTTGACAAGCGATTTTGCGTAGAAGATGTGGAATGTACACTATGCTGCAGGTATAATCTTTTCTAATTTGCACAATCTTTGCTCCAAATTGAATTGTTGTTAAAGGAATTAAAGTGTTTAATACTTAGAATTATTATAGTTTAGTTTTAGAATCACCAGTAATATATAAAACTTACTTGATTGCATGACTTACAGATAATGCGACTGGGTACCAATATCAACTAGGCTTCATAGCCACATGTTGAGAGCAAAGAGAATTCTTTGGTCAGGCCTCACTTTCTCCAAATGCTTTTAATTAGGCACTATCAAGCTTTGGGGTTGAATAACATGAATTTTCACAACAAAATCTTCTTTTACTTTTTTGTTTAGGTTGCTCTATGAACCTGTAACCACACCCTGTGGCCATGCATTTTGTCGTTCCTGCCTCAATTGCAATCTTGATCACAGACCAACCTGTCCAATTTGCAGATTTTCCTTGAGAAAGGTGTAGCAAGTGTTGTCCATAATCTTTCCTTGGCTATTGTTCCAAGAGCATATGATGTAAACCTTACATTTTTTTGCTTTGTAATAGCAGTTGATTTTTATATAATGAAGGTATCAATAAACTTATTATACCACTGCGGCTCACGACTATGGGGTGAAAATATTTTATTAATTTAGTTTTATTGTATTTTAATTGCATCCTAATTGTTTGATTTATCTTTCTTTTGATATTTCAGTTTCTTGCTGAGAGAAATCAGGTGAGAACTGCTCACGGATTAGATAATTTGAATGTCAGTCATATTTTAAAGAATGCATTAAAAGGAGGTGAAAGATTTAAATGGCATTGCTTAACTATACATAAGAGATCATACTTGTGACACTTGCTAAGGCCAACATGTCTCAACAGACTGTTACAGTTGCCATAAGCAGGCTTGTAGAAACTGCTTTACCAGAGGAGTTTGCAGAAAGGAAGAAACTACACGAAGAAGAAATGGAAAAGTTAGCCAGGTGAAGTTTGTACCGAATTTTTTTTAATGATTTTTTTTGTCATTCATGATAGTTACCGGACACAAAACCCTTTGTTACTTTGTAGATCAAATTATCAATTGTAAACTCTTAGACTATTGATTTTTAGTTAGATTTCGTTTTCAAGAAAACTCACAAGATTGCAATTATTACTTATTACATAGTTATTTTCATTGTATTTCCAACAGTGTGGCAAGTGACACTACAGAAGATGTGCCTATTTTTGTATGCACCTTAGCCTTTCCATCCCAGCCGTGCCCTTTGCATATCTTTGAGCCTCGGTATCGTCTGATGGTTAGGCAATGCATGGAATCAGGGTCACAGCAGTTTGGCATGTGTCTGCATGATGAAGAGAAAGGGTAAGACTAAACCCTTGTGCTGTGGATGACTGTTAGCTTAATATTAACATTGCTGTTAGACAGATTGAAAGAAGATTATTTAACAACAGATGCAAAGTTGTAGATCAAGAAAGGCTCAATTTTTTTGGTTCAATTAAGGTACTCCTAAATGCTATCTTCAGCCCTCTTGAGACTTTTCTACTCCAAAATTATAGAAATCAAAGGGTGAACTCTGAAAAAATTTAGATATTTGCAGATGAACCTTACATCATTTTCACTCAATATACATCCTAATGATATTGGAGTTTTAAGATTGATTCCTGTTTCTCTTACTGAGAGCTTGAAAGTAGAGTTGCCAGTGAAGAAAAGTAAATGAATGTGGGCAGCAGTTTTGCTGATACACAACAAATTTTAACCACTCTGATTGAAGGAATGCAGCTGTGTTTCATCCCAATCTCTTTTTGCGTCAGAACAGAACTTCTGCCTGTTTTTATAGAAAGCCACATTTACAGGCTGATAGGATTATCTCCTAAGCAAATCCACCAGCTTATATTCCTCTTGAGTAACCAGGACATAATTTCTCCTAACAATATCAATAGAATATCAAGCAGAAAAGTGAGGAGAATATAGAAAAATATAAATTAGGGGATTATTAGTTGATCCAATGTCAAATTCTCTGAACTAACATTATAAGAGTTGTATAGAAAACTGTAAGGGAATTACTGATTCTTTCTAAATCCTTAGAGCAAAAAGGTTTAGAGGCTCCTGAAGAAAGAGGAGAGTAATTATTGATCCAATTTTAGGGGCACAATGTTCCTAAATTTTGTTCCCAGTCTAAGCTCTTGTCTTCAATGGAAGCATTACTGATTGTTTTAATTATTGTTGGTTTTCTTTGTAGTTTTGCTGATTATGGTGTGATGCTTGAGATAAGAGACTTGCAATACCTTCCAGATGGAAGATCTTTTGTTGACTGTGTTGGTGGAAGACGTTTTAAAGTAATTGTTTCATCTCTTTCTCCTTGCACACATAAATATGCATTATTACATGTTGGTTGTTATTTAATTAGTAGTTTAACATGTCAGCTTCAAGTTAAAATAATTTTAATCAAGATTGATTTGTCACTCTCAAGTTGCCATGGTCATAGTGTATTTAAAGATAATTTCTACCTTTGAACAACACCTATATATGGAGAAATTCCTCATTAGTTACATTGATCATCTCAAACTCAAATAGGACTTGTATTAACTTGTATTAAATTGTATTAAATTCAATGAATTGGAAAATGAATTTGAACTTTCTTTTATTTGCTTATGTAGGTTCTTAAAAGAGGAATGCAAAATGGATACCACACTGCTAAAGTAGAATGGATCAAGGATGAAACGATTCCAGAGGAAGAACTTGGTAACTATATAGGCAACCCTTTAAAACTGCAGAAATGGTCAACTTGTAATTTCTCCTCTCACTGCTAGAACATCTTTCGAGAAGCAAGTCATGAGAAAGGAAAAGTGCATCAGCTTGAAGATTATCTCCCAATGTTATGCCTTTGTTTACTAACTATTTTACTGCCAAAACATTTTGTAACTGAAATAGAGAATTACCATTCATATCTGGGAAGTTAAAAATGGACATGTTTAATTTATCTGTCATGCATGTATATGTCAGTTAAAAGTAAGAGAACTGTGCTACTATATTCATTGTACAGTGTTTTTATGAATGGTAAGAGTGTAAATCTTCCAGTTACCTCTATGACATATTAACTTCTCACTTTAGAAAGAAATCTTGGATATTAACCATTTGTATATCTTATTATCTTCAGAGCATGTAAATACTCTTCATCGACAAGTTTATGATGAAACAAAATCTTGGTTTAATAATCTACCACTCCTTCCAAGGGTAAGACATAAATCAGAGAATTTTCCTCATTTATAGAGCTGTACCTCAAGATCTCTGTATGGTAAAATACTGATTTTCAATTTGTCCCATTTAGAGAAGGATTACAAACATGTTTTCAGAAATGCCAAGCTGTGATGCAGAGCCTCAGAATCTACCTCAGGGACCTGTTTGGATTTGGTGGTTTCTTTCTGTTTGTCCACTGCCCCTTGATGAACAGTTAGAATTCATTTCCATGTCCTCATTGAAAAAACGCCTTGAAAAATTACAACAGATAATCTCCTCCATGCAAACATAAATGAAAGGAATTTAACTAATGATCCTATGAATTGAGATTAGAATTTGTTACGAGTATTTTTGTAAATAATACAGCTGTTCATTGTTGCCACAACAAAGGCACAAACTTACTAACCTGTACTGCAGCAAAGTTTGGACAGCTGAGACATAATTTAATTAATTTTAAACACCTCCTCCAGGTAAATTTTGAGGATGAGCATGGTTTAGTATTTTATTGTCTACATAGAACTAATTTTAGTTTGCTGATGAATGAGAAACATACTTTAAATTACATTTCTCCAAATTTGTAATTAACATATCTTGACAATTTTATAGTTTATACAGCTACATGATTACAGCAGAATATCAGGAAAATTTGTCGCCACAAAGATGGCACAAATTTACCTACTTTTTACTGAAGAAAATCTTGCATGACTTTATAAACTTAATTTAGTTAAACCTTTAACTCCTTGAAGTGATTGAGAGGTAACTTCTCCCCATAATATTCATACACTTTCTAGAAAAACAGGTAAGGAGAATACTTAAACTTATCACATAGAAGTTGTTTTTGCTTGATCTAACACCAAATTCCTTGAAACAATTTAGAAGGAAATGTCTAGCAGCTAGAGGGGAGAATTAGCAATCAGATCTTGGGAGTCAAAGGGTTAATTGTTAACAACTCTATAGGGTAAATGTTTAGGTTAGCCGTGTTATATTATTTTACTGTCTGCATTGATATGAGTTTAGCTGATGAAGGAAGAACATACTTTAAATTGTATTTCTCGAAATTTGTAAATAACTCAAATAGACAAGTACCTGCATGATCGCTGTGGAGTATTTGGATTGCAAATGGATAACCCCTACTTTTTCATGGTGAATTAATTTTACCAATTACACTGATCACTGTAATCTCTCATGATTAACCATGTAACACTGATTCCAAGGTCATTTTTTAAACTAACTTATTGTTCTCATTCAAACGTGCAGAAAAATCATCCCGTAAAAATTTCACAGCTTTTCTTCCCAGGAAACAGTTCTTTTTACCAATAGATCTTTTAATAGTAGGCATTATCCACCAGTACACCTGAAGGAAATTATTTAACTAGTTCTTTAGGGAACTCTTATTAAAATGCAACTGAAAATGGCCAAAAGTTTAATAGATCATACTTGTATCATAATGACATTCTTCAATCTCCAGATAATATAATGTTAATATTTTTTTTATTTCTAGTGTTTGTAGCAGAGACATCTGAGTGTAATGTAAGAATGTATTTAGTGCCAATTTAATCATAGTAAGAGTGATTTCACATTAGACTGCAAAAGTTCCATCTTCCAAATGAGGCTGCCTGAGAACATTATTTGAGGGACATGAAATAAACTTTGGCAATGGATGTATCTTTTCATCAAAATCTTTAGCCTTAAACATATTTGCCGGTCTGAAAGATCATTTCTGGGACAAAATAAAGAAGAATCCATCCTTAATTAATGCAAATGGGTCTCAGCATGGAAGAATTAAATTAAGGATGGTCATGGTAATGATGCTGGTGAAGGCAATGAGTTTATGATAATAAGGTTGACAATGATAATGCTAATGGTGATGATCATCATGGAGTCTGGTAGTCTGGTGCAGGTCAATTTTTACAGTTCAATGTCAGTATCTTAGCAATTACACATTTACCTCACCCCTAACCCAACAACAGTCAACTGATAACAAGTTGCAAATGATGTTAAGGTAGCAGAGGGGTAGGAGTGCAGTTGCTCAGACAGTGACATTGATCCAACACTACACAGTATTACTTGTATTGTTTGTAATGATTAAGTTAAGGCTATGTGTACAGTATGTTTTAATAAGTAATTCTTTGCATTGCATTGTGTTGTCAGTAAATCTTGATTATTGGAAGTGTAATAAAATCACTCACTGGAAGTGTTGTATTTCTTGACATGTGCATCTTTCAAGTTCATAACTTAACACAATTATCTTTTCTATCATTAGCCAGCCAACCTGGTTACTTCTTGGTCAACTTTTATTTTTCCATAAGTATAGTCTACATCAAGAAGGGTCCTTTTTTTAACTTTGAAACAATTTGAACTAAAATTTCTTATCACGATGACAACAAGTCTTAAATTATATTTCAAAAGGTTAGAAATATCTCATAAAAAATTAGATACCTTTCCTGATAACAGAAAGTAAATAATTACAAGAATATGGTCAATGATTATACACAAACTCCACAGAGCTGGAAGAGTAGACATTGGGTACACTTACACTGAACATGACAATTAAAATTCCATTCCAATGCTTTGCTCTTATCAGAAATATTTCTAATTGGGAAAACTGAGAGACAAAAATACTTATGCCCCACTTCTAAACAATTTACCTATCTATCACATCTACTGAACATCAAGCACTTTACAATTTTCTGTTACATCTGTAGTGTTTTGTCATTACCATGTGGAGTTGTGGTCTATGACTGATTGTTGGAGAGATGTCAAACAATGCCGTAGAGAACACAAGAAAGCTTTTGACACAAGGAGAGTATATGCTACAGTATACCCACACTGTGTTATATTTAACTTTCTAGCTGTGTTTAAAACTAGCATGCACCTTTTTATTCCATCACTTTTTGCTTTATTTCTTAGAAAAACTATTTGGGTTTGTCTAAATTAAGATTGAAATGGTCTCTCAACACATGATTATTTCTAACTTTTGTACAACAAATTTTAGAGTAATCTGAAAAATACAAGAAGATACCATGATTCTCCAGCACAAAATTTTGCTATTGTCAACTAAAAGAACAATAAGCACACTGCAAACCCTCCCTTGGAACAATGACAAGTAAACCATAACTAGTCAAATTCTGTGGTTGTTTCATGAGTCTTGCTGCTCTCCAGCCTGATTAACACAATAACACATTACTAAGATAGTGCAGGCATTCAGTGTTACTTGATTTTGTCAGGAAGCAACTTGGCGAGAGGAAAGTTGAGCACAGACAAATGAAAAGTAATTGGAAGGCAAGTACACCTACTTTGGCACAATTGCACACTAGAAAGCAAATTTCTCAGCATCACAGACACAAGATCTGTATCAAGCTTGGGAAAAGAACTCTCTACTTTCAGCCACTGTCCACATCTCACAAACATTTTATCCTTTTGCTCTCTATTAAATCAAATACTGGCCACTAAACAACAAATTATAGCTTCCTAGCCTACCTATACTGTTAGAGGCTGAAAATTAATCTTGTATCTTCAAAATGCTCTTTTTCTCAATTTCCTCCATTTCTTTCAACACATATGCCACATTATAACGCAACTCATGAAATTTGGACAAGGACACCTGTAATAAGAGAAATTAAATCAGCATGATTTGAGACTGGGTGGCCTGTGGGCTGACAGTCAGCCCAGTTGACCCAGGTCAAGAAGTCTGGGAGCTAAATTAAGACTGGGGTCATTAACAAGCCTATCCAAAAAAGACAACAGCCCATATAGTGCCCTCTCAGCATAAAACTTCACTATGGCTACCAACTCATTGGCTTCCTTTTTTTCTCCTTATTGGCAAGGAAGGACTTGTTCACTGAAGGGTCAATGGACTCCATCAACTTTACGCAATCTTGCTAGACACTCCTCCTACCCCTCCCATCCCACAAAAAAAATAATTTAACACCTCTTTTATGATGCTGTTTTTATTCAATCTATGTTCTATAAGAGCAGTCTAATTTCTTGATAATCACAAAATAAAACTTAAGTCAATCTTTTGAAAAAACAACAATAACAATTCACAAACAAGGCTCTTCGCAGTTATGAGTAAAAACAAATATTGGCATTTTTTGTTTAAGCAATGTTGCAATAAAATGAATGTGGGACCACAAAATAATTAACCACATACACCTGTACCTCAAATGTATGGACCTTTCCATCACTGAGCTTCAGCTCCATAAGCACTGTTGGTTCCAACACTCTGTTTAGGGCACTGAAAAATAATAGCAGTAACACTGCATAAACCCTATAAAGAGGCTAGCTAGAGGAGGGGAGGAGGAGGGGGTGGTTCTGATTACATTTTATAAACATTACATTTTAGACAAATTGGTTTTGGCCTTAATCACGCATCACATACAAACCTTCTGTCACCCATTATAAATACTATGTAGACTACAGGAAGAAAAAATGGTTGCTGGTATGTAATAAGCCTCTCAACATAGTTGCAAAGAAATTCAGTCAAAAGTTGAGCATTGACTCACACTGATAAAATTTTCACCATCTTCCCATCTCTCTATGTCAGGAAGAGTGTGTGGAAACATAAAAATGTCCCTACAGTTTTGCAACTTATTTACTTCATGTTAGGAGAAGTTTAATTTTTCAAATAATAAATAAAATAAAATCAATTTATCAATTCATCACCAGATGATAACCTGGACTTACCTTGTGGATATAGCAACATCGACTCGCCATCGCAGTGAATCTAAAGTTGGAAGGTGATTTCTGTTTTGAAGAGCAGCTGCATCAAATGCCGGTCTTCTACAAAATAAGATATTGATAAAAAATATGCATCCATAATCTTTCACAATACAGTAACTTGGTATTTATTTGTTGCTACATCCCAGATCAGTCCATATGAAGCAAATTGGATGCTAGTATTTTCTTTATATAAATAAGTATTTTTGGAACTATCACACTCTAAAAAAAAAACCCATGCAAACAAATGAGACTATCAAATTGCACCATAGATTATCGGTAATTTATTAACTATGAATAAATTTAGAGTCACCTAATATTGAAGCTGTAAAAAGCCTAAAACCATTAAACATTAAGGATTCAATCAATGAAAACTAACAAAAAAATTATTCCCTTCACCTTGTAATACAAGATTGGATGTAAGATTGGTTATATTTACCACCTCATATCCAACATGTGCTCATGGAATCATTGTGAAACATTTCTTTAATATCTCATTTGTCCATATGTCTAAGATTTTATGGTTACCAGTCCACAAAAGCAAAGAGGCATTTACCTAATAAACAGAGTAAAATTTCACAATATTTTAAAAACACACTTACTTTTCTCCAAACACAACGCTTGAGAGATCAGGAATTAATTCAGCAGGAATCCTTTCAGACAAAACAATAAAACCAGTTTGGTACCATGAGAAGTCATTCAAGCATAAAGGAAGGATTTGAAATTTTATAAAATTCCAGGCCAACAGGTTGAATCAAGCACAGGTGGATGTATGGGTAGACATGTACACACATGAATTATTGTTAAAAATAAAAAGAGAGACTCACTAGCATGAACACTGCCTTTCTCCTAGAGAACTAAAAGAGAACTACAGAGTTCTGTATAACGGTGTTCACAGACACAATTCTCAAGGTAAGTGTAAAAACATGAAATCAAAATTACGCAAAACCTGCTGAATGCTATGATAAGCTGCGCCTCCACTTTCTTCCTCTTCACAAAAACTAAAGTGTTGTTTTTCGCTTGGGCTGAATAGCCTTGCTTTATAAACTACATGTATATTTGTGCATCATGAATATTGTAGCTTTCCTACCCAAGAAATCCATGCTATAAACAACTTTCATTAGAGCTGGATGATAGCCAGAAGAAAAGTCATAACTTACATTTTGGCCCATATCAAAATCTTTTTTTTACACCCTCATTACTAATTAGCCTATCCTTCTCCTAAATGACCCTAGAAATTAGTAAACTCTCCTCAAAGGGCCTATTAGAGCACTCAACCCTTAATTCTCCTCTCTTGCTGCTACACATTTCCTTGTAAATTAGTTACAAGAATTTTGATGTTAGATCAAGATAACAAATTTCTAACTGATAAGTTTGAGTATTCTCATTACCTAACTGCAAGATAATGTATAGAGATCATACAGAGAAGTTACCTGATCATCACTTCCAGGAATTAGGGTTAAAGTTAATATTATTAGCACATTCCATGATTAAAATTGCTTGTGATATATAAATCAAAGGTTTCAAGGGCTTACTTACTTCAGTTCTCCAAGGTCTGCCTTAAACTGTTCTGGTTTTAAAGATGTCTGGGGCAAACGCAGAGCACTGCGCAGTAGTGAGTACAGCCCAGCATATAGAGAGGATATGACATCCTCTGTTACAGTTTCTGACTGAAGCTTCTGGAGCAGACCATCATCAGGAACTTTTCCCTCCAAAACCGAAATAATAACTGCCAAGAGCCGAAGACAAGAACTCAGGGACTCACAATGAATGTAACATTTGTATGCACTCTCCCTTCCCCTGCCCCTATATTTAAGTGATGCCAATGTTATAGTATTCTTTCAAATGTTCTCAGTGCAACTCCTACTCAGCTTCACAGGAGATGAAGACCTATGGTTGTTTCTTTTATTCCTATCTAGGATTGTAAGATAGTGATCCCTAATTTGGGATCATACGTAGGGTAGAGGAAACTCGTGAAAATTTAGTAAAGCCAGCTAATTTGAATTTCGGCTTAATTACAGTCAGATGACATCATATCTCTAATCTAGAGGAGAATAACTAAAAATCAATACTGTGTTAATTGATCGTTATCGTTGACAAATATGACCGTAGTCAAGTGAAATACAACTGTGTGGTTCCAGAGTGCTACAAAGCATTATTACGCATTATTTATGGGTGAAAAACGTAGCTACAACGAAGAAACACATTTTTCTCATACTTAGTCAGCAAAAGTAAATCAATATAATAAGAAAGACCCTGAGATTTATGATGTAAGTTTCAAACGAGTCCTTGATATGACCTCCCCAGGCATAAAAATATATAGAGACTTGAATAGCCAAATGCTATAATGATAATTTAGGGGGATCCTCTGCCAACCTACCTTGTAAAATCTTTCTGAATAAGGCCTTATCTATCTTTGTTAGATGAGGTATCATTCGTTTGATTTCATCTGGAATTTTTGGACCTACAAACAAAGTAGTTTCCGTCAAAGGAGTTAATGCAGAACTAGCGCGTTCACGCGCCATCTTGGATTTCCCCTCGATCCAGGCCTCCCAGCCTCCCTTTCTCTTGGTCCAACATACTCCCCCTCCCTCCCCCTCCCCGCATATCATCTAACGCACCCACCTTCCTCGTCTACACCATTTTATTTTACATGTACGCTTGATAACATTTTAAATTACTCCTTGAAACTTTGACACGAAGGCACAACCACGTGGTCACTCGGTAAAAATTGCAAATTGTTTGCTCTCAAACGCTCCTAATTTGGCTGAGCAACCAGGATGGAATACTGCTGGTATCTTAATCTGCGGAAAATATTATTTAAATTGATGGTAACTATTTAATAGAAGCATATCTAATCAACTGATTGCCCGCCTAACTTGTTACTTGCAAGCTGTTTCATCTCAAAGTGTATTTTTCTTTCTTTGTATCGGAAATTTCTTACCCTCTTGGCGAGCTGCTTTAAAATCGCCCCTTGTGGCTGATATAAAACAAAAGCAAAAACAGTACGACGACTTGCTCCTTTGTTCAGTATTACTGCATTGTATTAAATGATTTATGAACGTTGAATTTCATTAAGCCAGCCAGCCACAATTATACCTCGGATTTTCATGGTTATAAAACTCGGAATTCATATTCTTTACCTCGCTGAACGAACCTTTTCGTCTAAAATTCAATTTCGGGATGATTGGGACAAGATTTCTCAGGACAACACTAGTCTTTTGGAGTTATTGTTTCAACATATGACAATATTTACATATTGGGCGTGACACTCTTCTAGAAAAAGTCAATTTGCATCAGAGGGATAGCATTATCATATCTCATTTATTGACGTTGCGTTTGCGAGAAAAGACGTTAGTACGCATAGTCGTTTGGCGTCTAACTATCTCCCGGGAGAGCCAAATCATAGCAAGCGAAAACAAGGTAAATTGAATATTTTTATTCTGTAAATTGAATTTATTACTCGTGCTTGAGTGATGACGAGAATTTAGCTTTGTAAGCCGCTGATTCATTGAAGCAATTTAAAACGCATTTTAACCGATAATTCGTCTCATAATTTCTTCAGTCTTCTTTACTTTTTCGCATTTAAAGGTTTTCGCCTAGGGCAGTTGAGTAAAAGCGCCGCTGTATTTTAATTTCATGGGAGTCGTCTGGCGCTGGGAAGTTCGTGACCGTCAGATGTAGTGTAAATGCAGTAAAGCCGAAATAGTCTCGACGATCAATACTTTTAATAGTACTTCTGAATTGTCTAACGAGGGGATATGAGTTTCAGCAAATAACAGCTAAAAGGCCAGCCGGTAACCCTAACATAACATGATAACGACAACATTGAGGGCTCCTTCCTAACCCCAAAGATTTCACACACGATGAATAAATTAGGCTATCATGACCCTGCGGCCGTTAAAATGTTCTTGACACTTCTAGACGGCTGGCTGAGGTACACAAATCGTGAGCTGGATCATTATGTTTACATGGTATTGACTCTGCAAGTTAGATAAGATAACAAGTTGATAACTGTTTTGAGCCAGAAAGCTTGACCCTTGCAATTTTATCAAACTGTCGTGTCTGCCGCTCGATCATTTAATTGAATTTCGTCACAAAGTAACGCAGAAAATCTAACGTTAAGGCCATTTTCCATTTTTTTTTTCATGTGAAAGGCGAGTCCAAAAAATCATGCATTTTTCAATACTGAGTAAAAATGACTTAATCAACACATGTCCGTCAAAATGGCAACAGCGCCGCCGTCGACGGCCATTGTCTTTCAGTACGGAAGGTTCTGACTGGTGGCAGATTTAAATATTTTCTGGTAGTGTTAATGAGAGTTTTTTTATTGTTCTATTGCATGGAAAAATTAATGACCATCTGCTGAGATTACCAGGGACAGATTAAAAACCCTGGAAACGCGTCAAACATAAACAAGAGAAAATTGGATATCGTAATTAATGTTGAAGCTGCAGAGTAACGAGTATCCGAAATTTAGTTAGTCACAATTTGTTCGCGTCCTAACAAAGAGAATAGTTCTTTACAAACCGTGTACTTTTTATCTACACCAAGAAAAGTATGTATGAAAATATTACACTGACTGCTCTGTAAGGTTCTCAAGAGTAATTCAACCCAATCCGAAATTGTCTGACATCCAAATCGTCTACACTGAGAGGCAGCTATTTTTTATCATTCCTAAAACCTGGCCTAACAACCTACTTGCGACATAGTGAAGTTTAGCGATTTCCTTGAACAATAAAAAGCTGTAAATAAAGCCACTTATGACTGAAATGTTGACAACTTTTTTTTTTCGCTATTAGAGCAGCAAGCCGTTTCAGACCTGCGCTTGTGTGGCCAGGTTACTAAGTTCTCAAAATGGCGGGTTCATACTCGACTGTTTTCATATTTGAAAATGATTTACGAAAAGTTGGTTGCTCTTTCAAAAGAGAAACAAACACTTGTGACCCTTACTCAGCTTTAACTATCCGTTCCTATGGTCCAGTCTCCCTCCTTACCCTGCACCTTAAGCGCTTTCGGGTCAGTAGAGGAAAAGACCCCTGAAGCGGGGCAAATTAGCGTGTGAACTGTTTCACCACAAAATGCTATGGCAGCACCATAAATTAAAGACTATTCAAAGTCAGTATAGTTATCACGATTCTATTTCTCTAAATAATATTTTAAATGGACTTGAATGGGCGGTAGTACAGCCTAACCTGACTCGTTTTCTGCACTGAAACACGAGCCTCCTCAGGGAACAAAGAATCCTCATATTTCCAGCGATTTTGATAAATGAAACCAATATCATAATAAAATGAAGATATCACAAGGAGCTAAAATTAAGAGAACGTGGCGTCAAGATTGGTTATATGGTTTTTCATTTGATTAGTAGAAAAGTTGGTAAAAGTATCGACCATGCAATCGCAGAGCTAACTAAAGTATAAACACAATCCAATTCCGGATCACTTACGATACTCAATGTTCTTAATCGAATATCGTCTCCGGGAATGTGGCTGAAAATTTGATCAATTGCCTTCTTTAACTTCCTCTAACGTTTGCAGTTAGTCGAGTCGGTTTGAAGAGGAGTCAAGTGACAACGAAGACATGAATGTTCTGTGGGCAATCATTTGGTTTCTCGTTCTCTGGTTTCTCGCTTGGCCTGTTGGGTTCTTCTGTGCTGGATGGTACGTGTGTTTGTCGCCGATTGAAGCCTGCGTCGATGCCATCAAGGCCGTCACAGAGCTCCTTATGAAGGGTGTAATGTTACCGTTAGAGGTCGCAAAGCATATGGTAGAGGGTAAAGCTGGATGGTGATAAAAAAAGGGAAACCTAAGCTACTTGAATTTCATATTGTTTCAATAAACAATTAGTGTATTTATATGAGTTCTAAAAATCTTTTCATCAATCTCATTTAGTAAAAAATTGTACATTGATAAATTTTTTATCTTATGTCAGTTGTACTTTTATTGAGATTGCAACTATGTAGCTACGCACATGACCGGTATTCGAAAAGCATTCTCTTGTCACAGCATATTAGTTGTGGATTCATCTGTTTTTTAAGGGTTGTATTTCTCTTTTTATAGCAAATGCGTTAGCCTCCTGCTTTAGTTGAGTTTGACTGTCATTAAATCACTATCTCCCGTTGGTGTCGTCAGTATTGCACTACCTTTCTAGAAATTTTTTACAAGCAAAAATAAAGCGAAAAATTTAACTGAAACTGTACTCACTTGTCGAACGATATCAGTGTTAAATGACATATTTGATTCTCCATTTGTGCAATGTGGACTGCTCCTCTCTATAATTTAGGGCAATGAAGGAGGGGTGTTTTTGTCCGAGCTGGAAAGGCTACCCTCCTACTTTATTACTGAACAACTGCCCTAAGGGTCAGTACCGATTACTGGGGGGGGTTGAGGAAAATGCATGGTTTTCAGGGGGGGACGGGGGGGGAGGAGTAAGTTGATTCTAACAGAGTACTGGGATGGCTAAGAAAATTGACTGCTAATAAGGGAGGATCTTAAGAATGTCGCACTCAGACTTGTCAATGAACCAAAAATAAATTGACCCCAGGGAACAATTCTAGAATTTAATAAAAATGACCTGAGTTCATTTTTTACAACCTAGAATGTAGTCGACACCAGTCGAGACAAAAACATATTGACGACTGTTAACTCAACATTTAAATGGCTGTCGAAAAATTTCTTCTTTCAGTATAAAAAAGACCATCCAAATTCCTTCTTTCAGTACCATCCAGCAGGGTGTCATCTACGAAATCTCTTGGTTTGCACATCGATCAAAATATGAACTGATGATGTCATACACAGAACATTTGCAAAAAGAGTGCTTCTGCATTGGGCGCAATCAAGCGAATACGACATCTTATACCGTTTAATATATTAATTAATGCATATGATAGCCTAGTTCAGCCGTATGTTAATTATTGTGGTGTTGTCTGGAGTGACTGTGGCAGTGGTCTCTCCGAAAAGCTTCAGAAGCTCCAAAATCATGCAGCCCGTATTTTAATGTGTACCAATTATGACTCTGATATCGATGAATTGTTCCGGGTACTGAGTTGGCGTAAACTCAAATATCAAAGATTTGAATCAGCTGCTGTTATGATGTACAAATCTTTACATGGGATGACCCCTGAGTATCTGAGTTCTAGATTTGTGTTTCGGAACGACATAACATCATATCGATAAAGGAATACTGGCTCCTCCGCAGCCCCGCACCAATTATTTGAAGAAGAGTTTCTCTTACAGCGGAGCCAGGTTGTGGAACGGCCTACTTAGTGACCTTGGTGCAGCAACATCTTTACATGATTTTAAACTTAACATACGTCACCACAGTTTTGAATGATTTTTAGCACGGCATCCTTGTAAAGCAGCTTTTAGCTTGTAGTTTAGGTTAGTTAATTTAGTTAAGTTATTTGCTGAAGGATTTACCGTGTATGAATAAAGCTACCATTACCAGGTAAATTCTATAAATTTTATTGTAACACAATCAGAATTCTACTGGAACACAGCCAAAATTCTCTAAAAATTTGGGGGCCTTTTATAGGGTTCTAAGGAGCCGAAACTAACGCTTACCACCGGTACCAAAGACTATTCGCCTTTATTTGATTCGCAAAACTCTACTGCGTCACCAAATTTTTTTTCAGTTCAAAAGCTAATTCCAAGAAATCATGGTTTATACATAATTTCAGCGTCCTGGAACTGGGGTAGAGGTGTTCGCGCTAAAGAACCCTGGCCTTTCTCTGTAATTCTATAGGGCAGACACATATACTACATAGATGGAGTCTGTCCAAGTAGAATCGTTGAGCAGGTTTCGGTTTGAACGGCCGAGCTAGTACTAGCCGCGAGTGAAACGCCTTTTCTCGCTTTTTGCTATTTTTCTTCCCCTCGCCCCACCCTCGCCTGCAAATCCTGGTTCGACGCTAACATGATCACCTGACTATACTCTTTTTTTTTATCTTTCTATTTTTAATAAGAACCTTTTCAAATTCAATCAGACTTTGTTACAAATAAAGGGATTGTAATCCACATCTAAATGCCATGGTGAGGTAAGGGTTTTTCACGAAGCTAAGTGGCAATTCCCAGTTAAGGTGAATCAGGTTTCAAACAACTTCTTCCGATAAAGAGAATTATTAGCACTGGTGCCACTAGAATGTGCACAAGCGAGGGGTAACTAAAGTTACAAGTGACAGGAGTAAAAATAGCGTGAGTCTAGAGCTTAGAGCACTAGGTGTTCTTTGCTACAAATACAATTTTTCTTCTTTACTCAGTTAATTCAATATCTCATAGCCATCCTGCAAAATTCTTCCAATTACGTAAATACCATTTTTTTTTAATCGTTATCTCATTTCAATAAATGATCAAATCTTCGAATAACTTTGGCCTTTAATTATGCGATGCGTGATGTCAAATGGTAGAGTCACGCCTTTCATCAGTAACGCTGTCAAGCTCTTCATTCCATCGATGCACGCCTCAAATGGGGACAAGCACACGTACCAACCAGCACAAAAGAATCCTATTGGCCAGGCTATCAAGATTAGGAAAAAGAACCAGACGATCCCCCAAAGAATCTTCTTTCCATCCATTACAAACTATGTAAGAATTGATTGTTGAACTGTTTCAGATCGGCTCAACCTGCGCTGTACTTGAGTTACTTGTCTTGTCTAGGCTCAGTGGACGTCCTCCGATCGAGGAGTTTCCCTCCTGCATGGGAGAAAATCGTTTACTGTTATCATTCCAGATATTTCCTTTCAATTTCTCACATTACTGACAGCTCAGCAAGGCAATTTGAGACATACACGCAATTTCCCAATCGCAGGGTCTTCGCTAAGGATTTAACCGCAGTTAAGCTCTTTAATTACCATGATTATAAATTCATTAACAGTTCTCATGGGTTAGATGTGGGTTAGCCTGTAGAGCAGGCGTAATTTTGGTGAGCGAGTGCTCAGTAATTTCATAACGAAAATTATGGCCGTCATCTTTAATTTTAATGGCAGCTTAAGGCTGGAGAGAGAAATAAATTTGTACCGAGGGGGCGGTCGACGGTCAAAAATAAGGAGAGGGTGAGGGCAGGGGAGTGAAGATTTTCCCCTTCCCAATTCCCCCGCTTCCGGATGTCGAAAATCGAGAAGGCTTTTTAGGTGGTTAGAGGCGTGCAATTGCACTGATTTTTGGCTTGGCTCTAACACGTTTACCGAATTTAACGTGTCCGAAGTTGAGGTGAGGGAGGTGAGCGACATTTGGAAGCGGAAGAAATTCGGCGAAGTTCTGGAGGCTTTCGGCCCAGACGGTCCTGGAAGTTGCACGCCTTGTGTTTTTCCTTTGCCTTTGGAAGGGCATCAGTGCAAAGTGGGGAACTAACCGTCCCAAAACCCCGCAAAATCACTCGAGACGACAAAGAAAAACGAAGGTAAGTAAACTTTATTTATCTGACTGTCATTTTGGGGATGAAATGTTTCGATTTGCGGTATTTATGAAACATTTATCGAGATCACTACCGTCTAGCCGAGATCGACGGTTGCAAATTACAAACAATGTAAGAGTTCAACTAGCGTATCAAATAAGTGACGACCCACAGGGTTGTCTGCCTGTGGTTCTGTTATGAAATTTTGTAATCTTATCTAAAGTAGACTGCGCCATAAGCGAATGTAATTTGTCGTTTTAAACCATCAGTTCAAAGATCATTTCCTCGCTTATGGTTTTTCATTATGGTTCGTAACCGCTCTGTGTAATTTGTGATTGTAGTGTTTTGTGACTGCCATCTCCTTCGGTTGCATTGGAATGGTGAAGATTAAAAATAATAAAAAAAAACAATCAAAAATTAACCCACCTCCTCTTGCAGTTGGTGAGTCGATAAATCAAAACATGAACATCCCGCAAAGAATGGAAGGAATCGGTCTCACTCAGAAAGTTTTAGTTTTTCAGCGACTAACAATTCGCCTGCCTTCCGCTGGGACTTACGCGAGTCACGAGTTGTGCTGTCCGTCATCATCCCAACATACAGCATCATACGGTAACGCAACGACTTGAATGCCTGCATGACTGCGTACAGCAACGGACTTTGAGTAGGTTATGCATATCCATTTTGGCCTTATACAAGCTCAGTATTTCTTGAATATGAATTGCAATAGTTTTACTAGTTTTAAGATGTTTGTAGAGAGCATCGTCATATGATTACTGGCTTCCTATGACACGCGCATGCTGTATCGATTTCCCTCACGGAACGGACCATAAGAAAGTTATAAGACGGGAGGCTGGGTAATCGATTTCCTTTTTTTCGCTTTAAATTTTCGAGTTTGTTTTCTCTTATTTTTGCGTTATTTTGCGATCCGAATTTTTTAATCAGACATTTTCACTCTCGTGCAGTTGCCAATAAAGTTATTTCGCAGAATTGTCTTTGCACGAAGTTCGTGTTCCTCAATTGACTCTGAAAAATAATTCGAAAAAGAAATAAACATCCGAAAGAAGCCTGCCTCCCTCCAAAAACAAAGATAAAATTTCAGTTTCGAGACAAATCCCGGAAGTGTGAAGGATTGGGCAAGCCCTCGCGGAAGAAACAATCCTCTGAAAGTTGCAAAGAGACATCAAAAGTTATCTCTTTCGAGTTTGAATACCGTTATACGTTTTCAATTTACCTCTCTGACCATCTGATTGTCAAGGGCTTCTGCCATTAGTAACTTGCTAAGCTGATATTATGTCTCAGTCAATAATATTTCAATGAATAGGATGACAAAATAAAACCTGAAACGCCTTTGAAAAAGTCTCAAATGATCACTTTTTCTACCATGGTAACTTCACACTGCCGCCTGCCTCGTCATTTGCAGTTCTCGTTCCATAAAGCTTGCGTGACATGTGTACACTCGTGAAGGAAACGTGACCGCCGAAGGAATAAAATTTAAATTATTAGCTTCCATTTACGAAATATCTTAGCTCATTTAATTCGTTACCGCTTGCAAGGTTAAAAAAAGGTCGAATAAACATCGATATTGAGATTTTTTCATTTATAAAATGATTACTTGGACTGGAAGGATAAACGAAACCTCCAAATGATCAGAACAATTTGCATATCGCTTTGACGAGTAAACAGTCTTTCGTAGTTAGCTTTGTTCGCAAAAAGGCTTCAACCTGCCATTACAGGATTAAATATTTCGATTAAATTATATTAAGGTAATAAAAAAATTCCTTGGAAATGCTTAAGAAACATAAAAGCAAAAGATCGGTGGAAACGAACGAGGTTATTACAATTTAAATTTGAACGCGTCCGAAAACTGTTGTCTTTGTGTAAATTTTATTCAGAAGCTACGCCAATCATGCAAAAAATACGAATGAGATGGTGATATAAAGCCCTGTTTTAGTCCAGATAATGTCATTAAGAGTGAAGAGTTAAAAGCTACAAAAGTTTGCAGTAGGCTTTTGAAGAGAAATTCATAACAGTGATACACTTGAGATAATTTGATTGGTTTCAGGAAACATGAGTGTATCATTCCCATACCGGTGTCCTTTCAAAGCACTGCAGTTGTTACATCAGCGAATGTAGATATCAAGCATTTACATATACTATCGTTCTAACGTCCCATAGGTGCATCTTCTCTTACATATATTATACTCCACAAAGATAAACTCTAAACTAGGGGGGGCATCGAGCTCCAACTACCAGCCTTGCTTTCCTTCAACCATGTGTTGGGCCACTTCAAGCGGTAATTTGACGCCACGCATTAAAAGCTCTGTAATTCCTTTCATGGCATCGATGCAAGCTTCAAATGGTGAAAGGCACACGTACCAACCAGCGCAGAAAAATCCAATAGGCCAAGCGAGAAACCAGAGACAAAGAAGCCAAATGATTGCCCACAGCACGTTCATTTTCGCAACGTGGCCGAATTCCTAACAATATGAACCCGAAACACGAATATTTAGAAAAAGGCGTAGAAAATACTCTATAGATAAACAAAGTCAAGATCCAATCGTGGCTCTTACTCACGGGTGAACTCTCTCCTCTCTCAAGAGTTAACCTGGCTTTCTCGAATTCCGCTTTAGTTCAAAGCTATTCTTGTGTGACCTTTTGGAGATTACCTTTGTTTGTAACTGCGTTACTCCTCTATCTGAACCACAGTTACCCCAAGCTTGTGACACGAACGAACACGACTTCTCCAACGGGCGGTGTTGTATTTCACGCTATGGACAAGGGTTTAAGCAAAAACTCAGCGAGTTTTCTTTAAGGTATGAAATCCCTATTTGCTAACCTGCAGAATACCCGGCCACTTTGTTCCGCCTCACTTACATGTGCCGGGAGGCTTTAAAGATCGAGACATAACACAATAGACGGTATTCTTATTCAATGACATGTAAATGCGTGGCCGGGTATTCTGCAGTTGCTCCGATCTATTACTTCGAAAGTAAAATTTGTCTTACCCTCCTGCCTTAAAGTTCTCTTTTTAGTGTTCTTTGGTGCCGTAAGTAAAAGCACTCTTCGGTGTTGTCTGAGGGAAAAGCCTCATTCACCATACCATAGTTATTCGAGCTGGTTATGGAATACTGAATGTAACACAGAATAGTTAGGTGGGGTTGAAAACCTTGGACTATAATAGGATGCTAAGAGTCTCAGTGACTTCTTTGAGCAGAAAAAAGAATCCACTGTTCTTCCCTTTCTGGAAAAAACCCATGAAGGCATTCCTTCGTTATCCTTGACGCCCTACTTTGAAAGCAGATCACACAAATGCACAATGCTTCGACACGTACCACTGTCAAAATACCGTCCTTTAATGAAGATTTTGTAAACATTACAGATATAAAATGGGTTTAAAATGGATAAAAGCAATGTTATATATGTTAGGTGCTAAATAGTAAAAATATATAATTCTTCAAAGATCTGTGACTAAAATTACTTCAAGCGAATGAAAAATGTAAATACAAGTTAACATGATGAAGCCAGCAATCACAATTGAAAATCAGCAATGTTACAGATTCTGAATTCCTAAACAAATCTAATCAATCAGTTCTAACCTGCTGCAATATCACAATTAACCCCTCAACTCCTAAGATCTGATTCTGTTCCACATTTCCTTGTAAATTAGTTGCAAGACTTTGGGGTTAGATCAAGATGACAACTTCTATCAAGTAACTAAGTATTCTCGTTGCCTATTTGCTGATGATGTATAAATACAACGAGAAGTTACATGTTGATCATTTCTGAAAGATAAAGGGTTAACAGCAAGCAGCAATAGCAAATTCACATACAAATCTATGCAATAAATTATGTTGGAGGCTTAAAATTAAAAAAAAAAAAAATACAAATCTTCAAAATTTGTCTAAATTTTTTTGGAGTGAATGAAAAATGCAAATACAAGTCAACTTGATTAACCCAGCAATCACAATCAACAGCAAGCAGTTTACAAATACCAAATTGCATACAAATCTAAGAAATAATTATTCAATTTTGCATCTATGAATAGCTTCAGACATCTGAAGAAAACACAACACTTAAGCTCTGTACAACTAGTGTATTTTGCAAATCACCATTGATCTGAATTACACAGCTTACCAGAATTTTTTTAAAGAATACCTACTTAAGGCAACAACTAAGACTCGATTACCTGCCCTTGTAGTGGAAACAAGCTCACACCCCTCCCAAATTCCTTCACAGGAGGTTTACGGGCAGGCCTTGACTGAATGGGGGGAAATCAACTCTGCCCAAGGAAGAACCACAAGGAATTTCATCCAGATGACCCAATTTAGTTACTCAAGAAAATTGAATACCTAATGATGGGAAATTAAAATTTTCTCCTCACAAGTGAGGGCTTATATTTCAGATTTTTGCTTTGGTTAAGTGCTGTTAAAATGATTATTATTTGCATCAAAAAGGAAAACCATAAATAAGGATTTAAAATTTTGTGTTGAAAGTAAAAAGCTATATCTTGTGCCTGAAAATATATATATTTGTTAAAAGGTGTATAAATCTCTGATATTTTACTTCAATGTCAGTGAATAATCCCGAGAGAAAAGATGAAAAGTTTTGAAACTTCCCTTCTAGAAGAATGTAGATTTTACTTTAAAAATATGAATGAAAAAAAAAATTGCTCTTAATTATAAGGCTATATAGCAATTGGGCTTGGACTTCAGATTTTTCCTTAGTTAAATGCCGTTAAAATGATCACAACTCAAACCAAAAGAAAACCATAAATATGGATAAAAATGTTTGTGTTGAAAGTAAAAAGCTGTCTTATGCCTGAAAGTATATATATCGGTTAAAAGAAGGTGTATAAATCTCTGGCAATACTTAAATAATTGTTATCACACTTAATCAGTAGCCGTCCACCCCTCAGAAAGGAATAAACAGCTACATAACATGTGATAGCTTTCAGTCATGTTTCAACCACTGTTTAATGCAGCCACACATCATTCACTTTGAACAAAAATAAGTCTTGACACTGGACATTCATGTAGCTCATAGAGCTAAAACGGTCAGGGATCACTGATTAGTCACCTAAAAATGCAAAATGTGGTTGAATTAACACATTGGCCATTATACAGCTGTGTACTTAGATGCCAAGCCTTTGATTTGGAGTGAGGCTGAAGGTGACCTTACCGTGATAGAGACCAGTATCTAGTTGGCATGATAACAAAGCAATTTACATTTGAAAAGCAGCAAGGTTTGTATCAAAACAAGGTCAACCTTAGCCTCACTCCTATTCAAAGACTTGGCAACCAAGCACACAACTGTAAATTAAATGGACATGAGACATGAGGTGTAATTGCTTCAAAGAAAGGATGCTTACAAGTCATAGGATATTAGACAATTCATATAAAGAGGAGTTTCTGCTTAGCTTAATCTGCTAGTTTACAGGGAATCCACAGAACACTTTAAATATTTCCCCACTGCACCATAACCCACTAGATATCTGTGCCGAGATGCTCCCTTGCAATGTTATACCCACAAAGCTTATGTTCTAGTGACAAGACCATTTTTGAATCCGATATTTAACCTCTTCATGCATGAAAGGAACTAGAACAAATTACTTGTTTCTAATTCTTAGAGTAAAACACACAGCCTCCCCAAAACACCTCTTAATTACCAAGTGATGTAAAACTATGTAATTGAGGAATTAAGACAAACTGCCATACCAATACTAACCATTTTAATAACAGTAATAATAAAATGCTGGTACAGTATATTGGGTTGTGCTTGGCACGGTATACTGGGGTGCCTGAAAAACAAAAAAATTTATATACATATAAATACAATTATGATATTTTTTACTAACCATTGGAAGGTTTGCATATAAACCAAACTGAAAACATTCTAACATATTCATTACCAATATTTAGGGAACACTGTTGTATTTCAACACTACATACCACATAATTGATGGGCTGCTGAATTGGATGGTTGTATACCTAATCATGAAATGAATAGGATGTGAATGAATGTGTCTAAGGCATTCTCTAAAGAAAATGTGAAGTCTTTGTTGAATGGCGTTGACACAAGTCATGAAGAATAAACATAATTTCACCCATCTTTGATATGCCTTACAAAACAAATTGGCACTCTTTTTTCAGTTTCAACAAACATTTCATTCTAAACTTCACTGAATTCATCAATGCATTGAACAAACAAGAGACTAAAAGTTAATTAATTCCAAACAATATTGTTGAGTGAAATAACATTACACAAATTTCTTTTCTGAATTACATGGCTTAATTCATTGTAAAACTAAAATGATAACAATGGTTAGTAATAAGACAAAAGAGGAATAAAATAAATAAGTATTAGCACCAACAGCCAAAAAGTCTCTAATAGTGATTAAGTTTGATAACTAAGGTTTCCATAATTGGTGCATTGTGCCATACAACGGAATTTGAACTAACCGCATTGCAATTTATCAAGGGAGGCATATTCATGTTCATGTTTGGCTCTACAGGCACAAGAACCAGTTGTTGTGGTTGTGTCCCTGAATAAGAAATCAAAACATAATGCCTCAGTCAAAATTTAATGAAGCTATGTTGATGTACTATACAAAATTATTCTCCAAATGTTAATTTTCATAATTTGTAGCTTCTTTTTCTTCTTGTAAGCACAGTGATGTTCTGACATCACACTTTCTATGATTAAAATTGGAAAACAGGATATCTTTCATTAAAGGAATAGAGTACTTTTTTTTTCTCCTGTGTTAAGATAGCCTCATGACTTAACACTCTAAATTGTTTTGTAATAAATGACAAAAAACACATGAAGTGAGTGATTAACAACTTGGGACCAAAAAGTATCCATTGTGATCACTGTAATTTTTGCATCTACACCATGTGCAACCCGAACTAACCTATTTGATTACTGGATCCTGTGGAAAAGAACTGTCCCCCTGTCTAAAAAATAAAACATTTTTATAGAACATCATATTACACAGTTCAGAAATCAAGGAGATGTTGTAACATTGTTCTGGTACTCAAGGGAGAACCCCTTTAATGTAACAAAAAAACAATTGTCATCTAAATTATTTGCACTTGAGAGGGATAGGAGCTTAAACCAAAAAATGACTCTTGTTTTTCTTTATTATTGGGGCCAGTCCCATGTATTGAGTTGATTCTTACCTCTTTTTTCACTGCTTTTCGGAGGCGCAGTTTCCTTCCACCCTTGTAATCAATTGTTCCCTAAATTGGTAGAGATTACTGAATAATATTGTTATATCAAACACAAAATTGATATCTACCCCTCAGTACACTGTGATTTCATATATGCTGCTGTGTGCTTTGGACTTGCACACTCAGGAGTCAATTCAACACAACTAATATAACCAACTGCTATCTCCGTTAGTTTTGTGGCTGGTAATATGTTAGGATATTTAGGGACTGTAAGTAGCATGTGATTCATGTTGTGAGCTCCAAATAATACACAGCTGTTGTCATTTAACTGTAGAATACTAAGCTCAGATCTGGGACTTAGAAGCTATTCAGATCAATCATGAAAGACATTTACTCCATCAAAGACCATTAAATAATCTCTGAAAATTTTCCAAAAAGATATATCAAATCCTAGTATAATCCCATAATTGACATTTTTCTCTATTCTCATCACCTACCTGCTTGATATTGTATTGATATTGTAAGGAGAAATTCTGTCTTGGTCACTTGTGGGAGTGAAAGGGTTAAAGCTTATTTTTTTTCCTTCTTTGAATGATGCTTGTAAGTTCTGCATCTGTTTCATATATTATAGACCTTCACTTAGATATGGCTAACTAACAAAAAACAGATATAAAGATACCTTTTCAATGAGATCATCTCTAGCTTTCGTTGTGTTGAATGTAACAAAACCGTAACTGCAAAAGACAAAAAAAATACATCTTCCAAACTACAGACGTATGTAACCCTAAAAACTTGAGAGAGAACGTTAGGTTAAGAAAAGAAAAATTTCCGTGCCACTGGAAGAAACACAATCGACAGAGTCACGGATACCGGTTTCAACATTGAAATGTAACAGAAGTCATTTATTTCAAAGGCTAAATGCCATGTTCAGTTCACATATTGGGGCTTCTACGCCTGTTTTTAAAAGAGCGAACCTTCGCTAAATTGCTGACCCTACGTGAAAAAGAAAAGGCCTCCCATCCGAAATGATTGTATTACGATCTTACAGGCAAACAGAGACGATGACGAAACAGCCGAAATTAACAACTGGCTCAACTGTGGCATTGCACGCACATTAAAACCACAGTGTATATTTCTTTCCTAGTCATAAGCGAAATTAATTTGACGGCCAAATTTTGAGTTTCTTGATTAAAAGGTGAATCATTTCTTTGAACTATTCTGCCGAGGATATCTCTAACGCTATCACAGCCACGTTGAACATAGTTATAGCCACTAGAGAAATTTTTGGTTCAAGCAACTGAAAGACAGGTCTTTTTTCCAACGTTTCTTCGACGGCGCCGTTATCGCAATGTCTTGATGTACCTTAAGGCGCCTTGCTGACGACCCGACTCCTCTGATAGGTCAAAGAGTTACCGGTGGTGGCGCGATGAACCGAGAGCTTGGGATCGTTCTCGCTGTAACGCCTTCTCTCCTTTGCATATTCATGGTTGACAGAAAAAATAACTGAGTGGAACTTACTGTTTGGAAAATTTAGTTCTTCACTTGAATTAACTTACCCTTTATTGAAGCCAGTTTTCCTATCGCAGACAATGCGAACATCCGTCACTTCACCAAACGTACTAAAGAAATTCTCGAGTTCCAACTCGCTTGTCTGTTAGAGGAAAAAACTGGTTTGTTAGACTGAGCCACAGACATAGCTTGAAATTTTGGCTAAATTGATAATAAGCAAGAATTGACGCAGCTATTTTATTCCACAAATATACCAAATCAGTTTCTACAACCAAAGTTGTAATTACGTCTCTCCAGAAGACTACCTATTTGTACCTTCAAGGCCGCCGATCGACAACGCCTTCACTTACCTAATTTTGTCAGAATAGCTGAAAAAATATTTCGAAAAATATCTAAATTCGATACTGTTGCGTTTCACTTCAATGTTAAATATATTGTAATAATCTTTCGATGCAAATAAAATGAGCAAAAAGTCTGTTTACAGTTCACTACATGAACAGGTGTACGACAAGGGGGCGAAATGGCCACTTCTAACACAACTTCAATTCGTAACAAATGAGATTGAACAAACAAACAAACAAAGAACAAACAGACAAACAAACAAACAAACAAAAATACAAACATGTGCAGTTCTTTATCTGAAGGAAATGACGTTAAGCTTAAACTCTGCTTTGCAATAGTATGCACAATTGAACTGGGCAGAATGAACTTCGAAATGTACCTTACGATTATACGTTCGCAACTGAAAACAACTACACCATCATTCGAATGATAAACGCGAGATCTTTAAGATCGGATACTTCCAGTAGAACCATAAAAGTAAATAACACTTCTGGAGGATGTTCTAAAAATATGCTCAACTTACATCGCGAGCAAGTCCTCCGATGAAGACCCGATTGATAATTTCGTGTCCATCGGGTACAGTTGAAACCTTGAACAAACGCATGAAAGAAAAATCGTTTTAAAGTGTGATACTTAGAAGTTTCAGCGCCATTCATTCAAGTGTAAACCAAGGAATGCGTAGCGATTACTTTCAGAAAAGTACGGGTGTTTTACGTAACTATACAAGCTTCTCAGGATTCATTGTTCTAAAGATGAAGAAAGCTACTCTAAATTTGTAGTTGTAATGTTTAAATAGTTAACAAAGAAGTGAACGAGTTCAAGAGACTGTTCAAACAATTTATGTTTCTTGACCCTTTCAGTTCAAGTGAACTATTTCTTTTGCAAGTCCAATATGAATCAACCATCACGGAGTCACCCTAACAAGGTCTTAAGATCTTTATCGCAATATTTACAAAAAGGCTAGGCACCACAAGACACAGAGTGAAGAAAAGGAAAAAATATCCCAAGTTATAACTTCATACGTACCGACTTCGCTGTTTTGTTCATTTCCAGTACTTTGCCTTCTAGAAGCAATCACAGTCGTACGCTCGTTATTTTGCGTAAACTTCCACTGCTGATGCTAAAAGTCAAAGTTTACTGTTAACGTTACGCAATGTGATTGGTTAATACAGAAATAACATGTCAATTTCGTAAAGCAACGCGTCAGATTCCATTTTTGGAAGAATAAGTAATGAAAGCCGTGCGGAAGAACAAATAAGTGGATCGAGGAAGAGAAATCTAACGAAAGCATCGAAACGACGATATATCATCTTAAAACAGTGTGTTCCAAATCTACGTGGGAGGGACTCAACACTTGTCAACGTAAAAGGAAAAGTGTTTCAAAACACAACTGATGACAGCTCCACAAAGGATACCATTTCCTTAAAATGCCAATCATTTGATATTAATCGCAGAAAAGAAGACCTTAATCCGAGATTAGCGAGTATTTAATATACCATCAATCAATCCAGATTCCTAACTGATACTTCTCAATTAAAGTGTTAAAGAAAACAAATGTTTTAAAGACCGTAGATAACAATGTCAAAGGAAATCGATACCCAAGATAAAGTACCTTTTACACATTGCTCCTGCTGAGGTGTTTTGAAGAGTGAATTGTCCTCGGTGAGAAAGCCGAAAACTTGAACGCTTATCTCGAGCTCCGAAGGCAAAACTATATGCAGCTTTGACGTACTTCTCTGAGGGTCAGTGTACTGCATCCATTTAGTAACGCGATTTTAAGAGCTCGATGTCTGAAGAAGTACAAGGACGAAGTAAGGCCTGTACCAAAAAAATAACCTTGACGTATTGGTTTAACGAGCTTCTTTATTTGCAAATTCCTACCTATAATTACACTATACCATTTACAAACAGGGAATCACAAATGTGCAATAGCGCAGTTAAGCCAGCGATTTGGCCGGAAACATAACGCGAAGTTTCGCTCGAAAATTCTGAAAATTTCTTCAACTGCCAAGGGCATACGTTCAGGTAGCTATTTTTCACAGGACTTTGATTTGTCGGGGGCTAACGTATCATTTATCGTTTGTCTCTAATCCTTTTGATTCTAGTCGTGGTGGTGGTGATCATTTTTGCAACAAAACAGAGCAGTTCACATGAAAATCTCCTAGAACCTCTCTGCCCTGTAAAAGTCCTTTGGTAAATATTCAGCATCTTTAAAACATTTTTTCTTCATTTTTCAAACATTTCCACCAGTGGATAGTTTTACGCCGATTAAGCAACAAGGATATAGCTAATATATCAACTAGAGCTCCACAATATCACCGCTTTAAGTCTTTAACAAAAAACAAAAAAAAGGGGAAAAATATTTCTCTGTAAGATGGAAGGAAGGAAATGTGTAAAGCTCCAGCCTCTTAAAGTCTCTCGCCAGCATAGGCTCAAAAGGCTCCGTTCATTTTGATATTATCTGTCATCATATTTTCAAGTTTCCATTCTACAAATACTTTCTAAAAATCGCGAATAAACTTGAATTTTTTTACGAACAGTTCAATGTCACAGACGTTCTGCTAGATTAACATCGAACTACACTCCCTCTCACACATTTAGATCGGCCTCGAGAATTCTACCTGCCAAAAGAAATATTACCTGGTGCGCAAGCTTGAGCTCAGTTAACCACTAATTTCCTCTATCGCTGCTTCCAGCGAATCCGGCTTTCCGCACTCTTTTTCTCAAATAAATTATTCATGTCTTATATTACTGTATTTTCAGCCGCTACCTAGAAGTTCATTTGCAAATCCGTTCACATTTAGTTTTCACTCTGAGCTCCGAAGGGACCGCGTTTCCCGCCTTTGTGCAAGTTCGCAGTCACATATCAGATACAACAGTAGAAAGTCACGCTTCAACGCAGTATTTTTCTCCTTGCTTGTCTTGTCTTGTGACTGAGGGTATTTTATAATAGGAAACCCCTGCAGCTTTTTACGAAGCAATTCCGATCTTGGATAAGGTGTGTCGCTCCTGTGCATTCAGTGCTTGTAAGTAGCTCGGATAACACTGTTGTTGAGCGAACGTCTGTAGAAACTTGATCAAGTGACTCTGGGTGAAAGGAAAATTGAGATGAGGCCAATCACTCAAAATGAAAAACCAACAAGAATATAACAGAAAATCTGGTATTATTGCGCATCGGCACGAACGTTTTTTCGTCTAGGGAAAGTTGTTAAAGGCTTTGAGCAACGCGAATCGGCGAAAGATCTGCCAGCGGTCTAGTACTGAAAATTTTTAGCGCCAGATCCCTGGAAAACCCCTCTCCAACTCGTCTCAAATCTTCCCGGAGACGGAGAAACGCTCGTCTGGCAGTGCTAATAACGAGCAGGCTATCAAGAGTATGCCAATGTTGATTTAACAGGCATGTTAAAAAGACGCATTTTAAGAATCAAAGGTTACGAATGGCGAGTTGTTATGAAACATTTCCTGAGCATCAAGCCGAGATGGACCCTTGGAAATTAACACAAATGTAGGAAATCAGTGCAGAGTGACCAAAAATTGATACGGTGATACGGCCTCAAACTCCTGTTTGCTCTGACGAAGGGCTGACGCTCGAAACGTCAGCTTTAGCAACTCTTCGCGGTGGTTAATTTACATTCTCAACGAATTTATCTTGTAAAAACACCTCACCGACGCAGCACCACAGATTCTCGGAAACTTACCCCTTTTGCTCTTACTGATAGGGCACTTTTCGGGCACGAAAAAAAAGTATCCGTTGCATAAATATTTTGATAAGTGAAGGGTTTGTTTGTAAAGACGCTTTGCGTCAATTTTCGCACTTGTCATCTTTAATCTTTTATCTTAGAGCGTGAGGTTAAATCACAGAAGGATAAAATAATCAGTAGTTTACCTGTAAATCAAGTGTATAAATGGGATCACTCTTTATCTCTGGGTCATCATCATCTTCATCTTCAAAGTCTTCTTGATCAAAACCTGGACGATAAGAAGCTTAAGATAATCAAGGACAGCTGTTCTTATGTACACAAACCAGTAAAGTGCACCACACGTCATGCTCGACGAACTCAGATCTCACCCAGCGAGCAGGCCCTCGTTGCGGGCGTTTCTTTGCCCGCAGTAAAGAATGAGGCTTTGAGCTTGGCGAACATGGGGTCTACTACTAAAAATTAGTGCCAGATCCGGGAAAACCTCTTCCCGACTCGTCTCGTATCTTCTCCCGTGCGGTAAAACGCGCATTCTGCGACGCTAATAGAGAACTTAAGATGAGACGTTTTTGAGACTTGGACAGCTACTGGAAGATGAATAAAACTCATTCTTGCGCACTTTGAGATCAATGCAGCGACTGTAAGGTGGTCGCTTTAGCATTTTAAATCAAACTGTGCCGACCCAAAAAAAGTGTGGTGAGCACTATGAAGAGAATATTTTAACCTCCGGCTTCCGTCTGCCTCTCAAAAACGTTTGTGCTTAAGCTCTCTATTAATAATCAAGACCTCTTCGCAGGCTATTCACAATTTTCCGTCCGTATTTACAGTATTCTGCTCCTCCTCAGCAGCAACCAGACAAACGAGGGCTTTCAGATAAACGCGAACTGAGGAGGAAATTGCTTCAATTTGAATAAACAAAATTAATGCATTGGAGGCGCTAAAATGAGAAAAAGTGACGCGTCTTGTGCGAGGAAACAGAATTTTTGGAGACAACAGGAAGAAGTTTATGTGAACACTTGGTATAACTAGACACAAAGATTACTAACGTAAACAATGAGCGTAGAATTGACGTTAAAAGTAGTCGTCAAAAGGCAGAATCTCGTCACTTTGGGTTATATCTGTAAGGGCAATTATACCGACTTTGTTGAAGTTTAATTGCAGAGTGCGACATAAAAAGCTATTGTTTCTCAAGCGTCAAAAATGTTTGGAAGGTGATGAGAAAATGGGGCTAAAATAATCGTCGCGGAAATAAAACCATCGATTCCACTTCTGGGCTCTGGCGTGGATATTAGGACTTACAAAAATTCAGGCGACTTACAAATTCGTGATAATTTCATGAACGCTTGTTTTCGCTAAGCGCGGGGTAAATCATGGAATAATCATGAACGAGTGTTATATTCTAAGGTGTGTACAGAGGTTGCCAGTTTAAAACGAGCCCTAAACCAGCCTATAAAACTCTCCATATTCCAAGGAACAAACGAAGAAGTGAAGGGAGTTTCTCTTCATGAAAAACTACTTCAGATTTTTGGGTAAAGAGTGCAACCGTTCATTCTTGTATTAAAGCACACTATTCGCCCATTGTGCAAGATGATCATACTTCCATGTTTGCCGAGGCTCATTGTGTGAACTTGGGCTACTTGTGGTCTGAATAAAAGATCGTACCTAAGTAATCCGACGCAGGCGCAAAAGGTGATCCAGAAGCATCGATGCCTTCTTCTTCATCATTCACGTCCTCCCAACCCTCCTCTCCCTTGAGACAAACGAAGCACAGTGAGTTAACAGGACTATCAGCTTAATACCGATCAATAAACAGCTCTGTCATAATTTCGTAAATATTGAGAAGAAATACACGCTTAGAAAATTATGATGTGGTTAATAGTAAGTGTGAGTCAAAGACTGCGCAAAAAAAAGAAAAGTCTCATAGAGCAAGCAGCTAGGCTCTATATCAAGGAAGGAACTCGTATGCTTACGTCGTCCGAGTCCCCGTCCTCATGCTCGTCACCCGCCGTAGCACTTTCCAGTAACGTGCCCAGCTCATTGATGATTAATTTAAAGAGCTTGACTGGAACAGGGATCAATGTCCACTGCTCGGGAGCTGAAACAAGATGCAATTTTAAAAATCAAATAAAAGAGTAACCAGGTTCCACGAACTTAGGGTAAGAAACTGTTCTGCGTACTCAATAGACTCATGTTGACACCAAGATGCGCCAAACAACTACTAGCACTATTTGGGCGGGAAAATGCACAAAAAAACTTGATATTTAGGCGGGAAAAAATGTTATACGCGCCGACCGATTTAATTTTGGCGAGAAAATAAAGGCATTTAAAAAAAATATTTTCTGGGAGTCGCTGAGAAAAGGATGCAAAATTGTGTATAATTGACAACCAGATAAAAAGCTGGGTGAAGCTATCAGTGACCTACCTTTGGCAGCTCTTGATCTTGTTCGGATGCCTACCACAAAGACAGAAAGGAAACCTCTAGAGTTTAATATGACACACCATTGGTATAAGCTCTAGGCATAGTACTCACAATTCCAGTATCTGAGCAACTTCGCTCCTACCCCTCCTCCAGCCCAACTTGTTATCAGTCGACTGTTGTTGGGTTAGGGGAAGGGTAGGTGTGCAGTTGTTTAGATACTGACATTTATCCGCATTCGCAACTCATATTTACAATGCAATCCCCAGCCTCTAGACGTCATCAACATGGGGCTTCTTGTCACATTTTCAATAAATTATTCGTCAAACAGGTGATGAAAAAAAAAGGGCAAACTTAACCCAGAGAGAGAGTTATCTTGATGTAAGAGAATTTCTCTTGCTTAAAGTAAAAAATTCTCTTAACTAATTCAAAATGAAATGTATAGCCACAGGAAGGGAGAAGTGTCAATCATGTCTTAGGGGTTTAAGGAGGGGACCTGAACGATTGAAATTAAAACTGAGATTTGTATTCCTTGTTTTTATTCATGGGGAATATGGGTTTTTTAGGTCTCTGGAACTAAGAATCACAAACGATAAAAAATGGGCATAATATTGAAGTAAGAAAAGAGCTTAGACTGGAAATAAAATTTGGCAAAAATTTTTGCCCTGCAGTTAGATCTTAAAGTACTCCCCTCTCTCTGCAGGAGCCTCTCACAGGGTAACCAGCTTATTAGAGTAAGAGCACAAGTCAGTACCTTCATCTTGCTGAAAAATCCTCTCGCCTTTCACAATTATACTTGAAAGTCTTTTGTCACCAGTGTTCACGAAGAACTGTAGTACATTACAAAGGGCCATAGTACTAAAAAAAAAAAGAAAAAAAAAGGAATCGATAAACAGTTGAATACTTCAGACGAAACGTTTCTCCTCACCACACCAACTCCTCTTCCAAACAAGTTTTGATTTCAACGGCGTGTTTACAGGGAGTTGATAACTGGGCATTATATACGTTTCGTATAAAATAAGAAGGTATACAGAAAGTTAACACCACAAAGAGCGCACCCAGGCGAAAATGGTAACAAAGCTCACGACCCCAGCTCTGTGATTGGTCAGAAAACTCACGCCATTTTCTCAACCAGTTAGATGAAAAACTAAACAACTTGGTCACGCGCATTTCCGTGCGCTTTAGCCAGTTGGCTCATTTCCTTTCTTTCGCAGCGCTTCCTTAGCATGCTTTCCTTAATTCTAATAGAACAATGTGTTAACTTTGGCTTTTCACTGCGACACTCGCTCTACTCTGCCTCTGAGTTACCTCACTTTACTGTCATATACGCCAAAGAACTCGGGTTGTCTTGCACACCATATCCTGACCACATACTCCAGCGCTGACTTGCCAGTTGGGTCTGGGACTCCACTCAGAAAATTGAGGATCGTTTCTAGCTGACTGTTCATTAAATGAAGAAACGAAAGGACCAGTGACTGAAAGAAAAAAAAAAAATTTTATATATATATGTATACATATGTATGTATTTATATATCAGGATAATTCATTTACCATTGAACCGTGACTGAACTCCCAAAAGATAGACAAAGCAAACTTGGAGAGAGCTCTAACGCAGAAGATTTCATCGAAAATAAGTAATTCACAAGTGGAGGCGGTTGGCTGAGACAAAAAATTTCAACGTTTACTAAGAAACTTTCTTCCGCACTACAGGGGAAACTTCATAGATTGAGATAACCCACAAAATAATCTAACCTTCAGAAACGAAAAACTTTGTTGGTTGATAATAATTTCATATGAAGTGTCTCACCTGTATTATACTTAACGTTTCTGCCTGTTGAAGTTTGCTAAGGACTCCTCTTAAAAGCAAATCAAGGTTGTCCCCGAGGTTACTTCCGACCTACAATGAGAAGAGGAAAATTATGTCTGGTGATTTAAAGGGATTTAAGTGCGTCCACAGAAAATTCCAAGTTGTAATGTGAGTAAAGTGTAGAATATTTATCAACCAACAGTCAAGAGCATTTAAAAATGTTTTACAGGTTTTCCTTAATATGTATCCACAAACGCATTAAGTACGAGGGATTTTGTCACTTGCCTTACTGATTAAAGTAGTCACCAGTCTACCAACAAAGGAGGCCGTGAACTCTGGAGCCCTGGGGTCGAGTAGGTGTGAAGTTGCTCGAACAACGTAAGAAATGGCGCTATTTCCTTGAGAATCCCGCCTAGAAACCAAAATTAAATTAGAAAGAAATGCACAGTTCAAGATTTAGTTGTAAGAAATAAAGGTGTTCGCATTTAAGTAAGTGGGTTACGGTACAGTGTCAGTACACCAGATAATAAAGAAATAAGAGCTTAATTCTGGTTGGCCATGATGATCATATCGAGTTTCGTTTGACTAGAAGGCTTTGTCAAGGCGATCGTTATAGGAAGGTCTCTACCAACGAGAATGTCTGTAAAAAAAACTCACTACAGTTGCGTTCATCACTGTAGGGAATGTAATTTTCAAGGAAAAATGAGAGGGTGATGGTTACTCACCAAGCACTCATCTGCTCAGGAGATACGTAGACAAATGCACGAAGGCACTGTCCGCCTCCCTAGAATAAAAACGAGGATATTCAAACTCTTAGTCAGCACTCAGGCAAAAATGATTCAAACCAAAGGGAACTGAGTTTTTGAATAGTACGATTCCTCGTTATAATAATACTGTTGTTATAAAAGGTCACCTTTTAGGCTTTCTGTCGGATTTTCTTGTAAATCAGAAGCCAACCCCCCCCCCAACCTCAGTATCTTGTATGACGTAAGGACACAACAAAATGAAAAGGGCTACGATCCGAACCCGAACGTCTCGACTGGCGAGTTCAAAGTGTAAATACAAGTATGCAGATCTTTTCGTTTCTGACGAACAGACTGTGTCCGAGAGAAACTTAGATATGCTGTCATTTTGAAAACTTTATCAAAAGACCAACGTAAGGACAATCTTGTAAGAATGGGGAGAGGCAAGCTTGTGAGAATGGGGAGAGGCAAGCTTATGAGAATGGGGAGAGGCAAGCTCGTAAGAATGGGGATAGGCAGGCTTGTGAGAATGGGGAGAGGCAAGCTCGTAAGAATGGGGAGAGGCAGGCGTGTAAGAATTGGGAGAGGCTATTCACCTCGTAGCGAAAAATTATTCATTCTTGATTAATCATCGTTAATGAAGCTACGTCACATAATAATAATCTGAGTTGTTTTTGTGTCTCTGAAAATGAAGGTTAATTTTTAAAAACCCTACATATTTATTTGCCAGGGTAAAAAAAAAAACACCTACGAGGCTAGAGGAAACCGAAAAAGACACTAAAACTGTTCCAGATACAGAATATTGATAAGGATTGCAACTAGCTAAGGTTATATTCTTTAATGAAGTGCGAACCGTGTGCAAACACACCAACGTTCTTTGAGCAATAAAAGTGGTGTCTAAATTACCTGCAACACCGCATTGTCATCAGAGCCGAGTATTGTTTTGACAACGACAGGAAACACAGAGTTCAGTAGCAGATCGGAAAGGGGAGGCTGTGTGCACCGAATGATGTTACATAGGATATCCATACAGACCTGCAAAGAAGTAAATACGGACGAGTGACATCAAGCGACAGGTGGAAATTCAACAGGTTAAAGAAATACATTTAACCGACATTGAGTTACATGAATGGTAGGCGCAACGTACGATCACAGGCGTGGAACTTTTTTCTTTGGTTTCGTAACCTTTTACCTCTTACATCGGCATGCATATTCTCCATACTGTTATCTACACATTTACTAAGGTGCTGACTAGGAGAATTTGTTTAACAATCAAAGCTTCTAAGGTCGGCGATCATGTCCTTTATTGTCATGATCGTCGTGAATGATTCAGCAGTATAACTGTAAGGAGAAATAAGATGCTGGTCACTCTTAGGGTTTGAAGGGTTAATCGATTTTTACACGCAGGAAAAATGAAAACATGGCGGATATGTTTTCGTTTTTCCTGTAAGAAGGGAGCATTCAGGATCAAGGGAGAAAAATGAAAACAAGAAAGCTGTCGAAATACTACAAAACAATATCTAAAATTCGTTCGAGCTTGTTCTTAACTTTAAATGCTTCTGTGTTTTCAACTTACAGCATTTATTCCTAAAGGTGTCTTTTCTGGCGGTGCTTGAAAAATACTTATTACAGTCGGCAAAAACCTCTGTTGTAAAAGCTAGAAAAGAAAAAAAGAGAGAGAACTTTGTTAAGAATGAACAGAGGAGTAAACAAGTAAAGATTCAAAGAAATAGCAGGAGAACTACGTCAAGCATAAAAGGACTCCTGTTCGGTCCTCGTTCGGATGATTTCGTTTAATGTCGGATGTTTTCCTCCCTTTCTCGAACAGTTCTGTCTGATTTCGGGCAGTTACGTTTGACTTCGTACGGTTTCATCTGATTTCGGATCATTTCGTCTTATTTACGGACAGTTTCGTCTGATTCAGACCGTTCCGTCTGATTTCGAACGGTTTCGTCTGATTTTGGATAGTTCTGTCTAATTTCTAAAGGTTACTTCTGATTTCAGACATTTCTGTTCGATGTCGGACGGTGCCGTCTGAAATCAGACATTTAGGTCTGACTTCGTCTGATATCGAAGGGAGTTGTCTTATTTTGCACAGTTCCGTATGATTCCGGTCAGATCCTTCGTATTTCCAGCGGCTTTGTTCGATTTCCTGTCAGATATTGGAGGATTCGTCTACATTTGAGTGTTGGTAGGCTCCGCCTTCTTTGTGCAGGTCGCAGCCCATTTAGGTCACACTCCCTAACAGTCCTTGCGCTTTTTTCCCCGACTTGGAACCTGGCTGTTAAATTTGAAGCTTTTATGGAAGTAAAAGAATTACCTTGTTACAAGCCTCTATCATGGCAAGTTCTTTGAATAAGTCCTCTATCAACGGAATAAGAGCAGCATCTGAAAACAAAGACACAGTTAACACCGAAGTGGCGGGGTATTTGCTGGATTGACTCTCAACACAGGACACGAAGGGGCGTTTGTAGTCTTGGGACTTATTGTGTGCAGAGCTTCGCCTGAATAGCTGTGTAAATATTACGTTGTGTACAGAAAAATCCTGGGAACAGCATTCCTTTCGCAAAATTTCAATAGTTTTATGTGATTATAATGTAGTTATAATATCATCATACTTTTGAGAAACAAGTACCAATTGATAACAAGTCAAAGCAAAATCTCATGCGAGCATCTTTGACTGGTGAGATAACTTAAGGTGTGAGAACTTAGTTTTCTGTTTTCAATTTTTCCATTATCACTCACACTTACCGTGAGCATACTTAATAAAGAGCGCTATCGTCAGCGGTGTTATTTTTCCTTCACAAGACGTTGTAAATTCCTTGTTAACCTGAAAGCAAGCAGTATTCATCACTAATGACAGATGCTTAGCGTCGACAACTATTGACAGCCAATCAAAATAGAAGAACAAATCACAAAGTGCCGCCAATAAGGACTCCAAAACGCTCGCCTACATGTAGCCGTACCCTCCCCCCCAGGAGAAACTCCTTTGGGGATGGGAGGGTTCGGCAACACATAAGCTACAAAACGCTAGAAAAGGCAATTAACCAAGTCGCGTCTTGTTTTAGATCTAGATCTGATTGGTCGAGAGGGTGTGGCAAATTTTAGAAACCAATCACAAACCGCAGTGAAGCATGAACAATACGATTCCCAACTACTTTCGACACCCAACAGAAAATCGCTTCAACAAAACAGACCTGAGCCATCATCTTACCGACATGACTATTCTAAGAGACTCGAGAACGAGAGCCAGCACATCGTCTGTCGTTTGAGTCGCCATGGTTAGTAGCCCTTCCATGATCTTGATAAGGTAAGGCGTTAGGATCTGAGTATTATTTGACATCTTAAGATGGGCACAGAATCTGCAAAAATTCACAAAAATTCAGTCTATAACAAACAAGGCTACAAGACTACTTGACGACAAACGACGTCAAAACTTAACCCTTTAACTCTCAGAAGTGATAAACATGTAAGTTCTCCCTATAATATCCATACTTAGTCCAGCAAATAGGTAATGAGAATACTCAAACGTATCAGGTAGAAGTTGTTATCTTGATCTAACACCAAGTTCTCATAACTAATTTACAAGGAAATCTGTATCAGCTAGAAGGGAGAATTAACAATCAGATCTTGGTAGTTAAGTGTTAAAAGAAACATCTCAGTGGTTAGTATTTTATTGGCTCTTCTTTTAACACTAAGTTAGGGTAAAGTTCAAAAAGCTAATTTGCATTTTGGCCCTTTAGTGTGATAAAAAAATCATCCCAGTTTAGAATTCTGCATCTTGGGTCATGACTTTCTGAAAGCAAGTTTTTGGGGGCATATGACTGGTATTCTCTAGCCTCCTCGCCTTTTTTACGTTAGTGGTGTTTGTCGACACTAACCAACGATTTCTTGACTTCAATAAAAGAATGATAAATCAAAAAGAAAAAAAAATGGTTTACTTACTCGTAAATAGCTCTAACAGCTGATATTCTAACTGCAGGTAACTGTGCTGACTGAAGACCCGTGACGGATGCTTCGATGAAGCTAAACATGAGAAATGTTAACGGGTTCAGAGCTCAAAGATATACGACTTGTAATATCAAAAGAGAGGGAACCTCGCACACAAAACATTGAAATGAAAATTGTTTTTAGTTTTATCATTGTAGAGTAAGCCTATTAGTCTATGAGCTGCTAATGTTCTGAGGTAATACTTTGGATGCTTAGAAAATTAATGTCACTGAGCTCAAGAAGATTCTGACAAAAAACGTCAATTCTTTAGAGAAATTTACTCTGCATTAGTCATCTTACCTTGTTAAAAGTTCTTGAGACATTAGAGGAGTAAAACGACTTGCCACCCATAACGCTTGACCGATGAGGAAAGGCGATACTGAAAGATAACAGGAAGAAAACACTTCCATTAAAAATTTTTCTTTAAAAACAAGTTCATCCTTCCTTTATAGAGTATATTTCAAATTTTTGCTTCGGCTTTACTTATTGAAGGACCCCAAACCTCCGTCCGTGCATTTTTGGCAGCAAGAAATTTTTGGTGGCTTCTCAAAACTCGTGAGAAGCCAGGGAGTTTCAAGAACTCAAAAAAAAAAAAAAAAAAAAACTAAGCTGTTTTCTCGTAGATACCTACTCGAAAGTGATTTGGGAATTAGTTGCCTTTGTTGCATCATGTTCTGTGAGCCATTTCATTTAATTATCACTGCAACATTTTCCACGCCAAAAATATTTTTGTAACTTTACCCCTTTCCACCTCAGAATCAAAGTTGGTCGGCGTTGCTTTGTGGTCTTAACTACAACGTATGACGTAACACCTTGATAATACTTTGAATATGAGGGAGTGGGAGTATGGCACATTTTAGAGATAAAGTAGTTGTTACTCTTGCAAATTTCAAAGTTCAATTTCGGTTGCCACAGCTTTTTCCAAGTTCTTAGGTAATTTGGTAGGGTGCAAAGAATTGAAAATGCATTTAATTGCAATTTACTTTCAAAAGAGAAGTTTTAATCGCCTGAAGAGGACTAGCAGTATGTAGTCGAAACGTTGCGATCCACATCCACAGTGACCATATCATGAGACAAACGATTATACTTCTCTTTTGAATGTGTTATTTACCACGATGACAAACCATAACCTATTTTTCGATATCAATTGCTTTTTATCATCCAAATCGCATAAATTCTCTTTTAACAGTCTCGCTTCTCAAAATAAATCAAGTATTTACCTGATTCTTGGAGGTCTGTTAGCACAACCTGGGTCAGAAATGACGCCATATCTATAGACACTTTGCCATTGGAGACTTTGTCAATAATAAGTGATTTAATACAACCCATTGCCAACATGCACGACTCGTGTGTTTTCCACCTGAAATAGAGAATAAATTTTATAACAAATGGATTTAAGCAAACCCAAAAAAGGAGCTTTAATGGGTAATTTTTAGCGACGGAGCAATCTCAAGGGCCATTATTTTCCTATCGGTCAGAAATCTGTAACGACGGTCAAACGCATTTCGTGACCACAAATTTCCCAGTTTAATAGATTTTCCTAAGTGTAGAGGCTCCGCTTGAATGCACTCAAGCTACGCTAAGACTAAGGTATTGTGGTACGTCAGAACTGTCTTTTAGCCAGTCAGTCAATCAGAAATTCGTAAGAGTCAGACGCATCTCATGACAACAAATTCTCCAGCATATTCTTGGTAATCATGTTTTCTTAGGGTAAAGAGCCTCCGCTTGTGCGCACTGAAGCTACGCTAAAACTTGGGCATTATAGTAAGCCATGACTGTCTTTTATTCACAACCACCATTCGAGGTAAGAGGAACACACAGAAAACTTGACTCGGCTAAACTTCGTCTCACTTACCAATTAACATCTCCTTTGCTTTTTCGTTCATTTGATTCCTGTAAATGTCTGTTGAGTGCTTTTGTCAATGCGACTGCACTTTCATTTTTAAAGTCAGCAGCAACTGCCTACAAAATATCAAATGAAGACTATGCAAAAATTTGTTACAATTCCTCGAAATCACTCAACGATAGAATTAGCTGCACAAAGGCCGAGGGTAATTGGGGGGTAGGTGTTGACTCGCGCCTACGGGCACACCCTCATTGTCAGCGTTTCGTCTGTTTGCCCGCCGGAAAGTACGAGGCCTTGGGCAACACGAGCCGGCGAGAGGTCGGCAAAGGGTCCGGCACCAATAGTTATTTGTGCCAGACCCCTGGTTAATCCTCACGCGGGCAAAAAACGCGCGTGACCCATACAGACCTGGACACGTTTATAAAATTATTACAAGCGCATACTGACGCGCTTGTGTTTCGTGACTGCATCCAATTTACGCGCTTCAACCACACAAATGGGTGTATTTGAATCCAATGCAATTTAGTGTGATGTGCAGGTAAATTACAGACGATCAGCCAATTGCAATATAATAAGTGAGCCCCATAAGAAAACGGCGTGCGTACTAATACTAAAGGTGTGAATTGAAGGTCGAAGCTGTTCCATTCACTTACCAAGAGAACATCTTGAGCCGCAATGCGAACAGAAAACGAAAATGTATCATCGTCCTCATCTTCAACAAATTGATTAGGATTAGATGTCCACACTTGAACCTGTACGTAAAATAACAGCGAAAAAATTTATTGTTTGGTCAATGAGCCAAGTATCTGAAAGCTACCGTTTGATGGAAATGTGAGTGCAATATACACGAGAGATAATAGGCTGAAAAAAAAGAAACAACGAAAAACAAAACCCACCTGCTCCTCTGTGATTTGCATGTACAACACCAAGAAATAAATAAGTTCATCTAAAAACTTCTTGACGGTTTTCTTGAATTTTGGTGTTTCTATAAGTCCATGGATAAACTCAAAAACACTGAAAACAAGATTCTCAAATCCCAACACTTCTCCTGAAATACGAGAAAAGAAAAAGTGGTGATTGTAAGAAGATGTAATGTTGCACAAACTGATTTTCTTTCAGCGCAATAATTGTTTTTCAATCAATTGTAGAATTAACTCACCATCAGAATCCACAGGGTCATCTGCATCATCAGTGTAATTTACAACTGTGCGGACATATCGATCAGCACTCTGAGTCAATGTATTCCACATGTGAGGAAGAATCTGCATTAAGTGTGGTGCCATTTGTTTGGTGTAGTTCTTAACCAGTGTTGTTAATGCCTAATTGACAAAAAGAAAGGAAATGGGAATTCAGAATCTTTTATGCACTTCCTGGAATTGGCATCTTTAGGATTGATGTGTGTCATTTTCTGGGCAGGAAAAGAAAATAAAAAAGCCATGCTTCAGTAATTGAATTGTTGAATGTCAATAACTGCACAAAAAATGGTGACTTTCTGGATGGATATGCTTTTGAAGAAGAATGTAAATTTTGAAAAGAAAAAAAACGAAAAAGGAAATAAAAGAACAAAACCAAAAAGACAAAAGAAGATTGATGCTGCCATGACTCTAACATTTGACCTTCTTAGCTCATAAGGGGAAGGTTTATCCATTTCACCAAGTATGCATGGCATAAGACAATAATATGATATTAACAATAAATTTCAATTCATGCATGCATTGCAGGCCTACACTCTCACATTCACTCACAGCCAAAGGCATTATGTATTGTGTAATTACAAAAGGAAGCCAGGATGCCTTGAAACAAGGAATAAGCAAGCAATCCATTCAATGAACACAGAAGAAAGTTTTCAATATCAAAACAGACTGGTTAAAAACTAACTTTAAGCACTTCCATCTTCAAGCCACAATCAACTGTGGGACTATCAGACATTGCCAGAACTTCAACAAATGCTTGGGTGAATTGTGGAACAAGAGGAAAGAGGACATCCTTGGCAATACCCTGTAATGAGAACTTGTTAAAAATATTGACCAACTTCTAAAATGAATAACAAACAAAATTGCAATACCACTGCTTGCATGCAAAACTTTTAGTCTGACTGCTTCCATATCACAATAAATACCAAAGCATTACCAGAGGTAAGAAAATTTAGTGCTCAACACACTCTGGTAAATCAATACACATTCATGTCAAGTAGAAATTGAACCTCTTCTGACAACAACAGGAACAAACTATCTGCCTACCCCCCACCCCTACCCAAAAAGGGTTTCCCAAGAACCCCTCCCTACTCCCAGTAACCAAATTTGGGTTCATTAAAAAATCTGGATGATTCCAAGATCTCAAAATTACCTAATGCCACTCTTCACCCCCCCCCCCAAAAAAGGAATACCTATAGCCAATTGAGTAATTTATTTTTCCCCTTGTATATTTTGGCAAAAATAATGGGGAAACAACGATGGAATGGTCCTATGTAATAGACTTACTTCCTTTAGGAGAGGAAGAGTCTGACCAAGAGTAGTGGTTAAATTTCATTCACAAATAAGAATAAATCAATTTAAAATTAACAAGTGAAATTCTGGTAACCAGCATTCCGTTTAAAATCCCACAAGAAGGCAAAAAAAAAAAGAATAATCTTAAACCCAATTTCCTAAAGTGACAAATGATCTCACCATTGCATCTTCTTCCATTGCACAGATTAGTGATGCACAAGTATTAAATATGTCTGCAGCACGGGATCTTGTTCTGATACTGTACTTCTACAAAAAAGATTGAAACACAAATGACCACACCACACCATGTTGAGAGGTTGATACAGGTATGTAGACCTCAACAAAATTTCAATCTTCAGCTTTATTTGAACAGACAGTGCACAATTTCCACCAACATACCTCTGCATGAATGAATATCTTGTACATTTCAGGCAGGATCACAGGTGCAACATGAGGCATCTGTGTGTCTGTCACCTCACGGCAGAACTCTGAGGATAGATTCACAAACACTTTACACTGCTACTCAGAAATAAGTGAGACTTAATAGAAACCCTTAACAGGCTAAACAATAATACTTACAACAAACATCCACAATTATGCAAGTGCATTACAAATAAGCATTTCTCTCTATTTCAAAATCAGTTCTACAATGTAAACTTTCCTAACTCTCATATTACAGTCTCCTACTTCACAATGCACATTTCCTTAGACATAAGGGGCAGTTGACCTTGGGTTTTTCTAACCTTTTCATTCCCAGGTGTGACCAAAGACGAATTTCTCCTAACAATATCCATACAATATCCAGCAGAAAGGTGATGAGAAGTGAAAAAGTTATAAGAAAATAATGTCTGGTAAACAGTGGGGAAAATGGATATTAAAATCTTGTAGTGAAAGTGTTAACCATTGTTTGAACAAGTTGGAAGGACACCACTTCAAAAGCTTCCATTTTCCAGTAGCTGTTCCTTCACCCCTCATAAGCTTTAGTGAAGTACAGTTTTTCACACCTGTTAAAACTCTCATGGCTCCATGAACCAAATTGCCATCCCCACTTGTCAATGCTTGCATCAGATTCCCAAACAAATGTGGCCAAGCTTCTGGCCAATCCCAATATGCTATGGCAGAGATTGCATATGCCTGAAAATATATAGTGCAAATAAGTATAAATCTACAAGTATTGAGGAAGACTTACAGATGTACAAATATAATTAGAAGACTGTGAATCTACTACTGCTTTTTTTTCCTATGGAGTAAGAGATTTTTAAACTTTCAAAAGTACATTGAGAGTTAGGTCTTTGCAAGTCTCAAGGTCATTTTCTCTCTTGAACCTGCTCTCTCAGTGTAACTCATAGTGTAACTGGTAACTCATGGTGTCATCTGGTAAAAACAGTCACACACAAGTAACTGCTTCTAGAACTTGAGTTTTCCCCCAGGCCATGATGGGGGAAAAAACCTTCCACACTAAGTTGATCATGAGAGATGCCAAGAATAACCTCTCACAATGGGTTACCCTTTCAACATGAAAACAACTTACCACACTTGACCTGACTTTACTGATTGATTCCTGTAGACCTCCTGGTAAAAGACGACGAATCTCTTCCTTGGCCTAAAATAAAATGAAAAGAGAATATCTCTGTAACCTTTGATAATTAGTAATGTATGAGAGAATGGTAATAATGTCACTAAAATAAAAGACCATTGACTATGTCGGTACTTATGAATAAGGGAGTAAGTTTCTAAAAAAATTGTGGTACTGTGTTGGTGGGAGAGTACAGCAGGATAATTCAGTATCATGAACTGAGTTGATAACTTAAATTAGCCACAGTAAAGAGTTTAAAAGCTGATGGTTTGAGCATTAGCCTTTCCAAATCACTCTGACAAAGGCCTAGCGCTTAAAACATTGGCTTTTAAACTCTGTTGATAACACTAAATTACCCTTATATACACCTTATGGTTGCCTCCTCTCCACTGAACATGTGGAGAGGACTGTTATACTACTCCTAATTGACATTTTTAAGAAGAAACTCTATCTCATAGGAGAAACTTCTCCCTTTAGGGTATTTAAAGGGTTAAAAAAAATGAAAATAGCCATATATCTGTATATGGAAATTGAAAAAGAAAACTCATTAAATTGCTCCACAGAGATGATTTACATTTACCACTGTAAGACTTGAAGTATACTAAAAATGTACTTACAGCATCTGTAGTCTCAGGAGGTCTAAATTTCTCAGCACTGCTATTCCAGTGGGCTTCAACATACTGCTTTAGAATGACTGAGGCAAGCTGAAAATGATTTATGTTCAAAGAAAACATCAAATTTCTTACTCTATGTTACACTAAATAAACAAGACTGTTCTTCAGTCAAACTTAATATTCATGTAAGCTTGATGGAAACAGTTAAAAGAAATAGTGGTAACATCAAATTGGTGCAGATTCATCCTTTAGTGAACTTATAAGAAAAAACTGACCAATCCAGTAAGCTCAGACAAGGTTATCAGTTTTGTTCGAACACGCAACATTTACATGTACGTGTAACTTTATCAATGCTTTTCACCTGACAAAGAATCATAAATTGGATCTAGAAGCTGTCTGTGGGAAACCTGATACTATCATACAATCCAAGTAGTTTGGATATGAAGTTTGGATATAAAGCATGCTGTCATTGGTTGACAGAGCAAGCTCTATCAGAGTCCCAAGCATGGAGCTGAGCTAAAGCCGTCACACCTTCTGCCAATTATTACTATGTCCAACCATTTCCTGAACTTTTCTCTTAGACTAGCTTTTTTTCGTTAACTGAAAGTGAAAGTTCAGAACAAGTGAGCTGCCAATTAGCACAAGTAGAACCAAACAAAGGTTTGTAAACATGCCAAGCCCTGTAATTGAGGTTAAGCCAAGCCCAAGTTTTCAAGGTATTCATGCTCAGTTAGATTGTAAGCATACCTACAGTATAAGAATCAAACACAGCCAACTCTTGCATAATATATATAAAGTTTCATGTTGAAAAACAAAACAGAACAAAACATGAATGATGAAAAATATAGCCAAACTGGCATAACTGTTATAATTCATGCAAACCATGAGTCTCAGAGCGACCACCATCATGCTATGGTCCATAACTAGTAGCTCATTGCGATGATCTACGGTCATCACAGTGAGGCAAGCCTCAACAAGCCTTGGCCATAATTTGAGTGAACAACCAAGAGCTTTGTCAGATATCCTTTCCAATGTATTGAGTGGACAGCCACATCAGTCACAGCAGCCAAGTTTTATGGTGCTGTCATCCCAAGCAAGCTTCATCTTCCTTTGAATTTAGCTGTCGTTCATTCATAAAACATGGGCCTTAGGCAATTTGTTGTCTAATTGTCATGTGAAAAAACTGTTGTGTTTTATAAGCCACAATTTGGCCAGATTTTGCAGAACATTTCACTTTCAGAATCCATGTTGAGACTAAAAATCTTTAGGCAAAAGTGTTAAATTCAAACTGCCAAACTATTTCAGTTTGTGAATTATGGCAGATTGTGAACTTTGATGGTTTGACATTTTTGACAGCTTTCTTGTTCAACCAATCAGATTATTTCAACCACACTACCAAGGATTCTGATTGACTTATGGTAGTTTGCTTTATGAGAGTATAGAGCATTTCTCCCAACTCAAGAGGTGGGAAGTGAAAAGAGTTCTCTATTAAATCTACAAGATGAGCCTTCTGGTTTTTAAGCTGACTTAACTGTAATTAACCCACAAAATACTTTAATTAAATTGTAAAATCTATCTGCTATTACTTATTATTTTGAAAAATGCTGTCACTGACTTGTCTGATAGCAAGGGCTCCCTCTCTGTCAACTGTGAGTTCTGCTAAATGGACACCAAATTCTGAAAATTATGAAGTAAAGTTAAAACTTTGATCAGCAAGTGTCTCCCATCTGCCAAACTATGAGGAGTTGTAAGAAGGGTAGGGATGCTGCACATGTAAAATAATGAAGAGAACAGATAAGCAAGACTTCAATTTCTTGATCAGTGAGGAGAGGTTTTGAAGACCATCTGATATGGGAGGGGGAGAGGAAAAGATTATATGGTAGTTTTCACAGGAACGTTGATCATTACAATATCAATATGAATCTGGTCATAAAAACTAAAACAGAAGGATTAATTAATCATGAAGTCCAAATTTCACCACCAGATTAGGAAGTTTTCCCTAAATAGGGGGTATTTCTGAAGCCTCAAATTTTTAGTTGATTTTTTTCAACAGCATTATATGAATCTTTTATGTTATATAAATCTAGGTTTTTCTTAGGAGAAAATGTTTCACAAGTAAGTTGAAAAAGTTTCTAAACTTAAACCATTAGTGTGAGAACTCCTCATGTAAAGATCTGAGTTTTTGCCACAAATAACTTGTTGCTGTGCTGGGCATTGATTACAATGAATTCATAGGATGATGATAGTGAATTTATAGAGCATATTCTCATGTTAATTTTCTCTAACAGACCTTACAACACTTTTCCTGCCACTTTGGCCAAACTGCATCAAGCAGTTTACATTTTTTCAAAAGAAGTTTAGAAGGTGCCTGGAGTTTCTGGAAACATTTCCAGATCACAACACCCAGAGCTATGTTCCTTCATCTTTGTGAGAAATGCTAGGGTTCTCTAACATCACCAGCTAACCAGTACCAAGAAGATGCAGGTGAAGGAGCCTACAATTTATCATCCTAATGCAAGAAGACTACAACATCTAACCATTTGCAAATGTCATAACAAAGGCAACACATTGTTCTCAGCTATTTTAAAACCCTGAGTATTGGTCCCCTCCAGGGCTTAAACCTTAGCCCTCCCACACAGCAGTTTTGCGCTCTAAAACCTGAACTAACTAGGAGAAGATGTAAGAAGCATTATGCATAGTGCTGGCACCAGCAGTATCAAAAGCACCACATGTGGGATTAAAGTAAAGAAGGATACTTTTTGAGGTTTGCCTTGAAATATTGAGGATTCTGCCCAACTATAGAAAGCAATTGAAAACAGTAATCCAAAGTCACTGAAAAGGAAGCTACCAGACCCCCAATGGTGCCACTAATAGAAGATGGAACAAAATGAACAACATTTCAAGCCACTCAATAGTTTTTTCACTGAACGAAAAACGCAACGCATTTGCATACATCAAGCATACTATGCAATAACTGCTACATAAGAAACTTATGCACTTACTGTCCTAATACACTGTGCATATGTTAATTTGAAATTGACAGCAAAATTACCAATCTATTTAGGGTTTGGTGGTAAAACGCAAAAAATCCGAGTTCTGTAGACTGATTTCCACGCAAACGGCGGCTCGAGAAACCATTCAGAGCTTATTTCAGAAAGTTTGCTTGCAAACTTAAGTTTTTTACTTCAGCTTTCTTGAAAGTTTTTTCATTGATTTGCATGAAGAGAAATACACATGAGAGCCTAAGAACGGTCAGAATACGTAGCTTATTACTTCTAAATGGCAATCACTAACCCAGCTGAGCTCAAAGTATCCGTTTAGCACACAAGTGAGCATTCCGTGAAATGTACATCTACTAGCACGGTTTTTCATTTTGATGTTTAGGAGAGCACAGCGTTCCTGGTGAATTTAAAGCAACTCACATATCCTACCTTCCGTGACCTCGAGAACCTTGAGCTGTTCTTCAGCCATCTGTCTAGATTGTTGATCTGGCGACAGGATGGCTGTCAGGCTATCTATGAGGGCCTGTTTTAATGATCGATTCCTGTCGTCCATTGCGGCAGCCATCTTGGAAATTCGGATTAAAGAAGGCAACTGCGCATGCGACTACTTTGGCGGGAAAAATTTTAAGAGTGTTTTGACCGCTGACTAGCAGGTCTTAATGTCAACTGAAAGAGGAGGCCATATCAATTCAAAAGAATTCTGACGCGATTTACACACAAAGTTAACTCTCGGAAAAGCCTTTGGTGGTGGAGAAGGTATTTACCGAATCGTGTCTCGTCGAAACTTTGATTTGGTGGCTAGAGACTGTAATATTGAGTAACCCAGGCCGATGTAGTGTGATCGAGGTGCTGACCTAATACTATTACGGCAGAGTGGATATCAATGTGTGGTTCTGGCAATGAGAGTGAAAACTGGAATGTGGACCACTAATCTACAGTTAATTGTTAAAGTGACAGCACAACAGGAAGACAAAATTTAACTGATCAGCATGACCTATGCTTTGATGGGTTTTAGTTGATCATCCTTAGCTTATCTGTTTCCCTATCACACGTGGTGCGTTTTTCCACATCTCTGTTCTAATGCCCAGATTTGTTTCTTAATAAAGCCCCGACTTGTCACTCAGTAAGATCTCAGTTTTATTCCAAAAGGAACAACAAAAGACTTGGTTTTCAAATGCAACTGAACATTTACTTTTGCCTTTCCATTTGGTAGCAATGATGATGCTAAATTATTTTCTTCTCTCTGTCTTTATTTGTAATTAAATACTTCTGACCTTATCAAACAAGGAGCTGAAATGCTGCAACAAATCTAAAACATCACAATCATGTCTAAACACTCTTGTCAAAAAAACCCTATAAACAAATGATAGTGCACATAACCTCTCAATTATTTTATGAAAGAATTAATTTGTTTAAAGGCCTCTGTACAGAGGGAAATTTTTACATCATCAGAGAAAATAGAGGTCACTCTCTTTGACATCATACATGTCTCTAGGAGCTGTGGAGTTCATATTTTTCCATACCCTTTTGAAACATCCATAATTCAGTTTTAACCTGCATTAACCCAATTTTATGAGTTTACAATGTTCATCTTTCAGTGCAGCACACAGGTGTGATTTACCTTGCTCTGATATATTGTTTTGTCCAAGGTCCAACTTTGTGAGTTTACAATGTTCATCTTTCAGTGCAGCACACAGGTGTGATACACCTTGGTCTGATATATTGTTGAATGAAAGGTCCAACTTTGTGAGTTTACAATGTTCATCTTTCAGTGCAGCACACAGGTGTGATACACCTTGGTCTGATATACTGTTGTTTGAAAGGTCCAACTTTGTGAGTTTACAATGTTCATCTTTCAGTGCAGCACACAGGTGTGATACACCTTTGTCTGATATATTGTTGTCTGAAAGGTTCAACTTTGTGAGTTTACAATGTTCATCTTTCAGTGCAGCACACAGGTGTGATGCACCTTCTTCTGATATATTGTTGCATGAAAGGTCCAACTTTGTGAGTTTACAATGTTCATCTTTCAGTGCAGCACACAGGTGTGATGCACCTTCTTCTGATATATTGTTGTATGAAAGGTCCAACTTTGTGAGTTTACAATGTTCATCTTTCAGTGCAGCACACAGGTGTGGTACACCTTCGTCTGATTTATTGTTGCCTGAAAGGTGCAACTTTGTGAGTTTACAATGTTCATCTTTCAGTGCAGCACACAGGTGTGATGCACCTTCGTCTGATATATTGTTGCGTCTAAGGTCCAACTTTGTGAGTTTACAATGTTCATCTTTCAGTGCAGCACACAGGTGTGATACACCTTGGTCTGATATTTTGTTGCCTGAAAGTTCCAACTTTGTGAGTTTACAATGTTCATCTTTCAGTGCAGCACACAGGTGTGATACACCTTGGTCTGATATACTGTTGTTTGAAAGGTCCAACTTTGTGAGTTTACAATGTTCATCTTTCAGTGCAGCACACAGGTGTGATGCACCTTTGTCTGATATACTGTTGTCAAAAAGCTCCAACTTTGTGAGTTTACAACGTTCATCTTTTAGTGCAGCACACAGGTCTGATACACCTTGGTCTGATATATTGTTGTCTAAAAGGTCCAACTTTGTGAGTTTACAATGTTCATCTTTCAGTGCAGCACACAGGTGTGATACACCTTCGTCTGATATATTGTTGCCTGAAAGGTCCAACTTTGTGAGTTTACAATGTTCATCTTTCAGTGCAGCACACAGGTGTGATACACCTTGGTCTGATAAATTGTTGCCTAAAAGGTCCAACTTTGTGAGTTTACAATGTTCATCTTTCAGTGCAGCACACAGGTGTGATACACCTTTGTCTGATATATTGTTGTCTAAAAGGTCCAACTTTGTGAGTTTACAATGTTCATCTTTTAGTGAAGCACACAGGTGTGATACACCTTCGTCTGTTATAAGATTATGAGCAAGGTGCAACACAATGTTTACCTGGAGATGCTTTATCAAGTAAACAATAGCCACACAGTCAGGAGCCGTGACACTACAACTTTGCAGACCAATTGTGATGTCAGATGTGATACTACTCAGTATTTCAGTAGCAGCCTGCTTTACTGTGGCTTCATCATTGTACTCGTACAAGCATTTCATCATGAGAAGAGCCATCCACCCTGACATCCTGGTTGGTTCAGATTTTTCCATGGTGCCACAAAGCATGTTTACAAAAACAATAACTGCTTTACTTCTCTTATCACCAAGTAGACCTGCTACAAACTGAAGCACCAGATGCCATTTTGGGTCTGAGGCATTTCTTCTGACAAAACTCTTGAGCTCACCAGGGTCCATTTTAGCAATTTCCCTTGCAGCAAGAAATTCTTGAAATGTCAAGTGAAGAAAGCAGTATTGTGACTTAAATTTGGAGCTTGAAACTTTTCTGTTTGGCATGCGGTTAAACAAACCACATTTCTCTATTCCCTGCACTTCGCGTGAATCAAACACCAGTCGTCCTTGTTCTATGCCTTCTTTTGCCAATGCTCCTGCCTTAATCAAAGTTTTCTCTACAGGATCGGGGAAGTCAACATTTCCCATAAGAAAGTCCTCTGTTAATGGTTTACCTTTAAATTCTGAATGATGTTTGAAGATAAACAATTTCAGAGCTCCTTTGTAAACTTTGGTTAAAGTTGATGGAAAAGCCATGTGAGTTGGATTCTGTTCTTGGAGTTTGAGGCATTCCTCCAACAGAGAGCAAATAATGCGCGTGTTCACTGGGATGTAGCATAATGACAGCAACTCCAAATTGCTACTGATATGACTCCATATTCCATCTACTCTCTCTTCATCAAAATGTTTCTCCACATACTTCCTGATCTTCTCAGTTGTAAAACCCATTATCTCCACCTTCCTGTTAAAGCACAATTGAGTGAGGTGTGCAATGCTCTGTACTGCATTAGGTCTACTGGTTGTTAAAATTGTGGCTCCTGGAAGCAGCTTTCCTTTCATTAGCTTAACATAAAGAGCAGAGAGAGGCATTTCTTCCTTTGCATTGTTTCCACCGTATGTTTCATCATCTTCCAGACAGCGTGAATGGTTCTCAAATTCATCTAGGCCATCAAACACAATGATTACTTTTTCAGGGTTGTCTAAAACGTACTGGAGTAGCTCATCATCATTGCTGCCTTCTGGGTGTAAACGACATAACAATTCTTTGAGAGATATCTTCTGTAATGTCTCATCGTTGAACCATCTAAATCGGATCAAATAAAATAGGTGAAAGTAAGGCAACAAGTCATCCTTGCCCCAGTCACACGATATTTTCGTACACAGCAGGGACTTTCCAATCCCCGGGCGACCAATCACAAGAATTTTAGATGGATTTTGAGTATCTTTGTTGGGAAGAAATAACTCTTTGACTGTGTTGATAGCCACTGATCCATGTTGTGGCTTCAAATAGACATCGAATATTTCGTGTCTAACAGACAAGGTATTAAATTTGTGTTCTGCCCTTCCGGTGTAAATAACAAGGTCGACAAAATTATCGTCCAACTTAAATTTGCCATCGGATTCAGCAATCAAAGGCTCTATGGTTTCCGTTTCCATCAGAATTTGCCCCTTCAAGAGGTAAATCGAGTTACCCAGGGTGAGTGAAATGGTTTTCTTGTTCCAAAAGTGTTTTTGACAGAATTCAGAGTCGAAGGTAAAATTTTTACTGCATAACGCTCGAACCAAAAGATAGCCCATCTCTCCAAAAACCAGCAGCGCCAGCACAACATTTACCAACAAAATTACCGTGGCATACCACATCTTGTCTGATGAGGGGGGAGGGGCTTCTACACTGGGACAACCTTCGCCTCAACAAAAGTCTACAAAACTTTCCCTTCTGTAAGGTCAACACCACTCAGTTGTAATCACACTTTCACATGCTGTCTCATCTTTATCAAAAGGATGCTGTTTCGCTTTTTTCTTGTCACTGAGAGATTAAAATGATATACTTGGATGTATTAAAAGGAAAACTCTTGAAACAGGCCTAAAAATTTTTGAACTGTTGTTTTGAAAATGTATTGTAAATAAACTTACTTATTAAGAACTCTTTGTTATGCTTGATGGAACAGATATTATCAAAGAACTCTACAAGCGCATGGACCCAACTGTGACACAACCTGACACAGGAGATATCAAAGGAGATATACAACTCTCTCTCAAGTACAATCACAAACAACAGCTTTTACTGGTTAAAGTCATTCGAGCTAGAGACCTTGTTCCTAGAGATCTGAATGGAAAATCAGACCCATGCGGCCTGGTCTTACACCTCATCAAAATTTACAGAGTTCTCATACACACTAGAGGTTAAACACTCATCAAACAAATTTATTCAAAATTCAGAATAGATACACATGTAGCTATTTCTACTTCTACTTGCATGACTGTCATACCTCGGTCTAATATCTTCTGCATAATTTTTTTAATAAGAAATGGGGAAGGACAGAAAAAGACTGCATACAAGTCCAAGACACTCAACCCTGTATTCAATGAAATATTTTCATTCCAATTGGATCATTCACGCATAGCAGACACAAAGCTAAGAGTGGCTGTGTGAGACCATGATTTTTTTGGTGAAGACGACTTTAATGTGAAGGTGTAGTGGACTTATCTGTAATCAGTCTTAACACTGGAACTCATACCGATTGGTTTATGCTTCAACTTGCAGTATGTTATTACTTTTATTATAAATAAGACTTACAATTAAAACTCTGATTGGGCGAGAGCATACCGTCAATATACAATTATGGCGTGTGAAGTTAACATGATAACCCAATATCTGTAGCAGATATTGGGATATCATGTTGAGTTTAAAAAAAAAAACCAAAACTCTAGGTATCTCACAGATCATTTATTCCGCTTCAAATATTGAAGTTCCTGATACAATCGCAGACACGCTGAAAAGAAAGTTGTTTAACTTTATATGGAAAAAGAAGAAGGATGAGATCAAACGAACCATGCTTTACCAAGATTTAGAGGAAGGTGGGCTACGCATGACAGATGTAGATCTTATGTTTAAAGCCTTGAGACTTGCATGGATCCCTAGACTTTTGAATGCTGGAGATAAAATTGGTGCTCTGTGCCAAACCACTATTTCAGGAAAAAGGGGGGCTTAAATTTTCTTCTAAAATGCAACTACGACACAAAGTACTTCCCTCAATTGCCAGCCTTTTATAAGAACATTCTCAAATTCTTTCAAGAATTAAAAATACTTTACGGTTACGACCAGGAAAGTGATGTAGTACTGTATAATAATAAAGAAATTCTAGTAGATGAAACACCCGTTTATCTCAGCAACTGGATGGAGAAGGGAATCGTTTCTATTAAAGACTTGTTGAAGGAGGATGGTAGCTATCTCTCATTCCAGGAATTTAAAGGAAAGTTTTCTTGCAAGACAAACTTCCTCCAGTATTTTCAGATTATTAGTGCCATACCTGACCGGCTACGGTCGAAAGCAAGACAAATAGAATCAGTTAATAATCAGTTTTTCACAAGTAATGATCATCTTTTCCACCTCAACGGAAATTTCACGCTCAACCTTGATAAAGCCAAATCAAGGGATTTCTATAATCTTTTAATTGCTAAAATCCACACTGGAGGTCAGGCAGGTCCTAAAAGATGGAGCGAAATACTTTCTTTGAATGATGAAAAATGGGCAAAGATATTTAAGTCAATACGAAAGCTGTGCAAAGAAACAAAACTAAAAGAATTTCAATTTTAAGTTTATTCATAGAATCGTGGTGACAAAGAGAGAACTATTCAAATATGGTATTAAAACTGACGAAGAATGCTGCTTTTGTGGGGAAAAAGACTCAATCGATCACACCTTTATTCACTGTCCCTTTACGAAATCATTCATACAGAAAGTCATTCGGTGGTTTAACACAACGTACAATTCACAGTTCTCTCCAACTACGGAGGAACTTTTATTCGGAATTACCTCCAACTTAAACGAGAATAGTACCACCAAGAAATTCGACTTCGTCACACTATTCATGCGTTATTATATCTATAGTTGTAAACTTAACAACAAGCCCATTGTCCTCCACGACTTTGTGAATGCAGTTCACCAAAGGGACCTAATTGAAAATACCGTCAATAACTAGCTCCTGACAAATGCGGTTAAAATATCTCAACTCTCTTTAAAAAAATACAAAATAAAATAAAAACAAAATTTAAATAATAAAAAAGTAAATAAATAAAAAACTTAGTGGTACACCTGCCAACAGTGAAACTCTCACCAAAACACTTCAAACAATACTCCTTACGTTCTTTTTCTTTTTTCCCTTTTGTTATAGTTCCTCATTTAATGTATCAAAGTCTCAATGCACAAATGTAATTTAGCAGTAATAGCTTTTCAATCAACGTATTGTATTCGGATACGGTAAAGTTATCGTTTTATGTTATTCATATTGTATTATTGAACTTTATTGTAAGTAATGAATAAAGGGGTAAGTTTCTAAAGAAACTGTGGTGCTGCGTCGGTGGGAGAGTATGGCAGGTAATTTAGTGTTAACAACTGAGTTGAAAACGTAAATTAGCCACCGTAAAGGGTAAAAAAGCTGCCAGAGGCCAAGGCAAATAGCACAGACCTTAACATTGGTATCATCCTCAACCCCATGCAATAATTGCTTGATATGCGTGTCTAATTAATGTCAGAAGTTTTGAATGATCGAATATGAACTTGATGTGTCTTGATCTGTAGAAAAGCATGAGAAACTTAGTGGCCCTGTGGTTTGTTCTCTGTATTTCACAGAGAGGTCTGGGTTTGAGCCCTTTCTGGTAGAATTAATGGTGTTGTGTTCGTGGGGAAGACTAGGTCTTTAAGTGCTAACCAGATTTCTTGATTCCTCAGTTCAAAAGCCTCTTTCAGTTAACCTTCTCTATTCTCTTTAGAGCATGCAATCATCAAATTGTAGACAAAAAAAATTATACTGAATTTTACTTCAAAGCTTTCATATCTTAAAGCAGATTTCACACTAACCCTGGGTTTAATCTTAACCCAGCTTTGAACAACCTGGCCCAGGATTATGAACATTTACCAGTAAAATTAACTGCCTGGGAAATGCAACAAATTACTGTAAGGAGGATTGGGGTTTAACTTGCTATTAACCCTTTTTAAAGGGAAAGGCAATTGATCCATTTTTTTAAAGAAGGAAATCAATATTGACTGTTTTTAAACCTCGCCCAAGTTTCTTGGTTTAGGAAAAGAAAGATCACTATTTTGCAATACATTTTCTATCAATTGTTGGAAAACTAGACATTGAGAACAGTTTTGGGAAGGAATTTTCTCTATGTGTTATTTTGAAGTGGATAAATGCATTAAACATGCATTTTAAAGTTTGTTTGTGCATGTAAGTAATATTTTTGTGGAGGCTCTCTTAGTGCTGACATCCAATTCAACCCTATCTTTTCTGTATCCCTTCCCTAGCATCTTGATAATGCAACAATATACATGTAAGCACTGAAGTTTTATTAGAGATTTTTAAATTCTAGGACCAGTTTGGCTACAAGCACTAGATCTGAATTCAAGTTTTATATTAAATACAAATGGAATATATCCCTCATGAAGCTCTATTGTGCAACTTAATTTGCAAAGCTTTTGTCAGCAGACACACTCAAACTCTTTCTCAGCTGTAAAACTATGAGACTGCCGACTTGTTGGTATCTTGTTAGGCTACAGCACCATTTTTGCAAAAACTCACCCTAAGGGCTAATGTCAAGGGTCATTGTACTTTTCCCACTAATTTGAAAATAACAGAGATTTGTGCTAACCCACTGTTTTGTGGTTGGAAAGTCTAAGACTTTGAAAATATCTCATTTTCGAATCTTAAGGTCTATATTTAGAATACACTTGTTGATGAAACAAAAAAATGATGATAACAGAATAAGCAATGGTAATAGGACTGAGTGGAGAGTGAAGTTACAGACCTAAGTGGACAACGTGAAGCCTTATTACCTATTAATCATAAAAAATTACTTACAATTTCTGAGAAAAGACGAATAGCCAAGTTAAGAAAGAAAGGAAAATTTTGATTTAAACTACACTATGAATGTGATTGGCTTATTGAGCTGTCCAATAACAAGCTATCCAATAACAACTTGGCAAGTGAATTAGCGGATAAAAGGAGTTTTTGAAAGCAATCACAATCAAGGAATTGTAATTTTTATGATTAGGTTTATAGGCTCATTTTCATCAACCTTTATTTGCAGACTGATTTCAGCATCAAAGGAGAATTAGAAATCAGTCTTGAATATGAAGAACCTGAAACTCTGATAGTAACCATCCACAAAGCATTCAACATCAAGGCTGAAAACATGCTGAGGAACATGTCTGATGCCTTTGTCAAGTGTGCAATTTCTGGAACTAGTTTTCAATATGAAACCAAGGTGTGTGTATGATCTTCAAAAAGCTAACTGGATAATGTCCCAGCCATTGGGAATTTTTTTCAATGATTTGTGTTGTATCTACTCTTCAACTATCTGTTTACAGAGTCCTCAGTTAGAACTGAGCCACTAAATCGCTTAACCCTCTAACTTGCAAGATCTGACTGTTGATTCTCCCCTCTACAGGTAGCTACTACGCATTTCCTTGTAAATTAGTAATGAGAATTTGGCATTAGATTGGAATAATAACTTTAACCTGATAAGTTTGAGTACTCTCATAACCTGTTTGTTGGACAATGTATGGATATTATAGAGAGAATTTGCATGTTAATCACTTCTGAGAGTTAAAGGGTCAAATTGATATGTTTAATTTGTTATACTGTATATACTTTTGAACATGCTCCTGAGCCTCCTCTTCTCCAAGCTTCCTTCTCCAATGGGCACTACTCCTTCTCTGAAAAGATTTCTAGGCTTTGATCTGTTTCAATGTCATACTTATTCAATTAATTCACTCAACATTTTTAAATAATATTTTTATGTGATCTGCAGAGGTAAAAATTCACATACTACAGAGTAACTATTGTCAGATAACTCTCTAAAGGTATTTATTAATACAAATCAACTACTCATTCATTACTAGTGACAGGTGCTCAGCATTGACAATTATCACCAGCCTATCAAAATAGAATGAGAAATCAAAAGGAGCCATTAAGGATTCCAAAATGCTACCCTACTTGTAGCTGAAAAACTCCTGGGTGGGGGAGATATGGATATGGCAAAACATAGGCTGCAAAAAGGCAATTGACTAGGTTGTGTCTTGTATTAGATTAACATCTGACTGATTGAGAGGGTGCCACAAATTTCAGAGACCAATCACAAATGGCAGTGAAGCATGGACAATGCAAATCCCACTTACTTTCAAAACTCAACTGAAAAATTGCTCCAACAAAACAATCCTTAGCCATCATCTCATCAACATGACTATTCTAAGAGACTCAAGAATGAGAGCTAGCCCATCATCTGTTGTTTGAGTCGCCAAGGTCAGTAACACTTCCATGATCTTGACAAGGTAAGGTGTTAGGATCTGTGTATTATTTGACATCTTAAGGTGGGCACAGAATCTGCAAAAATTCACTAAAATTCAGGACTACAAGACTAATTAGCGACACATGATGTCAAAGCTTAACCCTTTGGAGGTGATAAACATCTGAGTTCTCCCTATAATATCATATCCAGCAAATAGGTAATGAGAATACTCAAATTTATCAGGTAGAAATAGTTATCTTGATCTGACACCAAGTTCTCATAACTAATTTACAAGGAAATCTGTAGCAGCCAGAGGGGAGAATTAACTATCAGATCTTGAGAATTAAGGGTTAAAAGAAACATCTCAGTGGTTAGTATCTTATTGGCTCTTCTTTTAAAAACTAAGTTGGTGCAAAGTTCAAAAAACTTACTTCCATTTTGGCCCTTAAGTGTGACAAAAGTTAATCCCAGTTAAGAATTTTGCATCTTGGTTTATGCCTTTCAGAATCCAGGTTTTCAGGGGGATATGGCTGGTATCTTTTTTTCCCTGAAGTAGTGTTTGTCGACATTAGCCAACAATTTCTTGACTTCAATAAAAGAATAATAAGTAAAAAAGAAAAAAAATTGGTTCACCTACTCCTCAATAGCTCTTACAGCTAATATTCTAACTGCAGGCAACTGTGCTGACTGAAGACTTGTGACAGATGCTTTGATGAAGCTGAACATGAGAAATGTTTACAAGCTAAGAGCTCAAAGATAAACTGCTTGTAGCATCAAAATGGAGGGATCCTTGCCCACAATAAGGAGTAAGATGACTTGCCACCCATACCGCGTGACCATTAACAAAAGGCGATACTACGAGGTAATACTTCTTCCAAAACAACTTCATCTTTCTGTTACAAGGTAAATTTCATGTTTTTGCTTCAGCTTTACTTATTGAAGGACCCCAAACATCTATCTTAGCCTGGCATTTTCTGCAGCAGGAAATTTTGGTGGCCTGTCAAAACTTGTGAAAGACTGGAGAATTTCAAGAATTTAAAAAAAAAAAAAAAAGAACCACTCAAGCTACACTTAAGACTAGGGCATTGTAGTATGCCATAACTGTTCTTTAGCTAGTCAGTTAATTGTAAGTCAGTTCCTTAGAATGGTCAGATGCATCTCATGACAATAAATTCTCCAGCATATTTTTTGTAATCATATTCTCTTAGGTGGAGAGCCTCTGCTTGTACGCTCTCAAGCTATGCAAAGACTAAGGCATTTATATTAAGTAATGACTGTCTTTTAGCAAGTCAGTCAATTGGAAATCAGTAAGGATGATCAGACACATTGCATAACAACAGTCATATTCTCCAGCCTTATGGTTACCATGTTTTCTTAGGTATGGAGCCTCTGCCTGTGTGCACTCAAGCCACACTAAAACTTGGGCATTATAATAGGCCAACACTGTCTTTCAGCCACAACCATCATTTGAGGCAAGAAGACCACACATGACTCAGTTTGACTTCATCACACTTACCAATTAACATCTCCTTGGCTTTTTCTTTCATTTGATTCCTGTAAATGTTTGTTGAGTGCTTTTGTCAATGTGACTGCACTTTCATTTTACAAAGTCAGCAGCAACACCTACAAAATATCAGTTGAAGACTATGCAAAAGTTTGTTACAATTCCTTGAAACCACTTCACGATATAATTACCTGGACACGTTTATAAAATTATTACAAGTACATCTCGTGTGTGTGTTTCACATCCAATTTACATGCTTGAAACACACCAATGGGTGTATTGAAATCAAACGCAATCTTGTGTAATGCACTGGTAAATTACGCACCATCAGCCAATTGTAACATAATAAGTGAGCCCCATAAGAAAACAGTGTGCGCACTAAGACTGAAGGTGTGAATTGAATGTTGAAGCTGTTCCATTCACTTACCAAGAGAACATCTTGAGCTGCAATGCGAACAGAAAACGAAAAGGTGTCATCATCCTCATCTTCAGCAAATTGATTTGGATTGGATGTCCACACTTGCCTTGAAGGAGGCAAATAACAACAAAAGAGGTTATCGTTTGATCAATGTGACAAGTATCTAGAAGCCACCTGTTGTTGATTATGTGAGTGCAAAATAGACTAGAGATAATAGGCTGGAAATAAAAATGAAAAACAAAACCCACCTGCTCTTCTGTGATTTGCATGTACAACACTAAGAAATGAACAAGTTCATCTAAAAACTTCTTGACAGTTTTCTTGCATTTTGGTGTTTCCGTAAGTCCACAGATAAACTCAAAAACACTGAAAACAAGATTCTCAAATCCCAACACTTCTCCTAAGACACAAGAAAAGAAAAAGTAGTGATGGTAAGAAGAGGTAATGTTCCACAAACTGATTTTTTTCCAGCACAATTGTTGTTGTTCCATTAATGTGGTGCCATTTGCTTTGTGTAGTTCTTAACCAATGTCATTAATGCCTTGATGGGGATAAAGTAACCTAACCCTAAGCAATTACTGGTTTTTTAATGAATACAAGATGGACAGTAGCTTGGATTAACACTGAATAAGAGTGCTCAATTATGACAAGTACAATGAATGAACCAGAGCTGATATGTTGAGTTTATTGGTGATTTACAAAAAGAAAGGAAAAGGGAATTTGGAATCTTTAATACACTTCCTGGAATTTTCATCTTTGGGATTGAAGCATGTCATTTTCTGAGCAGGAAAAGTAAATAAAAAAAGCCATGCTTCTATAATTGATTTCTTGAATGCCAATGATTGCACAAAAAATGGTGACTTTCTGGATGGAATGAGAAATTCATATGCTTTTGATGAGCAATGTAAATTTTGAAAAAAAAAACATTTTAACTTCTTGGCTTGTAAGGAGAAGGTTTATCCATTGTACCAAGTATACATATATAGCATAAGATAATGATATGATATTAGCAATAAATTTCAATTCATACATGCATTGCAGGCCTACATTCTTGCTCTCATTCCCAGCCAAAGGTAGTGTGGGTTGTGTAATTACAAAAGGAAGCCAGCATACCATGAAACAAGGAATAAGGAAGCAATCCATACAATAAACACAGAAAAAGGTTTGCTATATAAAATCAGACTAATCAAAAACCAACCTTTAGCACTTCCATCTTCAGGCCACATTCAAGTGTGGACCTATCAGACATTGCCAGAACTTCAACAAATGCTCGGGTGAATTGTGGAAGAAGAGGAAAGAGGACATCCTTTGCAATACCCTGTAATGAGAATTTGTTAAAAATATTGTCCAATTTCTAATTAAAAATGAATAACAAACAAAATTGCAATACTACTGCTTGCATGCAAAACTTTTAGTCTGACAGCTTCCATATCACAATAAATACCAAAGCATAACCAGAGGTAAGAACATTTAATGCTCAGCACACTCTGGTAAATCTATAAGAATTCATGTTAAGTTGAAAAGAAAATTCCACCTCTTCTGACAGCAACAGAAACAAACTACCTGTCTACCTCCCCCTCTACCCTAACAGGATTTCCCCAGAACCCCCTCCCTATTCCCACACAACAACTCTGGGTTTATGACAAACCTGTATGATTCCAAGATCTCAAAATTCCCTAATGCCACTGTTCACCATTTCCCCCCAAAAGAAAACAAAAAAAAAAACAATACCAGTAGCCAAGTGAGTAATTTCTTTTTCCCCAAACCTATTTTTCCCCTTCTATATTTGTGAAAATAATATAGAAACAATGATGGAATGGTCCTACATAAGCACACTTTTGTCTTTGTAATAAACTTACTTCCTTTAGGAGAGGAAGAGTCTGACCAAGAGTAGGGATTAAATTTCATTCAGAAATAAGAACTCAACTCTGGTAACCAGCATTCCATTCAAAATCCCATAAGAGGGCAAAAGAAAAAGAATAATCTTGGACCCAATTCCCTTAAGTGGCAAATGATCTCACTGCAGCATCTTCCATTGCACAGATTAGTGATGCACAAGTATTAAATATATCCACAGCACGGGATCTTGTTCTGATACTGTGCATCTACAAAAAACATTCAAACACCAATGACCACACCACGTCATGTCGAGAGGTTGATACAGGTATGCAGACCTCAACAACATTTCAATTTTCAGCTGCATGAGGGGACGCAAGTGGCCTCAACTGTAAGTACTTTTTAGAAATGCTTGGGTATTATCCTAGCATTCCTAACATTCCGAGCTGTGCAAGAGTGTCAAAATCCGTGCGTATGTCACAGAAATGTCACTAGACCTAAAGTATGCCAGATGAGGGTGAATAAATCGTGTGGATATATTTCTCTTCATAATCTACGATGTAACACAAAGGAACCGGCCGAGGAATAAAAGCACTATTGATTGCATGTGAAACAAAAGCATTAGCTGATGACATTTTGATATCAGGCATTAATTCATTTATCTTCTCATATTTATTAGCCCTCATCTGGCATACTTTAGGTCTAGTGACATTTCTGATATACACATGGATTTTGACACTCTCGCGCAGCTCAGAATGTTAGGAATGCTAGGATAATATCCAAGCATTTCTAAACAGTACTTACAGTTGAGGCCGCTTGCGTCCCCTCATGATTTGAACAGATAGTGCACAATTTCCACCAACATACCTCTGCATGAATGAATATCTTGTACATTTCAGGCAGGATCACAGGCACAACATGAGGCATCTGTGTGTCTGTCACCTCACGGCAGAACTCTAAGGATAGATTCACAAACACTTTACACTGCTGCTCAGAAATAAGTGAGACTTAATAGAAACCCTTAACAGGCTAGACAACAATACTTACAATGGACATCCAAAATTATGCAAGTGCATTACAAATAAGCATTTCTCTCTATTTCAAAATCTACAATTTAAACTTACCTTACTCTCATATTACAGTCTCCTACTTCACAGTCCACATTTCCTTAGACATAAGGGGCAGTTGACCTTGAGTTTTTCTAACCTTTTCACTCCCAGGTGTGACCAAAGACAAATTTCTCCTAACAATATCCATACAATATCCAGCAGAAAGGTGATGAGAAGTGCAAAAAATAATATTGGGACAAAAAGCCAAATTTTTTAACTTAAGTTATAAGAAAATAATGTCTGGCAAACATTCGGGAAAACGGATATTAAAATCTTGGAGTGAAAGTGTTAACCATTGTTTGAACAAGTTGGAAGGACACCATTTCAAAAGCTTCCATTTTCTAGTAGCTGTTCCTTCACCCCTAATTAGTGAAGTACAGTTTTTCATACCTGTTAAAACTCTCATGGCTCCATGAATCAAATTGCCATCCCCACTTGTCAATGCTTGCATCAGATTCCCAAACAAATGCGGCCAAGCTTCTGGCCAATCCCAGTATGCTATGGCTGAGATTGCATATGCCTGAAAATATATAGTGGAAATAAGTATAAATCTACAAGTGTTGAGGAAGACTTACAGATGTACAAATATAATTAGAAGACTGTGAATCTACTCTCACTTTTTTTCTTATGGAGTAAGAGATTTTTAAAACTTTCAAAAGTACATTGAGAGTTAGGTCTTTGCAAATTTACATTTGTAAGCCTCAATGTCATTTTCTCTCTTGAACCTGCTCACTCAGTGTAACGAATAGTGTAACTGGTAACTCATGGTGTCATCCAGTAAAAACAGTCACACACAAGAAAGTGCTTCTAGAACTTGAGTTTTCCCTCAGGCCATGAGGATGTACCTTCCATGCTAAGTTGATCATGAGAGATGCCAAGAATAACCTCTCACAATAGATTACCCTCTGAACATGAAAAAAACTTACCACGCTTGACCTGACTTTACTAATTGATTCCTGTAGACCTCCTGGTAAAAGACGACGAATCTCTTCCTTGGCCTAAAACACAATGAAAAGAGAAGATATCTGTAACCTTTGATAATTAGCAATGTGTGAGAGAATGGGAATAATGTTGCTAAAATAAAAGACCATTGACTATGTCTGTGCAACTTATAAATATTGGGAGTAAGTTTCTAAAGAGACTGTGGTGCTGCATCAGTGGGAGAGTACAGCAACTGAGTTGATAACTTAAATTAGCCATAGTAAAGAGTTTAAAAGCTGATGTTTTGAGCATTAGCCCTTCCAAATCACCCTGACAAAGGCCTAACACTTAAAACATCAGCTTTTAAACTCTTTACAGAGGCCAATTTACTCTGCTGATGATACTAAATTACCCTGCGACACACCTTATGGTTGCCTTCTCTCCACTGAACATGTGGAGAGGACTATCATACTATTCCTTAGTATAGAACTGCCTGTTGTATACTATAACTTAAAATACTGGATACTCCATGCAGAGAACTTTGTATACTAAGTAAGTTTGATTTTCACAGTTATGTGTCATTTGTGTTTACTATTCCTTAGTATAGAACTGCCTGTTGTATACTATAACTTAAAATACTGGATACTCCATGCAGAGAACTTTGTATACTAAGTAAGTTTGATTTTCACAGTTATGTGTCTTTTGTGTTTACTATTCCTTAGTATAGAACTGCCTGTTGTATACTATAACTTAAAATACTGGATACTCCATGCAGAGAACTTTGTATACTAAGTAAGTTTGATTTTCACAGTTATGTGTCTTTTGTGTTTATTCGTTTATATTAATTATTCATTTGTACAGCACTCCTGTACTTGTTGTGTAGTAAGGAATTTGGTAATTAAAACCTCAAGTTTTCATGGTAAACATTGTCGCCATTCTGCAATACTACAATACTTATTTATAAGAAATCACTTTAAAACACCCAATCTTTCACCAGCCCTCCCTCCAAGAATCAACCTTTCCAATGCATTACCCTCTTTAACCTTTTCACCATTAAGATCTTAATAATAATCTTCCTTACTGTCTGCCATACAATTCATATGACATAAGTGCTGAGAATTTGGTATTAAGTCAACTTATAATGCCCTAATTGATATTTTCAAGAAGAAACTATCTCATGGGAGAAACTTCTCCCTTTAGAGAATTTAAAGGGTTAAAAAAATGAAAATAGCTATATATCTGTATATGGAAATTGAAAAAAAACTCATTAAATTACTCCACAAAGATGATTTACATTTACCACTGTAAGACTTGAAGTATATTCAAAATGTACTTACAGCATCTGTAGTCTCAGGAGGTCTAAATTTCTCAGCACTGCTATTCTAGTGGGCTTCAACATACTGCTTTAGAATGACTGAGGCAAGCTGAAAATGATTTATGTTTAAAGAAAATATCATTTTTTTACTCTATGTTACTATGTTACACTAAATAAACAAAAGACTATTCTTCAATCAGACTTAATATTCATGTAAGCTTGATGGAAACAGTTAAAAGAAATAGTAATGACATCAAATTGGTGCAGATTCATCCTTTAGTGAACTTACAAGAAAAAACTGACCAACCAATCAAGCTGACAGGCAAGGTTATAGTTTTGTTCAAACACGCGACATTTACATGTACATGTAACTTTTCAATGCAATCATACAATCCAAGTAGTTTGGATATAAAGCATGCTGTCATTGGTTGACAGAGCATGTTCTATCAGAGTCCAAAGCATGAAGCTGAGCTAAAGCCGTCACACCTTCTGCCAATTATTACTATGTCCAACCATTTCCTGAACTTTTCTCTTAGACTGGCTTTGTTTTGTTAACTGAAAGTGAAAGTTTGCAACAAGTGAGCTGCCAAGTAGCACAAGCAGAACCAAACAAAGGTTTGTAAACATGCCAAGCCCTGTAATTGAGGTTATAATGATGTGAACAGATGAAAAATTCCTCAAAGAGAAAACAAAATTGACAGCCCAAGTTTTCAAGGTATTCATGCTCAGTTAGATTGTAAGCATACCTACAGTATAAGAATCAAACACAGCCAACTCTTGCATAATATATATAAAGTTTCATGTTGAAAAACAAAACAGAACAAAACATAGATGAAAAATATAGCCAAACTGGCATAACTGTCATAATTCATGCAAACCATGACAGTCTCAGAGCGACCACCATCACGCTATGGTCCATAACTAGTAGCTCATTGCGATGATCTACGGTCATCACAGTGAGGCAAGCCTCAACAAGCCTTGGCCACCATTTGAGTGAACAACCAAGAGCTTTGTCAGATATCCTTTCAATGTATTAAGTGGATGGCCACATCAGTCACAGCAGCCAAGTTTTATGGTGCTGTCATCCCAGGCGAGCTTCATCTTCCTGTGAATTTAGCTGGCGTTCATTCATAAAGCAAGGGCCTTAGGCAATTTGTTGTCTAATTGTCATGTGAAAAAACTGTTGTGTTTTATAAGCCACAATTTGGCCAGATTTCACAGAACATTTCACTTTCAGAATCCATATTGAGACTAAAAATCTTAAGGCAAAAGTGTTCAATTCAAACTGCCAAACTATTTCAGTTTGTGAATTATGGCAGATTGTGAACTTTGATGGTTTGACATTTTTGACAGCTTTCTTGTTCAACCAATCAGATTATTTCAACCATACTACCAATGATTCTGATTGGCTTATGGTAGTTTGCTTTATGAGAGTATAGAGCATTTCTCCCAACTCAAGAGGTGGGGAGTGAAAAGAGTTCTCTATTAAATCTACAAGATGAGCCTTCTGGTTTTTAAGCTGACTTAACTGTAATTAACCCACAAAATACTTTAATTAAATTGTAAAATCTATCTGCTATTACTTATTATTTTGAAAAATGCTGTCACTGACTTGTCTGATAGCAAGGGCTCCATCTCTGTCAACTGTGAGTTCTGCTAAATGGACACCAAATTCTGAAAATTATGAAGTAAAGTTAAAACTTTGATCAGCAAGTGTCTCTAATCTGGCAAACTATAAGGAGTTGTAAGAAGGGTGGGGATGCTGCACATGTAAAGTAATGAAGAGAACAGATAAGCAAGACTTCAATTTCTTGATCAGTGAGGAGAGGTTTTGAAGACCATCTGATATGGGAGGGGGAGAGGAAAAGATTATATGGTAGTTTTCACAGGAACATTGATCATTACAATATCAGTAGATCTGTTGAATCTGGTCATAAAAACTAAAACAGAAGGATTAATTAATCGCGAAGAAGTCCAAATTTCACCACCAGATTAGGAAGTTTTCCCTAAATAGGGGGTATTTCTGAAGCCTCAAATTTTTGGCTGATTTTTTTCAACAGCATTATATGAATCTTTTATGTTATATAAATCTAGGTTTTTCTTAGGAGAAAATGTTTCACAAGTAAGTTGAAAAAGTTTTTAAACTTAAACCATTAGTGTGAGAACTCCTCATGTAAAGATCTGAGTTTTTGCCACAAATAACTTGTTGCTGTGCTGGGCATTGATTACAATGAATTCATAGGCGGATGATAGTGAATTTATAGAGCATATTCTTGTGTTGATTTGCTCTAACAGACCTTACAACACTTTTCCTGCCACTTTGGCCAAACTGCATTGAGCAGTTTACATTTTTTTGAAGGAAGTTTAGAAGGTGCCTAGAATTTCTGGCCAGATCACAACACCCAGAGCTATGTTCCTTCATCTTTGTGAGAAATGCTAGGGTTCTCTAGCATCCCCAGCTAACCAGTACCAAGAAGATGCAGATGAAGGAGCCTACAATTTATCATCCTAATGCAAGAAGACTACAACATCTAATCATTTGCAAATGTCATAGCAAAGGCAACACATTGTTCTCAGCTATTTTAAAACCCTGAGTATTGGTCCCCTCCAGGGCTTAAACCTTAGCCCTCCCACACAGCAGTTTTGCGCTCTAAAACCTGAACTAACTAGGAGAAGATGTAAGAAGCATTATGCATAGTGCTGGCACCAGCAGTATCAAAAGCACCACATGTGGGATTAAAGTAAAGAAGGATACTTTTTGAGGTTTGCCTTGAAATATTGAGGATTCTGCCCAACTATAGAAAGCAATTGAAAACAGTAATCCAAGGTTGCTGAAAAGGAAGCCACCAGACCCCCAAAAGTGCCACTGATAGAAGATGGAACAAAATGAACAACATTTCAAGCCACTCAGTAGTTTTTTCATTGAACGAAAAATACAACACATTTGCATACATCATGCAGACTATGCAATAGCTGCGACATGAAAAACTTATGCACTTACCGTCCTAATACACTGTGCATATGTTAATTTGAAGTTGACAGCAAAATTACCGATTTATTTAGGGTTTAGTGCTAAGAACACAAAAAATCCGAGTTCTATAGACTGATTTTCACACAAACGGCGGCTCGAGAAACCATTCAGAAAGTTTATTTCAGAAAGTTTGCTTGCAAACTTAAGTTTTTTACTTCAGCTTTCTTGAAAGTTTTTTCATTGATTTGCATGAAGAGAAATACACATGAGAGCCTAAGAACGGTCAGAATACGTAGCTTATTATTATTCTAAATGACAATCACTAACCCAGCTGAGCTCAAAGTATCGGGTTCGCATACAAGTGACCATTTCGTGAAATGTACATCTACCAGCACGTTTTTCATTTTGATCTTTAAGAGAGCACAGCGTTCTCACTGAATTTAAAGCAACTCACAAATCCTACCTTCTGTGACCTCGAGAACCTTGAGCTGTTCTTCAGCCATCTGTCTAGACTGTTGATCTGGCGACAGGATGGCTGTCAGGCTATCTATGAGGGCCTGTTTCAATGATCGATTCCTGTCGTCCATTGCGGCAGCCATCTTGGAAATTCGGATCAAAGAAGGCAATTGCGCATGCGATTGCTTTGGCGGGAAAATTTCAGGAGAGCTTTGACCGCTGACTAGCAGGTCTCGATGTCAACTGAAAGGCGATACCACAGAAACGACTGGCAACTTAGGGAGAGGTCATATCAGTTCACAGGAATTCCGACGTGACTTAGATTCAAAGTTAACTCTCGGAAAAGCCTCTGGTGGTGGAGAAGGTATGCTGAAAATTTAAGTTTACCGAATCGTGTCTCGTCGAAACTTTGATTTGGTATAATGACCCTGACGATCCTAAAGGGATGGTGGCCAGAGAGTGTAATTTTGAGTAACCCAGGCGGATGTAATGTGATTGAGCTGCTGATCTAATACTTTTATGGCAGAGTGGATATCACTGTGCGGTTCTGGCAATGAGAGCGAAAACTGGAATGTGGACCACTAATATACAGTTAATTGTCAAAGTGACTGCACAACAAGAAGACAAAATCTAACTGATCGGCATGACCTATGCCTTGATTAGTTTCAGTTGATCGTCCTTAGCTTATCTGTTTCCCTATCCATTATCTCTCGTGGACTGATACGAGGAGCGTTTTTCCACATCTCTGTTCTAATGCCCAGATTTGTTTCTTAATGAAGCCCTGACTTGTCACTCAGTAAGATCTCAGTTCTAATACAAAAGGATAAAAAAAGACTGGGTTTCCAATTGCAACTGAACATTTACTTTTGCCTTTTTGTTTGGTAGCAATGATGATGCTAAATGTTTTTCTTCTCAATGTCTTCATTTGTAATTAAATACTTCTGACCTTATCAAACAACAACAAATCTAAAACATCACAATCGTGTTTACACACTCTTGTAAAAAAAAACCCTATAAACAAATGATAGTGCACATAACCTCTCAATTATTTTATGAAAGAATCGATTTGTTTAAAGGCCTCCATTCAGAGGGAAATTTTCACATCATCAGTGAAAACAGGTCACTCTCTTTCACATCATACACGTCTCTAGAAGCTGTGGAGTTCAAATTTTTTTCCTTCCCTTTTGAAACATCAATAATTCAGTTTTAAACTTGCATTAAAAGATGAATAATTCTTGTAACTAGCTTTGTGTTCAATTTCATAGTTTTCATGAATAACAATGCCTAAGTTCAGCTTCAAGTGCACCACAATGCTGTGAAACACCTTAGCCTCATTGTCTTGAGAGCAAGCTTCAAATCATGTAGATTATTATGTTCATCTTTCAGTGCATCACACAAGTGATACACCTAGTTTTGATTTATTGTTGACAATAAGATTAAACTCAGATTTTACATTATCCATCTTATAGTACTGCAAACTACAGATTTGAAAACAACTGATCAAATGCATCTCCCCCTAAATACTTCAAATTTGTGAGTTTACAACGTTCATCTTTTAGCGTAGCAAGCAGCTGTGATAAACCTTGGTCTGATATATTGTTGATTCTAAGGTCCAACTTTGTGAGTTTACAATGTTCATGTTTAAGTGCAGCACACAGGTGTGATACACCTTCGTCTGATATATTGCTTTCTCTAAGGTTCAACTCTGTGAGTTTACAATGTTCATCTTTTAGTGCAGCACACAGGCATGATACACCTTCCTTTGATATTTTGTTATTTGAAAGGTGTAACTCTATGAGTTTACAATTTTCATCTTTTAGTGCAGCACACAGGTGTGATACACCTTGGTCTGATATATTGTTGCCTTTAAGGACCAACGTTGAGAGTTTACAATGTTCATCTTTTAGTGCAACACACAGGTGTGATACACCTTGGTCTGATATATCATAGTTCCATGAAAGGTCCAACTTTGTGAGTTTACAATGTTCATCTTTGAGTGCAGCACACAGGTGTGATACACCTTGCTCTGATATATAGTTCCATGAAAGGGCCAACTTTGTGAGTTTACAATGTTCATCTTTGAGTGCAGCACACAGGTGTGATACACCTTGGTCTGATATTTCGTTGTGTTCAAGGTTCAATAATGTGAGTTTACAATGTTCATGTTTTAGTGCAGCACACAAGTATGGTATACCTTCGTCTTTTATAAGATTTAAACTAAGCCGCAACACAATGTTTCCCTGGAGATGCTTTATGAAGTAAACAATTGCTGCACAGTCAAGAGCTGTGACATTACTAGAAATCGCATCAATTTCGATGTCAGATGTGATACTACTCGACATTACAGAAGCAGCCTCCTTTACCTTGGCTTCATCATTGTACTCATGCAAGCATTTCATCATGAGGAGAGCCATCCGATCTAATTTCCATTCTCGTTCAGATTTTTTCATGGATTCACAAAGCATGTTTACAAAAACAATAACTGCTGTATTTCTCTTATCACCAAGTAGACCTGCTACAAACTGAAGCACCAGATGCCATTTTGAGTCTGAAGCATTACTTCTGACAAAACTCTTGAGCTTACCAGGGTCCATTTTAGCAATTTCCCTTGCAGCAAGAAATTCTTGAAATGTCAAGTGAAGAAAGCAGTATTGTGACTTAAATTTGGAGCTTGAAACTTTTCTGTTTGGCATGCGGTTAAACAAACCACATTTCTCTATTCCCTGCACTTCGTGTGAATCAAACACCAATTGTTGTTGTTCTATGCCTTCTTTTGCCAATGCTCCTGCCTTAATCAAAGTTTTCTCTACAGGATCTGGGAAGTCAACATTTCCCATAAGAAAGTCCTCTGTTAATGGTTTTCCTTTAAATTCTGAATGATGTTTGAAGATAAACAATTTCAAAGCCTCTTTGTAAACTTGTGTTGAAGTTGATGGCAAAGCCATGTCAGTTGAATTCTGTTCTTGGAGTTTGAGGCATTCCTCCAACAGAGAGCAAATAATGTGTGTGTTTACTGGGATGTAGCATAGTGACTGCAACTCTAAATTGGTGCTGATATGACTCCATATTTTATCTCGTCTCTCTTTATCATTTTCAAAACGTTGCTGCACATACTTCTCGACCTTCTCGGGTGTAAAACCCATTATCTCCACCTTCCTGTCAAAGTGCTTTGCAGCGAGGTGTGCAATGTTCTGCACTGCATCGGGTCTACTGGTTGTTAAAACTGTGGCTCCTGGAAGCAGCCTTCCTTTCACTAGCTTAACATAAAGAGCAGACAGAGGCATTTTTTCCTTTGAATTATTTCCATATGCTTCATCATCTTCCAGACAGTGGAAATTGTAATTGAATTCATCTAGGCCATCAAACACAATGATTGCTTTTTCAGGGTTGTCTAAAACATACTGGAATAGCTCATCATCATTGTTACCTTCTGAGTGTACATGACACAACAATTCTTTGAGAGTTATCTTCTGCAATGTCTCATCGTTGAACCATCTAAATTGAATCAAATAAAATAGGTGAAAGTCACGCAACAAATCACCCTTGCCCCAGTCACGCGATATTTTCGTACACAGCAGGGACTTTCCAATCCCTGGGCGACCAATCACAAGAATTTTATATGGATTTTGAGTATCTTCGTTTGGGAGAAATAACTTTTTAACTGAGTTGATAGCCACTGATTCATGTTTTGGCTCCAAATAGACTTCGAATATTTCTTGTCTGACAGTCAAGGTAGTAAATTTGTGTTCTGCCCTTCCGGTGTAAATAACAAAGTCGACAAAATTATCGTCCATCTTAAGTTTACCATCGGTTTCAACAATCAAAGGTTCTATGATTTCCGTTTCCCTCAGAATTTTCTCCCTCATGTGGGCAATCGCGTGACGCAGAGTGACTGAAAGGGTTTTCTTGTTCCAAAAGTGTTTTTGACAGAATTCAGAGTCCAAGGTGAACTTTTTACTGCGTGACTTTTGTACCAAAAGATACAACATCTCTCCAAAAGCCAGCAGCGTCAGCACAACATTTACCACTAAAATTAATGTGGCATTCAAGTTCTTGTCTGATGCGACGGAATTGTTACAGTTGACGATCATGACCGAGGAATAATCTTTGGTTGCGTTTGAATTTGTCGAATTTACAGTTGGCGTTACGGTCGGGGTAACACAAGCGAATTCTGCTGGAAATCCAGCGGGATAAAGCAGAGACTTTTGTATAGCAGCACACAAAATTCCCCATAAACATCGTAAAAGGAGATGTATGAAGTAACAACGAAAGACTCGGTGAGATGCCACCCTTGGCCGGCGGCGAGGGTTTTCCGGATCTGCTTTCAAGGCGGTTTTAAGCTCATCGACACGGGATTTCACAAAGCACCAGGAGTAAGTGATACACATTAGCACCAAGGGAACGAAGCAAAGTAAGACAAATCCATAGAGTGGAAGAGGAGTGTAATGTTCGTCATATCTCGCCAAACAATGTTCACGAAGGTGGGTAGCAGACTGGCAGCTAAATCTAAGTCGTTCGTTGCTTCTTAAGACTACAGTGACTGGAAAGAGTGAGAGCAAAGCTGGAAGGTGAAAAACTGCACCAATGTAACCGACGAGGCTAAAGTATTTTACCAGAAAATACTCCTTGACAGTCTCCATTGAAAGCGTATATTATTCCTTCAACGCAACTACGGAAATTCTTTCGGAATTTTACTCTGAAGAATTCACGTGACTAGGAGTGTCCAAGGTGCGCTCATCTCAGACTCCCTCGGAATTATCGGAAAGAGCTCGATCGGAGAGGCTTTTTTTTCTTCTGGGGGAATATTATAAACACTAGAGTTTACGTTACGATTGCAGTTCAATATGTATATTTAAATTTGTTGTGGTATTTGAGACCGGACCTGTAAGGGATGAGCCCATAAAAAAAAACAACAAAAACGTGGGAGTGTCAAAGGCTCAAATAGGGTGCAAGGCTAAGGCAGAGCTTTGAAAAGATTTTATGAGGAGTCGTAGGAAGCGACAGAACAGTTTTAATGTAATCAAGATTCTTTGATTCGTTATTTCTCTTATCTGCTCAGGTCCGGGAAAGGGGGATTTTAAAAGGCTGACTAATGTATGGATACAATTCGAGATACAATGTATTTCTTTAATTTAATCTCTAACATGGGAAAAAGAGAAAGACGAACTTAAAAGTAAACATACACCATCTTTTTTTAATATACCATGATGTCTAGATTAAACGCCAGACCCCGCTTAAAACGCTGGTGTCATAAATGCCACGGCCAGAATGCTAACTGATTTGGGAAAAAAAAACTCCTGCTGATTAATTTAGTAAAAAAACTCCGCTGTATACTTAGGGCACGCCATGAGGCGTTGTTGGGCTAGGTGCCTAAGAGAGGCTCAGTCTCTGTTAGCGTTAAACCGAAAAAAGTCAAGACACTCCTATAAATTAGGCCTCTTAACCAAAATTCCTTTGATTACAGAGGATGGATGATAAAATTCCTACTCGAAAAATGTCAGAAAATTGACGACCGGCCCCGTTTTACCCAGGCCTAACCCTAGAACAAGTTATGGTAATGACGTCACGACGTACGTCATAAAATCGACATATTCTTGAAATATGGCTTCCATCGTAGTGAAGTATACAATGTATGTCTAAAAGAAAATGACCTAAAATCGTGTACAAGAAGTAAACAGGTTCGGTGATCAGTAATGGGGACGGGAGCTAGTGCATCAAAGCAGCAGTGGACCGCAGCTGATGAAGATAATACGGCTGTTGAAGATGTAAGACCGCGTACGGCCGCAAATGCGAACCTTCCTACAAACGACATGACTGGAATGACGAAACTAGTGGAAGCTAAAAACAAGTTTTTGAAGATCAAAAGTAAAGAGAAGAACACGGCGTGTTTCCAAAAACAGGTATCTGAAGTTTACAACTTGCAGTGTAAAATCCCTTCATGATTTCCCTGGCTACTTGATATATGTTTGAATAACAAAAAAATTTCCAAGGTACGACTAATAAACAGCAGAGCTTTACTTTTGAGCAAAATTTTCTAAGATTTACTCCTTACGGAATGATTATTAGATAACTGATAACTTTGATTCGCCTGTGAAGTTCTCTATTATGTTTTTCGCAGGGGGGGAGGGGCTTCTACACTGGGGCAACACTAATATGCCGTTTCTACTCTATCCCTTCGTCTCAACAAAAGTTTACAAAACTTTCCCTTCTGTAAGGTCAACACCACTTAGTTGTAATCACACTTTCACATGCTGTCTCATCTTTATCAAAAGGATGCTGTTTCGCTTTTTTCTTGTCACAGAGAGATTAAAATGATATACTTGGATGCATTAAAAGTAAAACTCTTGAAACAGGCCTAAAATTTTTGAACTGTTGTTTTGAAAATGTATTGTAAATAAACTTGCTTATTAAGTACTCTTTGTTAAGCTTGATGGAACAGATATTATCAAAGAACTGTACAAGCGCATGGACCCAACTGTGACACAACCTGACACAGGAGATATCAAAGGAGATATACAACTCTCTCTCAAGTACAATCACAAACAACAGCTTTTACTGGTTAAAGTCATTCGCGCTAGAGACCTTGTTCCTAGAGATCTGAATGGAAAATCAGACCCATATACTGTGTTAGATCTTGTCCCAGATGTGTAAGTCTGTTATTTTGTTACAATATTTGGCAAGTGATGTAGTCTACAGGTGATAAATACAGTACTTTCTTTTCATTTTTGCATCATGTCAAAAAGGCCTGGTCTTACACCCTCATCAAAATTTACAGAGTTCTCATACACACTAGAAGTTAAACACTCTTCAAACAAATTTATTCAAAATTCAGAATAGATACACATATAGCTATTTCTACTTTTATTTGCATGACTGTCATACCTCGGTCTAATATCTTCTGCATAATTTTTTTTATAAGAAATGGAGAAGGACAGAAAAAGACTGGGTACAAGTCCAAGACACTCAACCCTGTGTTCAATGAAATATTTTCATTCCAATTGGATCATTCACGCATAGCAGACACAAAGCTAAGAGTGGCTGTTTGGGACCATGATTTTTTTGGTGAAGATGACTTTAATGGTGAAGGTGTAGTGGACTTATCTGCGATCAGTCTTAACTCTGGAACTCATACCGATTGGTTTATGCTTCAACTTGCAGTATGTTATTACTTTTATTACAAATAAGACTTACAATTAAAACTCTGATTGGGCGAGAGCATACTGTCAATATACAATTATAGCATGTGAAGTTAACATCATAACCCAATATCTGCAGCAGATATTGGGATATCATGTTTAGTTTAAAGTCTGCTTAGTTTCCAAGCCCCGTAGTAGGTGAAGTGTTCTCAAACTTTTGCAAAATCAGAGACAAGTGTGTTATTTTGCAGATTGTGTAAAAAAAGAATAATTAAACAATTATTGAAGTCAGTTTGGGCATGATATAATGAATTATCAAGCCTCAGGTCTGTGTTATCTGCTGAAGCCAGAGGCCGAGGCAGATAACACAGACCTTACCATTGGTATCATGCTCAAACCCATGTAATAATTGCTTGATATGTGCGTCTAATTAATGTCAGAAATTTTGAATGATTGAATATGAACTTGATGTGTCTTGACCTTGTAGAGAAACATGAGAAACTTAGTGGCCCTGTGGTTTGTGCTCTGTATTGCACAGAGAAGTCTGGGTTTGAGCCCTTTCTGGTAGAATTAATGGTGTCATGTTCTTGGGGAAGACTAGGGTTAAACCCTAGACCTAGGGTTAAATTTCAACACAGATTTCTTGATTCCTCAGTTCAAAAGCCTCCTTCAGTTAACCTTCTCTATTCTCTTTAGAGCATGCAATCAGCAAATTGTAGACAAAAAAAAATTATACTGAATTTTACTTCAAAGCTTTCATATCTTAAAGCAGATTTCACACTAACCCTGAGTTTAGTCTTAACCCAGTTTTGAACATCCTAGCCCAAGATTATGAACATCTACCAGTGAAATGAACTGCCTGGGAAATGCAACAAATTACTGTAAGGAGGATTGGGGTTTTAACTTGTTATTAACCCTTTCAAAGGGAAAGCAATTGATCCATTTTTTGAAAGAAGGAAATCAATATCAACTGTTTCTAAACCTCACCCAAGTTTCTTGGTTAAGGAAAAGAAAGACCATTATTTTGCAAAAGTTTTCTATCCATTGTTGGAAAACTAGAGATTGAAAACAGGTTTGGGGGGAATTTTCTCTATGTGTTATTTTAAAGTGGATAAAATACTTCCACATGCATTTTCAAGTTTGTTTGTGCATGTAAGTTGTATTTTTCTGGAGGATCTCTCTTAGTGTTGACACCCAATTCAACCCAGTCTTTTCCATAACCCGAATCCCTAGCATCTTGATAATGCAACAATATACATGTAAGCACTGAAGTTTTATTAAAGATTTTTAAATTCTAGGACCAGTTTGGATACAAGCACTAGATTTGAATTCAAGTTTTATGATAAATACAAATGGAAGATATCCCTTACAAAGCTCTATTGTGCACATTTTGAGCAACTTACTTTGCAAAGCTTTTGTCATCAGATGCAATCAAACTCTTTCTCTGCTGTAAAACTATGAGACTGCCAACTTGTTGGTATCTTGTTAGGCTACCATTTTTGTAAATACTCACCCTAAGGGATAATGTTGAGGGTCACTGTACTTTTCCCACTAATTTGAAAATAACAGAGATTTGTTCTTACCCACTGTTTTGTGATTGGAAAGTCTAAGACTTTGAGGATATCTCATATTTGAATCTTAAGGTCTATATTTGGAATACACTTGTTGATGAAACAAAAAAATAATGATATCATAATAAGTAATGTTAATAGGACTGAGTGGAGTCCAAGTCAGTCTGTAATCATGTAAGTGATAACAAAATCTGACAACAGAGTATGATTACAGACTGAAGTGGACAACATGAAGCCCTATTACCAATTAATCATAAAAATTACAATTTCTGATGAAAGAAGAATAGCCAAGTTATGAAAGTAAGGTAAAATTTTGATTTAAACTACAACTTTGAATGTGATTGGCTTATTGAACAGTCCAATATCAACTTGGCAAGTGAATTAGTGGAAAATAGGAGTTTTTTAAACCAATCACAATCAAGGAAATTGTTATTAAGCTCATTTTCATCAACCTTCATTTGCAGACTGATTTCAGCATCAAAGGAGAATTAGAAATAAGTCTTGAATATGAAGAACCTGAAACTCTGATAGTAACCATCCACAAAGCATTCAATATCAAGGCTGGAAACACGCTGAGGAACACCTCTGATGCCTTTGTCAAGTGTGCAATTTCTGGAACTAGTTTTCAATATGAAACTGAGGTGTGTGTATGATCTTCAAATAGCTAACTGGGTAACTTCCTAGCCACTGGGGATTTTTTTAATAATTTGTATTGTATCTACTCCTCCTGACTATGTATTTGCAGAGTCCCCAGTTAGAACAGAGCTGCTTAATCACTGAACCCTTTAACTCCCAAGATCTGACTGTTGATTCTCCCCTCCAGCTGCTACACATTTCCTTGTAAATTAGTAATGAGAATTTGGTGTTAGATTGGAATAATAACTTTGTTTGCTGGACAATGTATGGATATTATAGGAAGAAGTTTCATGTTAATCACTTCTGGGAATCAAAGGGTCAAATTGATTTTTTAATTTATTATACCTGTATATATACTTTTGAACATGCTCTTGAGCCTCCTCTTCTTCAAGCTTCCTTCTCCAACGAGCACTACTCCTTCTCTGAAAAGATTTCTAGGCTTTGATCCGTTTCAATGTCATACTTATTCAATTAATTCACTCAACATTTTTTTAAATAATATTTTGATGTGATTTGCTGAAGTAAAAAGTCACATATTACAAAGTAAGTATTCTTAGACAATTCTTTTAAGGTGTATATTAACACAAATCAACCACTCGTCAAAAACTTACTACAATAAACCAAAAGTTGGTATCATCAGTCAGTTGCGCCCCATTTTAAACTTCTGAATGAAATAAGCCCTTGTGTATACCTCCTTTTTATGATTGAGCTATTACAAGAAAAAGCGATTGAATAAGTCAGTTGTTATGAAAATTGAGCGCTGTAAATTGTCTGCTTCTCAAGCTAAATAAGGCCTCACTGTTTCCCACAACTCCCTCTTTTAGTGGCTCTTGTGTGAAAATCCCCAATCTCACAAATATTGTGCCTTTTAACCACAGGTTGTTAGTAGTACGTTGTTTCCAGAATTTGAAGAAACGTTTGAATTCACCGTTCCGCCTGAGGAGTTTCCGTCGAGGTAAATTAGTGTATATGTTATTTATAATTCCTTGTATAACATAATTCATCGCTAGTGGGAAAGGAAAGCTATATAAAATTTAGAATCCTAGCCAAAGTTACTTGTAAGTACGTGGACGTCAATCCTAGCCTGCAGAAACGGAGTCCTTTTCGGGCGAGGGAACGTTACGAGCTCGCGAGCACATGTTTTATTTAGAGTAAGAGCGGACGGTGAGTGGGGTGTATATTCGCTGTTTAAATTCTCTGCATGTCCTAGACCTCCGCAATTGTACTTTTAAAAACCCAGTTCTATAGTCCAAAGTTAGTTTTTTGCCGGAAACGTTATGGTGGTGGACATGTAATTGCAATTCACTGCTGTTTCCGCTCTTGTTTTTTTTCGTTTTGTCTGCAGGGCTGTGCTGTTTCACATTTTCGACAAGGAAACTGTTGGTAGCAACAATTCACTTGGACAGGTCAACATAGAGCTAAAGTACTTAGACTTGGATGAGCCAATCAGAAAACGATACCCTCTAGCTGATCTGGTAACTGAGATAATTAGTTTTGCGTCCTTCGCATGTGGAGAATTTTAAAGATAAACTTTGTCTTCCTGGAACAATTTCCATGAATTGTCGGAAGTAAATCTGGTTTGCGTTGGTTTAGTGTAATGACGATCTATGATTGGTTTGAGGAGGCAAATTTAAAGGCGTCTTTGCTCCAAATTAGAGAAGAATGGGCTTAAAATTGGCTAGCTACCGGGCTTCCTAAAACTCGCTCTTCTGAGGTGCAAAAGAGCAAAGTTCGGCTTTCACGCACGAATGTTTGAAGATTAAAGATGTACCATCGATGCAAACTGATAATACGAAACATTTAACGATTAGAAGGACTATGCCCAAAATTCGGTCATTTTTAGTTTAAAAGCTATTTTCAATAGCGATTATGTTAAAAAAAAATCCTACTTGCATTCCAAATTGTCACGCGCGGTGAATGGTAGATAAATCTTTAATCGAACAGAATCCGTTTTAATTTTTAAAGTTGGTCAACAAGAACCTTTATTCATTTCAGTTTAAAAATTGCTGGTCGAATTGAAAGGTTTGATTAGGTGGGGGGGTGGTGCGAAACTTATGTGGTGTCTAGGCTCCAGGACCTACGCGTTTCACATGCAAAACTTGAATATGGCTCATCTTCGGTTCTTCGAAGAAGAACACGATTTTACAGTAACCACTTTCTGGTATTTCGGGTCTAGTTTTTTTTTTTTACGCTCTGTCAAACTTCCTTCATGGTGAAGAGACAATACAATATGACCGTATGATAAGATGGAGATATCAGTGATCGGCAAGTAGTGTCTCTAAGGATGGGCGGGGTTCAAGTGGAGTCCAAATGACGTACTTGACGAGTAAGCTAAGAATTAACTTTTAAAAATTCTTATTATATTTTCCAATTTTTGTGGTAGAAAAATGAATCTTACAAGAGAGCAGAATGGGCACAGAATGCCGTAGCTCAGGAGTTCAGGGAGGCCATGTACGCGCATGCGTTGTACAGACATCCCATTTTCTTGCGTGGTATCGAAACTAAAGGGCGGAAGGTAAGACTAAAGAGACAGCTTTTTAATTTAAGTAAACCTTGACAGCTTAGAAATCATGCATTGCTGGGCCTGATGTTTTGAAGCGCGATCTTCAGCAACACGTCTCCTGATATTTTTAGTTAAATCACGATTAGTGTTAATGGGGAGTCAATCAACCCGGCTCAGCCTCTCGGGGTACCTGGTATTATTTTGTATCTCTGGGGTTTCAATAAAAGTCACTAACCGGCTGTCTACCACCTAGCCTACATGTAGCCGTACCCTCTCTCCCAAGGGGATGGGACACGTTTCCCCTTCTGGGGGAGAGTACAGCTACACGTAGGCTATCTACCACCGTCTGTTTACCTTGCGACCAGGCTCTCTCAGCAGTCACTCATAGAAAAAGTCATTGAAACTCTAATATCTTAAGGAATTCAAGATGAAAGGGTGTGTCCGGAACACTTTTGCCTGTTTTATCGTATGATCTTTGAAGGTCGATACAAAACTTTTTGTCCTTTTCGTAAATACTGCATGCAGTCTTTATTTTCAAGACGCATTTTCGTTTTCTTCATAACGGTGTAGCTCACTCTCCGCTGGTTGAGGGTGCGAGGGTTAACGCAAAAAATTGCTTAATAGTGGTAATCTACTAAAAGTTTTAAAAAAAAAGTGGCGTAAGCTTCGTCGATTTTATGCGGTATTGTTAAAATTGTGTCTAGTTATCTTTTACCACTCTCTCATAAGGATAGGAAGTTAGTGACTCGAATAAGAAACTTATCCTTCAAGTGTTTTCCTTTACTGTTTCCCTGGTCTTTTGTGGGTTCGCATAACGTCCTTGTGTCTTTCTCTCGTTTTAGTTGTACTCATTGAGCAGTCGCAGCGCCGGTTCATCCTCCAAAGTGTTCCTGGTCAATGGTATACCCGGTTAAACTAACCGTCGTTCTTCTTGGAAGACTTTTTTATGACCTATCAGAGAACTAAGAAGCTTTAACATCCTTACTTGCTAACGCACATACGTGTCCTATCAATGGCCTTATCTAGATACTCCTGTAGCTAAACTCAGTTGCTTTTGAGCTGAATTGTTCGGAGCACTTTTCGAGTACGTTATTTTCGCGCGTGGAAAAAGGTAAACTGTATGTAAATAGCGATATAGACATGTAGGTATCTTGAAATTTTATTATCGCTTCGGTACTTTGAATAGTTAAATTCCGTCCGTAATGTTAAACGTAATGAACCAATCGAATTCATGTTTCTCCGCTCGATCTTGTTCAACACTTTCATGACTACGAATCGACTTAAACTTCACTCACTCTTTCCACCAATGTCATTGTTAATAACTCACTGTTTCAACAAAAGCCAGCTTGTGGACCGCCGCCTACAAGCATTCTTACCACCGTCTTTTGAACCTGCGGGCTTGGTTTTACGTGACGGCCGTTTCCTCGGCGGGTACAGCCGCTTATTACAGCAGCAGTAGTTTAACCCCTGAGAGTGACTAGTTTCTAATTTCTCCTCACAATATCTCTCCTAAATCACACACTAAGGTTAGGAGAATAATGGAAATGATCAACAACTACAGAGGTTCTGGATCGTTAAGCTGATTCTCCTTGTCAGCGCCTGAGGAAATGTATAGAGAACAGTATGGAGAATATGCATACTGATATTAGTGTGTAAAGGGTTAAGGAAAAAGTTATTTATAGACCCTTGTAAAGTCGTATCCAAGGTTGGTTTTCACCTCCTCGTGAGAGACATGTATTAGTTAAGTTCTAGTTTCTAGTGATGTTTGTTATTTATTTTTTTATGATTATTTATAGTCACTGTTTCTTATTAAACGCTTTTTTTACGTCACTCGCTTGGCTGTGTGGTGTGATGATAAGTATGTTGTAGAAAGAGTGGAGGGACAAAGATGTAATTGTTTAAAAGTGTGTTTATAATGTAGTGAAACATAAACTTGTAGCTGTGTAGTTCGGCAATTCACCACAATCTGTTCATCAAAAGAAATTGTAGGAACAGAAAACACTCGAACCTAGTGTGAGTTCGCTTAGGGGTTATCGCATTCGTTGGATGAAAATTACTTTATTTATTTGCACCTAATTTGGATGGAAAGATTTCTTTGAGCAATTTTGTATATCATGTTCTAGGAGCTCTACTTGATCACTCAGAAAGTTCATTATTTTCCGTCTCTTTGAGGAAATGAACATTTTAGAAGTGTGTTAATAATTCAAAACATGGGGCCCACATGTATCAGACCATATTGTCGGAAATCCGCAAAGGAACTTGGCTGACTCAGTTGGTCGGCAACAAGTGACTTATCTAACAGGCGGAGAACAATTCGGCACGTAGACCAGCCACTTTCGCTCAGTGGGTGACGAAAAATAAATTGTTCAACTTGCGACATGCTGTCTTTTGCGCAAAATGTTTTGGCTGTTGTACAAGTTTGATTCCCACGGAGGCACAACAATTGAACAATAAGGTTCGTTACAGCTCACTTGGCCTCGGTAGGAGGGCGGTAACGGAATTGTCATCCAGGCGACATTTTGCCGGTCATTTTGCCGTCATCTGTTCATTCTGTTGTTAATTGTTGCATGATTCCGGGGTAGCGCCAAACAGGTCTCTTTCTTTGTAAAACACCGTTCTGGTCAGGTGTCTATTACACGCGGTGTAAATAGCCTAAAGCGCTTGTTTGCAAACAGCTTCGATAATGTTCTCAACAGTTAATGCGGTGACAACAAGAACGGTTTAAACTCTTAATAATTTCGTTACAGTGATGAATTTAATTAAAAGTAGGGCTGACTTGTCAACTCCATTTGCAATTGGTTTCAATCTTCCACTTTGTTTGCCATCTTTGTTCTCTGTTGGTTAATAGTTGCGTCGTTTGTTTGTTTTGTTTTGTGTCTTCTTTTTTATCTTCCCGCACTAGTATACCATGATCTCCCTAGCAATGAAGAAAGCTTTGCGAAGCCGAAAAACGACTGAAATATGTAACCTTTAAGTGCCAATCGAAGATTCAGGAATCATTTTTTCCGTTACAAATTTGGCGAAGCGGAACACAAACGACTCGTGTTCTTTTGTCTAGCTAAAAGGACACGAGTGTTTTCTAAAACCTTGATTAATTTACTTTTAAATATAGCTATTGTCGCCCGCCTATAGAAATTGCTTAAACACTTAGAATTGAGAATGATAAGCTATCAAAATAAGAGAAAGGTTTCCATAAGTTATCTCCAATAAAGCATTTAATTACATTTTTCCGGCCCAACATTATCCCAAGTTACCATTCAACAAATTTTGTTTTTACTAATTTGAATTACAGGAATTCGAGGCATCAGCAAGGCAGGGCTTTCCTTCCAGTTTAGCATAAAATTCCAGCTTGCTCTAACGTTCTGTTTTGAAAACGGCAGTACAGAGGAGTGGAGCATTCGCTTTGCCGCCGTACTCCGATCTGCTCTTGTTAGGAAACATGACTGTCCAGAACAATTATAGACGCTATCAGGACTTGCTATCAAAATAATCGAATGTATTAAACAAACTCTTTATCTTAAAAAGAACGCTGAGACAATCTCGAAAACGTTTTGAATCATTTAAAATTCAATCAGTACGGCGATGAAATTGAGAAACACACTTAGACTGCCATATTGTTATTATGTGAAATATGCCAAAATAATTCATATTTAGTTGCAAGGATGACTGTTTTTGTTTTCTTGCTTTCAGCAAAAACAGACTGATAATGATTGAACAAAATAGCAGCCAAGCGTTAACAAAATAATGATAAATATGGAAATCCAACTGCCTGTCAAGAGATTTTTTTGGAAGTGAATCAATCGATCACTCACATCAGTGAGGCATCAGTGAGAGAGGCGTTATTTAAAAATTCCATAAATGACTGTCTGAATTCAAACTATACTTGAGGTGTTAAATATGTACTGGATAAAGTTGATTGCTAGACAAGAAAAATTGAGAGTTCTATCCTTATTTATTGGCCTCTCCAGCCTGAGGAACAGGCTTTTTCGTGTTCTTTTTCTAACGACAGAAACAAAGTGTCTAGACGAAACACTCTGGCTTTGTTTTTCCAACGTGCCAGGCAAATATTTACGAAATAAAAGCGCCCTTCATCGTTTCCGAATTACGTTGACTGAGTTCTGTGAAGGCTTTTTGTTAACACATTTCAAAGCGGATAAACATTGAGGTTGTTGTAAAGCAAACGTTGCCACTCGGATGAAACAGATATTTTAATACATAAGGGAACATTGAATCATGTTAAAGAGAAAAGAAACACAAATAAATAATGACAGATAGGAAACTAAGAAACTATTGTAAATGGAAAAGGTCGCAGCACAAAAATGGCGATTTAGCGACAGTATACAAATTGTGACAGAGAATAACTCTGAGTCATTGTGAGGAATCAAACTTCCGGAATGAAACATTAACGTATTGCGCTTTTGGTACTGATAGGGATCCAACGACTCCAACCTCGTTGTCAAGGTGTGAAGGAAAAAAAAGTATTTAATTAAGATTGATAGCAATCCCGATTAAAGCGTATGTTCGCGGTTTTCATTTGTCAAAAGCGGATCCCATCCCCTCCCCCCTTCTCTACAGGATTATTGGTTGTTTTTTTTTTCTCTTGTAGCTGAAGATATTTTGAAAACATATATTGTAACGTCAGTATGGATTTCGGTAGTACTTCACTAGCATTACATATTCTTGGTTCCCTCGACATTAATTTTTAGGATCCGCACTTGAATTTTTGTTTTTTCATTTGGTACTCTCGTTGTTATCCGATGACCCTACACTGTACAAAGTCTTAAGCCATAGTGGGACGTTTCTGCTCGTTCTGGTGAAAGTGGTTAGCATGTCAACTGTGATCGTTAACGAATTAAACCAGAAAAGACAACCCACCCGTAGAGGAATACTCATTGTCGCATATTGAAGTTAAATCCATGTGCAGTTTAGATAACATCAGATAAATTCATGCAGCGGTCCTCTTCTAGTTATTATAAGTCAGTTTAGTCGATGGCAATTGTAAAAGACTGGTCTGTTGTGCATCCTCTTAGAAGAAACAATCCACAACACTGAAATTCTGTGAGCCTTTCGTTCTCTGATGTTTAACTCTGCTCAAGGCGACTTGCAAGAGGTAGCTCTTCTGTCTCCCTCGAGTCGCTTCGCGCATCGCCGGTTAATCGCGCGCGACGGTCACGCGCAAGTTGGTCACGCGCGTCATCACGCCGTAGGAACCAAACGCGGAAGCCTCGCGCGTCGCACGTTCAACTCAACTATTTGATATCATTCTATTAAAGATTGGTTTATGAGCCATTCTGTATTCTTAAGAGACGCTGCTATTTAAGTTATCCCATGTCACAGTTCATGATTTTATGTAAACACGCCAAGTTTTATCAAAGCAGCGTGTTTGAAATACAGATATAACATAGTGATTATACTGATTTTTATTTCTTGCTAGTCTGATATCAATCTTATTTAAGCAATCGTCCTTAGGACAATAATTTCTTGACGAAGAGATTTATCCTTCGTCGCGAGAGCAGTTGATGCTGTACACTTCAAGTAGCCTGATATCATCCTCGATTGAGCAAACAAAGGAAAACATTCCATCATAAAAGGCTTGGTGTACAACATAATTGCCAAGTGTTTTCTGGATAAATAAATCAACAAACGTTTGAGGTTCTATTATCTCAATTTCTTTTGGAATGTTTACATAATGGAATACCGCTAACACGTTGTTATGAGATGTCGATTAGTTAAAGCTTATTGTAAATAAAATCTGTAGAAACATTTTAACACAAATATTAAAACAATGTCAAAGTCAATTTCCAACCTTAAATGACTTCACGTAGGTAAATAATGAATTGTTACGGGGCCAGTCATATTTATCGTCGGGGGCGGGGGCGGGGGGGGCAGGGGGGCAGGGGGTGGACAATTATGGCGGGATCACATAGTTTTCAGACAGAGGGGGTCAGTCGTCTCCGACAGAGTATAAAGGGGGAGGGGACGGTAGAAAGTTATTGCTGATTACCCACCAATGAAGGGGAGGGGAGGGGAGGGAGGGTCATATGAATATTACAGAGCCTCTTAAAGGGGTCAGGTAAATTTTATCCTGAAACAACCAAAATCCTCTGACACCCCCTACCCCCACAGGCGATAACTAAGGACCATTCCTTTAACAGACACTCGTCCATGATAAAAAGGTCGAGATCTAAGCGTCTCTTTGAGTGGAACCTTCTCCAAAATCGAACTCCGTGGTGTAACTGTCAAAAAAAAAAGGCCAAAAGTCTTAAGCGATCTCGTTGAGGCCGATCTAAGCGCACGAAAGGCGCATGAGATCATCTTAGCCGAGCCTTGTCGTGTTTGATACGTGCTTTATCACGTGACTTAAACTGTATCATACTTGCTGATTTTCCTTTGATTTTATTTTCCTCCAGGAAGGACAAGGTTTTTTTTTACTTTTTTCGAACATTTAAATGCCTTTGACCACACCCTTGCATATTTTCCGGCTGTTTTAACAGCAGAGGGAACCGAGTCCTTTCTCTCAGGTGTCGAGTAGCAGTCTTGAAGTCATGGATTTTTTCCGTTTCTTTCACTTTTATCTAGAAAGTAAAAAAGAAAAAAACATGAATATCGATAACCACAGACTGAAGAGAATGCATTCCGTACTATAAACAATCGATCAAAATTATTGTCATCTTCCCAACTT